AGAGTCTCATTGCGCTCGCGCTCACGATCATCGCGGCCTTCCTCATCGTCCACCTCGCGTCGCCGTCGAGCTCGTTCTTCACCAAGCTCAACTTCCTCTACCTCCTCAGCTACGTCAAGCTCGCCATCTCGCTCGTCAAGTACGTGCCGCAGGCGTACCTCAACTACAAGCGCCAATCGACCATCGGCTGGACCATCTACAACGTGCTTCTCGACTTTTCGGGCGGCCTCCTCTCGATCGTGCAGCTGCTCATGGACGGCGCGTCGACGCACGACTGGTCCTCGGTCACGGGCAACCCGGTCAAGTTTGCGCTCGGGTTCGCGAGCATGTTCTTTGACGTCATCTTCATGACGCAGCACTACATTCTGTACCGCCACTCCAACTCGGCCGATCAGCTCGAGGTCAAGGCCGGCCACGCCAACTCGCCCTTCCTCAAGGTCTAAGACGTTGACGAGTCAAGAGCTGTCAAGTAGAGTGTATAAAAAAGTGTGTCGTTGCTTCTTTTGAACGTTGTGGCATGAGCGGCTCCAGTAGCGCATGGTGTGGCTTGCCTAAGGGCACATGAATAACTCGAGTCTGCGGTATAGTCTCCTCCGTCGTCTGTGAAGACTGCAGAATGAACGAGGAACTTTAAAGTACGTGGATGACTAGTTGAGTATTACATGCAATCGCAACGGTCATCAAGACGGCGGCAGCTATAATAGCGTTATCATAACCTCGTTGTCGAAAGAAAATGCGGTGTGTCAAGATGCAAGTGGCACTTAATTGACCACCTTTTGTTGATGAGATGCGGTTGCGATTCTGATTCAACGCAATGCCTTCCCACCTTTCGTCCAGTCGGTGGATTCCCCCTTCACACGCAGGAGGTGCGGCGTTGTGTTGTCCCTAGGTGTTGTCCCTTCCTCCTCTATCGTATTGTCGTTGGCAGCGGAACCATTGGAACCATCAGGGTTCTTGACACGGTGGACACACAGGATCAAGTGCGTTCAACAGGTCGCATAAGCGCGTCACCAGACGTAGAGAAACAAGATCAAGCCATTTCCGCACGTGTAGTGCCACTCGAAAAGCTAACCTGCCTCGTCCACCACGAGTTTGGCCGACACCAACGCGGTTGTTACCACCGCACACTTCGGTCTTCATAGAAAATAAGTTCTAGATGCAGATCTTTTCGTGTCGCGGTGTCAACACTCTCCGCTTCGAGCAACGATTTGCATCATGAAATAATGAGAGATGATATTCAATCCAGAGCGTTTCGTTAACCCAATACGTTTATACAACTACAAGACAACTTCTATCTACTATACACGCGATATTTCCTCGTCAACGTCTTAGACCTTGAGGAAGGGCGAGTTGGCGTGGTCGGCCTTGACCTCGAGCTGATCGGCCGAGTTGGAGTGGCGGTACAGAATGTAGTGCTGCGTCATGAAGATGACGTCAAAGAACATGCTCGCGAACCCGAGCGCAAACTTGACCGGGTTGCCCGTGACCGAGGACCAGTCGTGCGTCGACGCGCCGTCCATGAGCAGCTGCACGATCGAGAGGAGGCCGCCCGAAAAGTCGAGAAGCACGTTGTAGATGGTCCAGCCGATGGTCGATTGGCGCTTGTAGTTGAGGTACGCCTGCGGCACGTACTTGACGAGCGAGATGGCGAGCTTGACGTAGCTGAGGAGGTAGAGGAAGTTGAGCTTGGTGAAGAACGAGCTCGACGGCGACGCGAGGTGGACGATGAGGAAGGCCGCGATGATCGTGAGCGCGAGCGCAATGAGACTCTTGCACACCGTCGAGACCTTGCGCTCGCCACGGGGGTAGATGGTCGTCTGGTAGTAGGTGAGCGCGGTCACCGCGACGGCGTGGATGCCAAAGAAGACGTCGTTGACCTGCACCGAGTTGGGCGACCCGTTGTGGAGCGCCTTGTACTCTTCCTGGACCGACTCGCTCCAGAAGAACGACGAGTTGTACACCGTGTAGCACGAGAAGCCGACAATGTTGTACGCGATAAAGTCGATCGAGAGACCTTCGACGTTCTTGAGGCGCCAGTTGAGGAAGATCTGCGGCCAAAAGCTCACGCTCCAGCACGCAAAGTAGGTCCAGCCGATGATGGACGAGATGCGGTTGTACGGCGCGGGCACGTTGTCGTTGGCGTCGAGACCAAAGCCGAGACCAAAGCCGACGACCGCAATGACGGCGACGCCAATCGCGACGCCGTTGCGCTGGACAAAGGTAATCGGCGACGAGGCGGCCGGTGCCACCGGAGTCAAGGAGGGCGCTGTGGACGACATGGTGCAAAATGAAGAATGAATCGATGAAAACGCCGTCTTGGTGCTTGCAGGGCTAGGGCAGGATTGAGTTCCAGCTGTCTATTACTCCGCCATGTGTCTACATGTGGCGCATCCATGTCTGCATGGGACACCCATGTCGGTAGAGCCAATCGGTCGCAGGCATTCCTTTTTGTCATTTTGCGGCCGCGCACGAGCTTGTCCGGACCCGGAATTTGGGTGGACTTGAGGTCACCGCAAAAGGGCCCGATCCAAAGAAGCCGCGGGACGTTCGCACATGCAGTGCACGACCATCAGCGTCCTTTTCTAGCGCTGTATTGGATTGGCAGCGAAGCACCGTCTACTCTGTTTTCCAATATAAACCGTTCGTTTAATACAACAAAGTCAATGGAACTGAGTCGTAGGCTCGGTAAGTAGACGTGAGACTCTTGTGTCTTGAAACGGCAATGTCGAAACGCCATGGGCGAGGCTGCAATGCACGGGAGCGTGCCACGTCACGGATCCGAACAGCCACCGATCTCGCAAGCACGTGCGTTATACGACGACGACTACTCTTGTCCCTACGCTCACGTACGAGTTCAACGCTTTCATTGCCGCCAGCATCACGTCAGTGGCGCGACCACGCTGGAGGCGCGCCGCCATTTCATGACGCGGGGCCACCGCGCGTTTTGACTGGCTGATCCAGCCATTGCGGCATAGCCGCCAGCTGGTTGCCATACCAGCCGTCAAGCGTCCAGTTGAGCCAGCTTACACTCAACACTCAGCTTACACTCACTTACACTGGTTTGTGGAACTGGTTTGTGGGTTTTCTGCATTTACGATCCAGGATTTTTGGAATTCTGTTTCGCCGTGTCGGCAGGAATTGATCAACCCGCGTGGACTGCGTCGTCCAATATACTACCGCAGTAGATATGAGAGACGCGGGTTCTTGGTGGACAGTGCATTGGGCTAATAGTGCTGTGGGCCACTGGCTTGGAGACTCGTGGTGGATGGAGGTTCGCGCGTGCGAGTCCCATTTCGAGGCGGTCGAGCTGGCAACAGTTCAACTTCTTATATATGTATTAAACGCGGATTACATTAGAGACGGTGGAGTAGTGGTGACTGTTCGTTTTCCGACGAGCTCACATTGTTGGCGTGGTACAAAACGTAGTGCTGCACCATGAAGATAATGTCGAAGAAGACGCTGGTAAAGCCGAGGCCAAACTTGACGGGGTCGCCTGTCACGGCGGTCCAGTCGTGCGTCACCGAGCTCGTCATGACGAGCTGCAACACCGAGAGGAGGCCGCCGGAAAAATCAAGCAGCACGTTCCAAATCGTCCAGCCGATCGTGAGCTGGCGCTTGTAGTTGAGGTACACTTGCGGAATGTACTTAACAAGCGACACGGCGAGCTTGATGTAGCTGAGGAGGTAGAGGAAGCTGAGCGTGCTGAAGAAGCCGTCACTGCCAGGTACGAGGACCGTGAGCGCCAAAAGACGGCCGCGGCAACCACGCCGACGGCGACTGCGACCTTGCACGTCGTCGAAACCACTTGGTTGCCGCGCGTGTAAATGGTCGTCTGGTAGTACGTCAGTAGGCTCACCGCGACCGCATGAAGGGCAAAGAAGACGTCATTGATTTGGACCGCGTTCGGGAGCCCGTGGTGGTAGCGCTTGTACTCGTCCTGCACCGACGCGCTCCAGTAAAAGGCCATGTTGAAGATCGCGTAGCAGCCAAAGCCCAAAATGTTGTACACGAGAAAGTCGAGCGAGAGGCCTTCGACACTTTGGCGGCGCCAGTTGAGAAACACTTGCGGCCAAAAGCTCACGCTCCAGCACGCAAAGTAGACCCAGCCCACGATCGACGAGAGGCGGTTGTACGGCTGTGGGATGTTGTCAGTCGCGTCGGTCGCAAAGCCGAGCCCGAGGCCCGTGACCGCAATAAGCACAACGCCAAGCGCAATGCCATGGCGCTCGATCCACGCAAGAATGCTCGGTGCCATGCGGATTGTAGTTTGAGGAAGACAGGGCTCGACTTGCGGCGTTGCTTCCTTCGGTATCCTTGCCGCCTTTCTGCGACGACCAATCAGTGCATGCGACGGTTGAGAAACAAACCAATCACCGCGCGGGCATCGACCAGGTCAGAAACCTGGCATCGCCGAAGACGGCGGAAGATCCGTGGAGTTCGAAATTCCGAGCTCCGAGCTTCGTCGCAGGTGCCGTCCCTTCTCCCAAGTGCAATTTGGGCCGACCCACTGAAGCGCACGAGAGAATGAACGGGCGAGTCGAAAGACCAGAATGGCACGCGTCTCAAGTCCGCAGTTGCTTTGTACTGATGAGAACCCGATGAGCCGGTTGGTGATTGCACAGCAAAACCAACTTCAACCACAGGTCCAGCAGCGTGGCACGATCCGTCAAACGCTTAAGGGGGTTCAACAAGTAGCTAGCCACACAGTGGAACGAGGTGCTTGCCGTGAAGAGAAGCAGCAGAGCATACTAAGGAAAGAGAGCTAGGACAGGGTACCCACGCTGTCAATCTCGGGTGGGCTCGATGTCAGGGCATTTTGGGATCCTGTATGGCCGTTGGACGTCTCGATTGTAATGTGTTCTCCAACGGGCTGGTCGCTGCCCGTCATACGAGCGGCCTTGAGTGGCAACGGTCGTGTGCTGCCACCGTTGCGAGGAGGCGAGGAGGTTCGTTGTGTACGTTTAGCCACGAGGACGTAATAAGAGCATGCGCGATCAGCATAAAACGCACTACGTGGCGCCGCACGCAAGCGTTGTGGCGCTCGCGACCGCCATTCTCGGCGGCGATTTGAACCGCGTCCAAGCAATTGCCGAGCAGACCCGATTTCTCATCAACACGGGGGACCGCTGGAAGAAGCACGTGCGGCCACTGATGCTGGCGACGCGTTCGCCCCATCCGATCGAGATGCTCGAGCTGCTTGTCGCACACGGAGCGCTGCTGCATCCGACCGACCGCGCGGGCCATGACGTGCTGCTCTATGCCTGCGCGCACGGCGCCGCCCCCGCCACGATTGACTATCTCGTGCAGCTGGACAGCGGCGGGCTTTGGCGCTGGGACGCACGCACGCTTCGAGGCGACGGGCACTTGACACTCGCTTGCCGCAGCGGCAGCTTGGTCTTGGTACAGCACCTCGACGGTATGATCCCAGCGTGCAGCCAGAACCATGGCACGGACATCGTCTTGGCCGGGCTCGACTCGAAGAACGAGGGGTTTGTATTGAGCTTGCTTGCGTGGTGGGCCTCGACCCCGCGCCGGCCCTTGGACGAGGTGGCCGTGCGCACGGCACTTGCACTCAAGATGCTGCGCGTCGCCGCGTACCTCGTCACGCTGGACCCGCTCGGTGCCGGCCAGATCGTCTTTGCGTTTTGCCATCGGCGCATGGAACCGACGCTCGCGCCGTGTTGTGCCACGTACGAGTGCCATGTGACGTGGCAGCACACCCGCCTCGTCTTTGCTCTCGCGCTGCCCACGACCCTTTGCCACGTGATTGCACGCTACGTGTACCAGTTTCAGCCCGCCGAGCATATTGCCCGACGTCGGCGCACTCGGTTGTACGGTCCGTGGATCGACGGTGCGTCGTGGTAGATCCGCGGCAAGGATCACGCTTATTGACACAGCAGAAGGCTAAGAGCAAGGTGTTCAATGCAGCAATTGAAGGTGTGCTCGGGTCTCGGTTGGACGCATCTTGGGCCGCAGGTTGTATTATGCACGTGAATGCTAATAGTAGGTCGACTGCTGATGTGGACTGCGTCGCTCGGATTTGGTGGCTGGACAATGATACAACGTGGTGGCAGTATACAAATACCAAGATGCAGCATGCATATCATTTCACGGTGATCAAGAGCGTCAGTTTGCACATCTGACACATTGCGATGGACCTGCCGCGCTTGCGACTCGACTTTACGGATGCGCCGTTGAGCCCGGACGACCCGCGGCGGCGCATCGTCGAGGTGCCCAAAAAGCCCACGTCCGAGAAGGCGCAGTCGATCCGCGATGAGTCCTCACGGCGACCGGCAACGTTGGCGATACCATGTGCCGGCTCACGATCGCGTCGTCGTACCCGCTCCAAGACATCTTCAAGCGTTGCGTACTTCGAGCTTAAGGAAGGTCGTATCATCAACGCCTTTGGCGTCGCTGCTTCATCAACATGCAAGACCTCCGGTACTGGGTGGCGGCCACGGACCGGCCCAAGAACGTCCATAGCATCATGAATGCGTTCTACAAGCTCTGGCTCGAGCTCTTCCGGCACGACGACGCTGCGCTCGGGCTGCGTGGCCGCGACGTGCTCCTGGAGGAGCTCACGACGTACGGCAACGAGATCCGCGTCCATGGCAACCACACATACCATTTCTTCAAGCCGACCAAGTGAGAAGACGAGGACGCGCCCGCCACGTTTCAATATAGTACTAGTACACTTTACGCAGCGTGTACATGACCTTCGGACCTCGGTTACCTGATACAACAAGGCCATGCATGACCCAAGAAAGCTCATACTGTAAGTCGACCAGGTGCCTGTGCAGTCTGTCAACATGCATCAGCCCGCCACTCCAACCACCCTCTGAATCTCAGTCATTTGCCAGCGAGGCAATGGAAGCAAGGCGCTTCTTGCAACGGAAGTAGTGGGTTGGCCCGTCAGCTGCGAAGACAAGACTGGACTCTCCCACCATTATTATGATCGGCGGGAAGGGTGGGTGGCGGGAAGGGAATCCATAATTCCTTCAAAATAGCATACAAAACATAAGCTATTTGTATAAATGGCGAGAATAAATCATATACTAGAGTACCAAATTTTGATTCGACCACAATGAGCGCCAAGGCTGCCAAGACTACGACGACGACTCCTGCCGCCGAGGCCGCGCCGGCCGACGACATGTTCACCATCAACTTCGATAGCGACGACGAGGAAGAGGACGAGGAAGACGAGGAAGAGGAAGAAGACGAAGCGGCCGAGCCGTCGGCCAAGCGTGCGCGCAAGGACGCGGACAAGCCCGTGCGCCAGGTGATCGTGCCCCGCGATCCGACGCTCAAGAAGCTCGATGCGATCACGACCGCGATCATGAAGGCGACGGGCAACGACGACGATGGCGGCTTCAGCATGTTCAACACGTCGTCGTCGTACCCGATGCAGATGGTGCTCAAGAAGGAGATGGCGGTTGCGCGCAAGATGCTCAAGGAAGGCAAGCACTCGCAAGCGCTCTGCGTCCTCATCGCCATCTTCATGAACATGGAACGCTACGACTACTGGTTCTCCGACTCGGACGACAGCCGCATGGTCGAGACGACGTTCACGTCCTTCTACAAGCTCGTGCAAGACGCGCTCAAGAAGGACGACGCGACCTTGCGCCTCACAGGCCGCGACGTGCTCGTCGAAAAGATGGCCAAGCTTGGCCGCGCGGCCAAAGAGTCGTTCGACTACGAGTTCAAGTGGTTTGACTAAATTATGTATTTAACTATGTAATGTCGAATGATTACAGGGAATACGTCAAGGCCCTGAACAATCTCGGTTCTAGTACTCGCGATTAGATAGTCCAGATTAACCTAGAAGACGACTTGTACATCTTGCACCATGCAGGAGAGCAAGCCACGTCATGATCGACCAGCAAGGGAATGTGGCGAGGCTGATATTTTTCACGTGGTGGTTTTTCCGCGGGGTACTTGAACACACGTGTGTTTTGAAATCCCACGTTCTTCACATGTGAGAAATACATGTAATGGGGCCCCCCTTATGCGTGCGAAGGCCTGCATATAAATTTCAAGATACGCAGAGGGCCCTGATGATAGGGTCTAGGAACTTGGGAAAGATTACTTGACCGGAAGCCAAGCCGATGGACTTCGGAAGCGCCCGACGTGGCGGCCGCAACGCGCTCCCTGAGGACTTTGTTCGCAAGCCATGGCAGTCCTTCTCGACCATGAAGCGCTTCCTCAGCGAGGCCATCCGCCTCGAGAATGCGAGCTGGCGCATCTGGTTCATGCAGCAGCGGGCCAAGCAGGCCATGGTCGTGACGAAGAAGAAGGGCCGGCTCTCGATCGAGACGCTCGGTGATGACGTCGAGGCTGATGAGCACAACCGAACGTGCGTCTACTGTGAGCTCGCGCCCGCCAGCCTCACGTGCAACGGCTGCTGCCACGACCCGTACTGCGTGAGCTGTTTCAAGCTCATCCACATGCGTGGTCATCTCGCTTCGCACACGGCCGTATCCATCCAGAAGCTCGACGCCAAGGTATGCCATCAACGTTGTTAGCATGGGAGTATGATGCGAACGTAGCGAGGCACACCTGTGGTCACGCCAACGACGCGCCGCGCGCCAGAGCAAGCGAGCCCCACCAAGGTTATCGTCGCCACGAAACCCGTCAAGTCGTGGGAAGAGAAAATGGACGTGCTCTTCCAGAAGCTCATGGTCACGAGCATGCACCACGACGGCGACATTAGGTACACTCCACGTCGGCGATGGATTGTCTCAAACGGTTCGAGTACCTCGTAGCGTTCACAACATTGACAACAGTCCGCTCAACCCCACGTGGAGCCCAGATCAAGCCAAGACCTGCGGCGGCTGCCAGGGTCCGCACATGACGATCGCATGCCCGACACTGGCCTCCCCCATGACTGAGAGTCCTGCCCCGACAACGTCCAAGAAGCCATCTATATGTGGCAACTGCCGCGGCGACCACAAGACGCTCGACTGCCACAAATTGGCACCACCAACGCCATCCAAATCCGCCGTCTGTGGCAATTGCCGCGGCGACCACATGACCATTTCGTGTCCGCAGCTCGCTGTTGCTGCGCCTGTGAAGCCATCTATATGTGGCAACTGCCGCGGTGACCACAAGACGCTCGACTGCCACAAATTGGCGCCACCAACGCCGTCCAGAGCCGCCGTCTGCAGCAATTGCAGCGGCGCCCACATGTCGATTGCTTGTCCGTTGCTGTTGCTGGCACCGCCGCCCAAGAAGGCGCTCGTGTGCGGCGGCTGCGGCGGCGAGCACATGACCATGCTTTGCCCGATGCAGGCGTCGGAGGAGGCAACGTTCTTCCGGCGCAAGTCGAGCAAAGGCATCGTCTGCGGCAACTGCCGCGGCGACCACATGACGATCTCGTGTCCGCAGCTGCAAGAAGAGTCGCCCAAGCACGTGGTCGACTCGATCGTGCGCAAGTGCTTTACGTCGTACCACAACGCCAACACGAGCAACAGCACGCACGCGTACTTGGGCGACGAAGTCAGCGTGCATGGCGCGGGCTTTGCGCCGCCGGCGACCCGCTTCCACGCGGCAACCTTTGCGCCGATTCACGAAATCCCCGTCGAAGTCGAGACGTCGCCCGTGCTGCCGGCCCTCTCGCCGCTGCGTCAATTGCGCACCCCGGACGTGTGGATTCTCTCGAGTCTCTGGAACGAAATGTCGGCGTCGTTTTTGCAAACGCGTGGGCACACGGGCGTTGGCTGCGACGTCAACTGCCTCGACGAACGCCGCGGCTGGGTCTACCTCAAGCCGCCCCACTGCCCCAAGGTACTTTCCACCTCCGACACGATCCTTGTCGGGCGTCTGGCTGGGTCTTGATGCGACGATGGTGTAGTGGCGGCGGCGCTTTGTGGTGCTTTTCCGCAACCAGCTGACCGAATTCCTCGACGAGCGCGATGTGCAACCGGTGGGCTTTGCCAATTTGCACGAAGCGTCGATCGTCGACTCGTCGGCGCATGGCGAGCGCCAGCTGACCGTCGCGGTCGCGTCGTCGGCGCTGCGCGACGATGGTATCACGACGCTTCAGTGGTGCTTTGACACCCCGTTGGCGTTTGACGAGGTACACTACTGTCTCTTGTCATGTCTCAAATTTGAACATTTTTGTCTAGTGGAAAGCTGCGCTGCTGCGCGCCAGTCGGCTTGAGATCCAAGACCTTTTTGGCGACGACGACGTCGAGCTCGGGAAAGGGCGGTTCGCAATGGTCAAGCGCGCCGAGCGCCGGCACCTTGCGCGCTGCAGCCACGAGTGCGCGATCAAGGTCATCGACAAGGCTGCGTTTTGGTATCGATTTGGTCTGGATGTTGATGCGTATGTATGAACGATGCGGCATATGTGTAGGGACCTCGTGCAGCAAGGCGTTGAGCGCAACGACACTCTGTTTCGCGAAGTGCTTACGCAGAGTGTGCTCACGCTGCGGGGCCATGGCGTGCCCCACCACGGCTACGTCGTGCGGCTCCTCTCGCTCTTCGAGACGCACGACCACTTGGTATCTATCAACATCAATATTGTGGTCTAGATTATGATCACCATGGGCAATTATAGGTCATGGAGATGGAGCTCATGGCAGGCGGGGACATTTACGACCATATTGTGACCCACGGACCGCTGCCCGAACCGCACGCCGCGCTCGTCATGACGCACCTCATCCAGAGCATTCAGTTTTGCCTCGAGAACGGCATCGCGCATCGCGACGTCAAGATCTCCAACTTGGCACTCGACGTGCAGACAACGATTGGGTCTACGGATCGGTACCATATATTCTCTGATGGAAGGAGTCCCATTTTTATGGCCATGATAGACCGTGCGTGCTCAAGCTCGCCGACTTTGGCATGAGCGCGTTCCTCGAGTCCAATGGCATGCTTCTGGGACGGTACTCATCGATTTATCTACACTCGTGTCTTGATACGTACAATATTTAGATGTGGCACGCCGGGCTACGTGGCCCCCGAGATCCTCACGGCCGGCGTCCAAGAACCGTACCCGCCCCACGTCGATATGTTTTCGGTTTGCCCCCTTTTCACCATTGAGATTCAGATTGACATTGAGAGGTAGGCGGGCGTCGTGCTGTACACGCTCCTCTGCGGCTACGAGCCGTTTTACGCGATCAACGACAAGGAGCTCATTTTACTCAACAAGGCGGTCACGTACTTTTTCCACCCGGAAGAGTGGTCGCACATCTCGGACGACGCGAAAGACCTCGTACAGCCTTCTCTCATGTGGTTGCAGATATATGCAAGCGCGTTGTTTAGATTGCACGCATGCTGGCCAAGAATCCATCCGAGAGAGTACGCCCGCACGAAGCCCTCGCGCACCCGTTCTTGCGGCAAGTGTCGCCCGTGCCCGAGCACCCGCGCACGTCGACCTGTACCAAGCTCTTTTAAGACCGATTCAACATTCCTGTCCCTTTTCTTGTGCTCGTCCAGAAGCTACGCGAAGCTCATCACATTAGGTGCAGTCGTCGCAATCCCACGCATAAGGAGCCGAGAAGCAGATCATTCATTGCACTACGCGCACCGTGGGCGAGCGTCTTGGCACCTGTGTTGTGCGAGCATGCAATAAGACTTGAAATAGAACTGATGCTGAGATTGAAAACAACGATCATCTCCAGTGGCTTTTTAGTCACTTTGATCCCCATCAAGTCCCTTGAGCGTGCCGACGGCAGTGCAGTCCCCATCGTCCCATGCACAATTGACCGATAAACAGCCGAGGTGGCACACGCCGTCGCCAACACTCAGATTTGAGCAAGTGTCTGCGCAATCGGGTTGACAGCCGTCGACACCTGTGGCCATGCAGAACGGTGTGCCATCCAGCACGATTTGCCGAGAGGCGATCCGCTCGTGTGCGGATGCTGGGACGTCCCGCACCGGGTTGTTGCTCAAGTCAATCAACGCCTTGGGCTTGGCGTCGACAAGCGTCGGCGGCAAAATAGAGATGGCGTTGCCCGAGAGCTCGTAGCGCTGCATGACTGGAAATGCCGTTGCCCACGTTGCCGGAATTTCGCTCAATTGGTTGTCGATCAGTATCAGCCGCTCCAGATGGACCAAACGGACCATCGCGTCAGGCAGCGACGTGATCTGCGCGCCTGCGAGGCCAAGCCATGTCACCGTGGTCCAGCGCGAAAATAGATCCGACGGTATTGTCCGGAGCGGGTGACCCATGATACTGAGCGTCTGCAGCTGCGGTGGCAGCGTATAAAAGACGGAGGGTATCGCCGTCAGATTGCCATATCGCAAGTTGATACCGTGCAGCGACGGGGGCCACGTCACGTTTGGGGGCGCGTCCCACGACGTCATGTTTGAAAAATCGATGGCGAGGGCGGAAACGCTGTGGAGTCGCGCCAAAAGTCGCAAGTCCAATCCCGTAGGCAGGTAGCACTGCGAGAGATGCAGGAAGAAGACTGAGGCTCCCCAAATGTCGGGTGAGAGGGAATCGGAGAGGTTAGCTTTTTCAAAAGATGGGTCGGCGCAGTTCATATGAAGGTACGCGCATGAGCACGAGCGAGTGAACCATGGGTGCGTCTGCAGCTGACAGCCATGTGGACACGGTGAGCGTAGCCAGACCAAGTCGATGACGTTGAAGAGCACGGTGGCCCCCATGAGCAGCTGGTAGACCAGGAAGAGTTTGAGGATGCGTTTTTGACGAAACTGCAGCGTTTGCCCGACTTCCGTGACCGTGCGTAGTGACTGCGACGCGACGGAGTGTAGCTTGGCAAAGGACGTGGCCCGGCGAAGCGACAAGACAGAGGCAGACGGCCCGAGCATCACTGGTGCAGTGTACGTGCGGCGCAGGGATGGTCGTTGGGGCGGTAGCTTGGCCGCTGCGAGTACCAGCCGACGGACGTTAACGACGTTGGCACTCAGCACAATGCTCTTCTCCAAGAGGTCGGCCCCGGACGTCGGGAAGATAAAACGCGCTAGGAGAATGTTGCGGGTTCCCCACTCCGGCGAATAGATGTCTTTGGTTTCGCCGGTGACCGCCAGGAGCAGTGGCGGCAGAATCCGAACCATCGCGAGGCCGACTGCGATGCCAAAGCTCACGAGGCTGTTGATCGCCAAGATCAATGTGGTTTTGACAAACACATTGGAGGAGAAGAGCAGCCACGGCACGACCAGGCAGCGTCCGCTAATGAGGAGTGCGTAGACTAGGACGATGTCTTTGTCGACGGAGAGGGCGCTGAGATGATACCCTTGCAGCACCTGCGCGGTCGTTTCGATCGCTTGGAAAGTTGCTCGCACCGTATCGGAGGCCATCCATGACTTGATCCGTTGAACGAGCCGCGTCAGTGTATTTTGGCTTGATGACGATAGCCACGTCGGTGTCGGGAGCATGGCGACAAGATGGAGAAGGCAGTAGACGGTGTACACCGCCGGGCTCCACGACGAGCTCATGTACGCTTGCCCGCGGATTCTCTGGCTCGGCGTCGAGAGAAGCATGATCAGGACGCAGACGACGAGGTAAATCACCGACGCGAGGTTCTTGAGGAAGGCGACCACAAGGATCGGGCGTCGGGCAGCCGCCCCGAGTGTCGGTGGAACTTGTGCCTTGTGCATCGCAAACTGGGACCGTTGGAGTCTCTTGTCTGTAAATAGACAGGCTACAATTTTGTACGCGCGGTTTTGATCCGTGACCTTGACCGTTTCCGCTTCATATGACAGGCTTTGCAGCACCAAAAATACTCTCGCAACGGGGCGAATTGAAATGCTCGTCATTGCTTCACCACCACATGACGGTAGTGCCGCGCAAGAAGGAAATGTCGTTGTGCCTCGGTACCGCGTCCGCTCGACGGCAATTCTGATACCGTCCGTCTTTCCAGAAGGACATCTTGAAGACCCCCTCAAGGTCATGGCACCGAACAAATGGCTTTGGACGGAGATGGTTGACTTGAACATCTCCATCCAAAGCCCTCGCAAAAGTGCCTCAAACAGTTTTGAGACACTTGTCCCCGGTGATCAATCGAGCAACACCCAAGGCACTTCGCATGCCAACACTGCGGGAGAATATGTCGTTTCACAGTGTATCGGACGCGACTGCTAATAGCGTACTGGGTGCCTGGACGCGTGATTGCCGCTACTTGAATGTGCCATAGGCGGTGCAGTCCCCTTTATCCCATGCACACTTGGCCCTGAAGCAGCCGAGACGGCGCACGCTGTCACCAACATTCAGAGTCGAGCAAATATTCGCCAAATACGTGCTCGAATCTGAATGACAGCTCGCACTCGGTTGACATTATTCGGCTGTGCGTGTGCATGCCACCTCCTCTGGCCGGTATTTCAAGAAGAGCAACAACCGGGTGATGTGGGTGGTCCGGCCACGCTCCCGCGGAGTGGTCACGTCGCATCAATCACAGATGATGGACCATAGTCCATCAGTTCTGTCGTTGCGACCACGCGAGACGGAGTGCATTTTCTGCTATCAAACGGTTGTGCAAGACACGCTTTCATGTGGATCTGCTGGTCTCGCCACCACAAGACGACACGCGCCCACGACGTCATCGCGCTACACCACCACCTGGACGTGGGCAACGTGTCCCAAGCACAACGCCTGGTCATGGCATGCCCCGATCTCGTCAACGCCACCACACCAGCGGGCGTGACACCGCTCATGACGGCCGCGACCGGGCGCCGCGCGATTGCGTCGATCGACGTGCTTGTCGCGGCAGGTGCATCTCTCGACGTGTGGGGGACCTCGCAGCACCAGCATGTGCTCTTGTATGCAATCGCGCATGGCGCACCGGTCGAGGTCGTTGACTGCCTCTGGCGCCACGACGCCGAGCGCGGTACTCTTGGGCAGTGTCGCACGTTTTGCTGGACCGACGCCGACGCTACCGGGCGCGGTGTGCTACCCCTCGCGCTCTCTAGTGGCAATGTAGCGCTCGTCCAGCACCTCGTGCATCGCGTGCTTTCGTTTGCGGGTGCCAATGCGATGGAATTGCAGTTGGCATCGGTCGTCTCGGCGCGCAATTCCATGGTTGCCCTCGCGTGGTTGGCGTTGCCCAAGGTTGCAGCCTGCGTTACCACGATGCGCGTCGCACCACGATTGTACGTGACGATGGCGCTGGCTTGTCGGCACGCGTTGACGCTACTCTTGGGGGCACTGACTGCGCTCCAGCCGCAGTTTGCGGGGCTTGTGTTGCTGTATCTCACGGAGCGCCGACGGAAACCACCGGCGCTCTTCAACCTCTGCGAACTGTACCAGCGGCACATTACGTGGCGTCGGACGCGGCTCGTGTACTGGGTCGCGTCGCGAGCGCGCGGAGTGCCTGCGCTGCCATCCTGCGTCTTGTCGTTGCTGGCCGCGTACGTCTATGTGTTTGACGCAACGAGGGAGCTGGACGCCCTACGAGCACTCGTCCTAGAGCAAGGGAGGAGCGATAGCAGCACGATTGTTTGAGACCAATCCACTGGATCGGGTGCCATGCAGAGTCGTCTCAAGTGCTTACGTTACGTAGCGTGATCGTGGAATCTTGGAGGATGATTGACGAAACGGTGCACCGGATAACAAGAGTATCATCCGGATAATGCGATTCAAAAGCAGATTCTCGCGCTTTTTTCAGCGACCATGCCCCACATGTGAAGCCTTGCGGCTCGACTACGCTTTTTAGAGTCTTGGCTTTATAGCACTGACAGCTTTCGTAATTTGATTCTATAGCCCTCGTAGAAGGAAACAAGGTGTACCTGCGTGTGTGTTTGGACGAGACGGCGTCCCACTGTGGTTCGAATCCTGGATGGCAGTCCAACGGCCTGTCTTACAGGATGCGCGGGCTGCGATGGGCGCTCGCTCCGTCATCAATATTTCCGCCCCGATGGTGCAGTTGCCCGGAGCATGATCGTGCTTTTCGACGTCGTGCTCCAGCTTATGCAACGGCGGTGGGTGCTGCCCGATCAGATTGCATCGGTGACGTCCATGGAAGCCAGTATGGACGTACCACGTTCACTCCAAAGGCGCCAACATCGGACCGCCACCAGCATCTCGTTTACAATCGTACAGTGAGGAATGGATTGAGTGGTCTTAAGAGCAACAAACGGTATTAGTCGGTCTTCTTGATGGCGACCTTCTTGTAGCGGCCGCGGAAGAAGCGGTAAAAGAGGAAGACGAGCGCGACCGTGTAGAGGTGCATGGACGCGAGCGAGTAGAACTTTTCGTCCGTGCTAAAGCAGCCGGCGCGAAAGTAGGACGGGATCGAGATCGAAATGCCGACAAGGAACTGCGTGAGCTGCGCCATCGTGAGGTACTTGGCGTACGGCGACCGGTACCCAAGGACAGCCGCGAGGTAGTACGAGTACATGATGGTGTGGATGAAGCTGTTGAAGGTCGTCGTGACCATGCCCGAGAAGGCGTTCTCGGTGATGACCATGCCGTACATCATGATGACGATACCGGCGTGATGGAACGTCTGGAGGAAGATCGGCTTGTCGCCCTTGAGGTACACGATCCACGAGTCGACGAACTCATAGTACTTGGAAATGTAAAAGTGCGTGATCCACCACGACATTTGCGGCCACACCGTGTTGCCGGCGTCGCAGACCGCGCCCATAAAGCCGTGGTTGGCGAACGTCGCGTAGAAGATGGGCGCCGTGTTGATGAACGTCCAGCCAGAGTAGACCGCGAGGATGATGTTGTGCACAATCGAGAGGCCGGTCACAAACTTGCCACGCTTGCGCGCCTTCTTGTCGGCCTCGCTCATCTCGAGGTTGAAGAGAGAGACCAGGAGGCGGCAGAGCGGGCCCGAGAAGGCGAGGTAGAGCGCAACGGCCCCAATCGGGACGATCGGGCCGCGCTCGACAAAGAAGGGCGCGACGACGTTGTCGTAGTAGGCCAAGATTGACGCCATGGCAAAAGGCAAACTGAGAGCTTCAACCAAGTCGCGCGCGCGTCTGAGAAAGGCCGAGTGGATGGAACGAGTCACAGTGGCTGTAGGCTTACATCACGCGGCCATTGGTATCGAGTTGTGCAATATATCCATTGGCACAGGTATATGCAGCCTGGAGAGTACTAATGTCGTATAAAGTTCGTCAGGTCATTGGGTATCCGAGGCTTGTCGACTCAACAGCGACTAGGGAACGCGCTGTCTTTGCCACACGGTACTGTTTGATACAATGGTGTGTTGTGTTTAAAACACTGTCCAGATGGTCGGCGGCTTGCGCGCCGAGAACCACGCATCTCGGAAAATGGCCTCTACGCCCGTGCTTCGTCAACAGACGAGGAGTTTCGAGGTGTCAATTGGCCCTTCCATCATCACGACCGTGCCTCGAACACAAAACATGTAGTCGTGTCCATGGTGCGGTGCATGTGAATGGACGCGGAGGGTGAGGCAAGTAGGGTGTGTTCCGACGACTCGTACTGGCACCAGTGGACTTGGAAGCGATTCGTCGCACCCACAACCAAGCACCACCACCGTCCCACTCGACCCTATCTCCTCGTACACTGCGATCGATCGACGACCTGCACTCGGACAAGCAGCGCCGTCGAGCTATTAGTTATTGGAGCGCGTGTCTGTTGCAGCGAGGGCTCTACTAGCTGCTGCACGTGTTGCATGGAGCGTGCATGAGATGCACCGGTTGCCGGTAGCAGCCGATTTGATACTGGACGCGTGATCGGCGATTTGTGTTCTTTTGTATTCCGCCTGTCTCGGGTCTGTTTCGAACGCATGGGTGTTTAAAACACGTCGGCGACGCTGACGGAAGATCGACCAAGTGATGATGCGGATCGCGGTCGTTGGCGACGCCTTTGTGGACGTGCTTGCGGGCATCGACGCGTTGCCGCAGTGGGGCCAGGACACGCCCTGTGCGGAGGCCATCCAGATGCAGCCCGGCGGCTCGGCCCTCAACACGGCCACGCAGCTCGCCAACCTCGGCGGCTCGGCGGTGGCGTATTTCAGCGCCATGGGGGCCGATGGCTTTGGCGACATGTTGGCTCTGCACTTGGCCAAGCACAACGTCAAGTCCTTTGCGCCGCAGCTCGCCTCGCACCCGACCGGCGTTTGCATCGTGCTCACGGGCCAAGGCGACCGCGCGTTCGTGACGCACTACGGCGCAGCCCACGCCTTTGCCAAGCAGGTATATACGTGAGTAGTATGACGCCATGCCTGTGCTCACGCCGCCGACGCGACGAACGTAGCACATCCCCATGGACCGCCTTCTCGAAGCGCAGCATATCCATGTTGGCGGTACGTCTTTTGATGACGGAAGCGTCAACCATCGGTGCTGGATGGCCACGAACATGCATACGTACTATATGGACTAGGGTTCTACAGCTGCATTGGACTCTTGCCGGACCTCGCGTGTATCCTCGAGGCCGCCAAAGTCAAGGGAATCACGATATCGCTCGACACCAATTACGATGGTTCCGAAGCGTGGACGCAGCTCGATGCTATTTTGCCGCTCCTCGATGTGTTTCTACCCAACGAAGTGGAAGCCATGAAGATCTCCAAGACATCGTCGGTTGACGCCGCACTCGACTACTTTGCGTCCCTCCCGAATGGCCCCAAGCTCACCGTCATCAAGGTCGGCAGCGACGGCGCCCGTGCGATCACGGGCCAGACCAAGACGGTCTGGCACCATCCGTGCTTTCCGACGACGCTCCTCGACGCCACGGGTGCCGGCGACGCGTTCAACGCCGGATTTCTGCATGCGTGGACCGCCGATGCGTCGGACGTTCACCGTGCGCTGCGCTACGGCTGCGCGCTTGGCTCTGCCTGCGTGAGCCGCCTCGGTGCGTGCACGCAACTGCCGTCGCCAGAGACCATTCACGCCCAAGTCCAATTGCGCTAAAGATGTCTTGAGGAAGCGAGAACCAAAAGAGGATGGCTCGATCTGCGAGATATGTTAACGGCTTCGACTCGTACGCATCCTAGAAGAAGGCGTTCTTTATACAATTTTGCACGACCACTATCGCAGCGACAAAACGAAGTGGTTGGTTGCAGTCGACCGGTCCGTCGTGTCGATGCAACACCAGTAGTAGCCTGCGAAAGCTTCGCTCGAAGCAGACGACGATGTCCACTTAGCGTAGCGTCAACAAGCGTGAATTGTCCTCCACGACAGGGTTTCGTCAACACATTGCATCTCGGACGTGAGGTGCGTCTTGCAGCCATCATTGTGCAGCACCGTTCCCGTCGTAGGGCACCATCGCGTAGAGTCTCTCCTGCGCCGATCGATATGTGAGCGTTTGGTCTTGGACTTGGAGGATCTCGACCTATATGATGCTGTTTAAGGGTCACCATGAGACAAAGTGTCGTAAGAAACCCATACTAGTACCAAGGCCATAAATATATTTATGGCCTTGCCAGTACATAACGAGTAACGTTGTACAGAGAGCAACGAGTGCTGTGGCTGGCACTTTCCACCTTAGACTCGATTGTGGTGTAAGGATTCTCGAAACAGTTCGTCACTGGGGTATCTGGCCATTGAGATCACTTGGGCCGTTTCCAAGGAGTGGAAGAGGTTTTCCGCGCAAGGCTGAGCGATCTAGAAGACCAGTTACAAGAGCGCACAAGATCCAAGATCCAGGCGCAGAGCACCAGCCATTTCCGAATTGGTAATAGTGTCAGTCAAATAACTAACCCGCCTCGCCCACCACCGGCATGGCGGACGCCAACACGGTTGTTGCCCCCAAGTAGTTCGGTCTTGATTGAGGAATATACAAACTCGGACACGTCTGCAATGGATCACGGACACGCAACTAAACAGCATATTACGCCACGGGCACCAAGGAAATACTCATGTACTCTTCTTGTAGCTTACCGGTATCATCACACCGCTTAAACCGCTTAAGTACGCCGTTTCGTACATTTAAGATCTTACGTACATTGGCATCCGCCAATCAAACGCATCACCAACCTTGGTAAGATCTGGCACCATTATTATGCAAGCAAGGCGGTCGCCGTCTGCGAATAAGAACTCCTACTGAATCGGGAGGGATGGTTCGTAGAATCACTCTTCGACACGATGGAAGATCGTATAGCTGCCTTGCACCTGGAAAGCAGCACCGTCTACATCGCTACAAGGCATAGCAATTACAAGTCGTATTTACGGTTTTGATTCGATATTGCTATCGAGAGTACTAGCACTTTGTTCGCTCAGAACCTAAAAGCGATCCAACTCGAGCAATGAATGACTTGGAGTCTCAAAACGGGCCTAACGTTATCGAGAAAGGCTGTTGTGACGTTACCGTCAGCGCATCATCACCAAACAGGTAATTACACCGAGCATTACGCACGGTTTGCATTGCGCTCCCCAAATGTGTTCATGGACACAGCTCCTCTTGTTCATGAACGACACCTTGCATCGCTTCGCAGCATCGCCAATAATGTAATCATCATCGAATCGAGCCGCGTCGATGAGTGTCCTTATTTACATTCCGAGTTTGTATGGATGATGGGTAGCCAGCACCGTGAAGAGACAGAGAATGCACCATTGCATCCATAGTCTGTCTGGCGCGCTGCGGTGTCCATGGCGTCGTCTTCGGTCGCCATAAGCCTCTACATTGCGGGCTGCACATGAAAAAACACTCATGATGCATAGTAGAGGTTGCCGTCATTCCCAGCACAAGCAAGCGCCTCGACCTGCGGCCGTCTCTTGTCCCCAACTGCAAAATATCGAATGCGCGCCTTTGCGGCTCTGGTCGACGCGACATCGCATTTATTTATACCTAATCTTAGTATTTCTAACATGATGTATAATAATTCCGAGTGGCATATGCATACAATCACGTGATTTGCACCACTCACCTTTATCCGGATGATGACCGTGCGATGATGGACCAGGTCTCTAAAACAAGGTTTCTATAAATGCAATTTGAACTGCAATGTGAAAGATGGTTGTTCTACCGAGGGGATCTTGATTTTTCTATCCGGAATCGCGCGTTCGAGTTGTGAAACGCAACAATGCAGATGGCCCCACTCCAGTATTGTGAGCAGCTCCTTCTTGTCGGACGCCGACCATGCGCAATGTACTGCTTGTAGCCACCGCACTACTAGGAGCGCCCGGCAATCGCGCCGATTCCGCAGACGTAGCGGTGCCGGCCCGGTGGCTTCGCGTAGCAGCAGACCCGACATCCATGGTGCCGTCGCCGGCACCCAAGCCGTCACCGTCGACGGTGCCGTCGCCGTCCGTGACACCTTCGCCGACACCGACAACGACTCCGCCGCTCACACCGACGACGACGCCGCCTAGCACAACGCTTTTATCGACGACAGCACCGCCGCCGACAACGGTCGTGACGTTGACACCGACGTCGCCACCGGTCACGCCGCGCCCGACACCGGCGACACCTGCGCCGACGCAGCGGGTGGTGACATCCACTCCCACGATCGTCTATGTCGATCCGACGCTAGGCCCGACACCGATACCGTCGATCGCAGCGAGCAGCGGTGCCGATTTGCAGCAGTACGTTGTCCCGGCAGTCGTCGGTGGCGCAGTCGTCATCTTCATCTTGATCCTGCTCGTGCTCCGGAAACGTCGGCATGAGAAGCGCTACGACGACATGGACATTGTCAGTCCCTACAGCATGCGCCCCGGGACGTTTCTTAACGAGGACGGCAACCCGATCCCGTACAAGCGCGGGTACACGTCGTTCAACGCGAGCCTGCGCAACACCAACGTCGACTCGCAGCTCGAGACGCGCACGACCGCATACGACTTTGACGTGCCCGAGACTGCAAACAGCTACCACACCAACTCCAACAGCATCGGTAGCAACGCCAACAACATCAGTAGCAGCCACCAAACGACCCGCGGCACGCAGCGCTCGGAGAGTGCCCACAGCAGCAGCACCGAGGACGATGTCGCTGCCATGTCCGGGTCGCGTCGAGGCCAGCACATCTGTCTGGACCGTGTTGTCGAGTACCGTCGGTTGACCTACGACGCCAACCGCGTCACATCGCCGACGAGCTTGCACCAGGTGACTGAAATTACGATTTAATCGCAACCCAGCAACGTCGTTATACTATACCGTTGGTAACCCACTAACAACCTGAACGTTTTGCGCAGACGACCAGTGCACTTTCATGCCACCACGCTCCTCGGCGATACGGCAAGGCCCTTGCTTATCCTCCTGTAGTGCATGGACACGCTGCACTGCGCCTCGCCGATCCACGTCAAGTCGAGGTGCCATGAGATGGCGACGTACAGCGCTGTGAGAGAAGCAGTGCTGCATGTTGATTACCGTGTCAGTCCGAAGAACGCCACCGATATACACTCGTATTGGATGGGCGTGAGCCCTATCATGTCGGCGCCAGGACACTGGATTTGTTGGTCGTCTTGCCTGCAAGTGCAATCTCCTCGTCGCCGTCTTGCCATGACTTCTCCCTTGTTGAAGTTGACGCAAAGCTCCATGGCCTTCGACGACCGTAAACACGCCAACGACGCTGCGTATCGAGAGCCGAGTTATCCATTTCAGAGCGGAGAGCAATCACGCCATGGCCACTGTGCCGACATTGCACTTTCTTCGAGACGCGCATACCAGCTGTCGACGTGGATGACGTGATGTCCACGGACTATGGATCCACCATATCTCGCTTGTCTATTGCGCTGGCACACACAATATTGTCATGACATGGCAAGGGACACCAACCGACGCCTCTGTTCCTCAACCGATTGCGCAATCCGCCTGTTTAGTCCCACCTACGTCTTATTGGCCAGGTAGTACCCAATCGGCAGAGGAGAGAGCATGGCCCCGGCAGCGCCATCGTGCGACCCGCGGCTGCTGCACCAGCGGGCGCGCAAGAAGCGCAACTCGCAGGCGTGGCGCCAAAAGCAACTCGTACGCTGTCTGTCGCCACACGTAAGCTCACGCTGGCGACCGTAGATGACCAAGGAGTCGCTCCGCGCTGAGATCACCGACCTCGAGCGCCACATTGCCGGCCTCCACATCGTGCTCGCCTCGTGCCCGCATCGCGCGCACATCGTCGAGGTCTCCCGCAAGTATACGAACCTCATGGCCGAGAAGGCGTACCTCGAGCGCGAGAATGCAATGCTGCACATGGCCGTCGAGCGCCGGGACCTCTTTGTGCGAGCGGTTCAGCCCGCGATTGTACGTCGTGCAGATCCCCTTCCTTTTCTTCGGCCTCATCTGATGTAGCCGCGCTTTAACGTGGCCGACACGCGGCTCCAAGACAACATGTTCCTCCTCGACCACGTTCAGCGCGTCTTGCGCGAAGTCACGACGACGATCCCGGCCGCGCTCGCCCACGGGCCGCCCATGACGGCGGTCGTGGATGGCTGGCGCGCGCTCTTTGTCGAGCAAGGGCTGCAACTGACCTTCAAGCTCGAGCGCACGGTCGGCTTGCTCCACCTCGACGACGTCCAGCGCATGAGCGAGTACCACTGGGCGCAGCGCAACCACAAGGAAACGTACTTGTTCATCAACACGAACGCCGCCGACTTTACCGTACGTAGTGATAGTAGCATGGACAATCTGTCCAACCTCGCAAGCGCTTGAAAATGTATTGTTATGTAGGTCATTCGGCAGCCGCAGCGGGACCTGAGTGTCGTCGAGTGCGTCCTCAAGACGCCGAGCGTGGTGCGCGTCATGATTCAGTTTCAAGTGTACTTGACCAACGGCTTTGACTATTGCATGATCAACCTCTCGCCCGACCTGGAGCGCGTCACGACCTTTATGATGTACACTATTGTCTATATTGTGTGTTTGGAATTGACGTCGCGTAGGATTTCGGTGCGCGTCATCGACGGCCAAGTGGTCACGACGGCGAGCGGCCGCGGCACAGCGGTGATCGAGCTACCGCACCCGTGCCTCATGAACCTCCTCGTGTCTCAACTCGCGCAGTGGGAAAATGCGCTTCGCTCGCATTACGGCCACCCCGCGACGACAGACCTCTGAATCTGTACAGCATCTGTGTAGGCCACCGAGCTCGTCAAGTACATGTATGCTACACGTATGTAGCACAGTCCTTAGCCATAAACAACATTGACGTGTCATGTGTCAACAAGCGACTATTGGTTGGTTCAATCGCAGCTTTTCTAGCTCCAGTGTCTACGCGCGCAAGCACCTTGCAACGTACTTGCGTACCCTAGCAACCGTCGACGCGTTGTTGCTACTAGCCAGCGGAGTTGGCGCTGTCGCGAACGCGGTGAAATGGAGTGCAAGGTGCCTCTCCATCACATGCGATCTGTGGATCTGGAAATGCAGGCGCGAGATGGACGAGTGCTGGAACTTGCTTCAACGCAAGCCAGGGATCTGAGTTTTGAGTGGTTTTATTCGTTTTTGCTCAGATTGTCACAGCGCCAACCCGTGCTGTGCTCTTGCTATGGCCGCATTCCCGCTGTCGTTGTGATAAGAATGGCCAGGGCACTTCCACTCGCATGCGCCTTCGTGGCTGGCATTTTGGCGCGCTGGTGTAGGGACGTTAGTCGACGACTAGAGTGTATATAGTTGACAGACAACTAGGGTTGTACAGAGACGATAGCGATGTACGATCTAGAAGCCGAATCTGAATTCGTTCGGTGCGTCGTGTCTTGTCCGCGACCCTGTCACTCGTTTGACACGCGACTTCGAAAATCCATGAATGTCAGTGCCACAATTACATATTTTACATTTGAAAATCAAATGTTTCAATGTGTATTTGCATTTTGTATGCGTGGATGCATATTGCATCTCGAATGACGCACTGACATGGTTTCTTGTCCCGTTTCGTCAAGCGAGGGAAAATGGCTATATAATGTGCAAGAAATCCAACTAATGTCGTTAAACCGAGGCGATCTTGATGACACGCCTGGCCTTTGAAAGCTACTTGTGTAACCAACCTTTCATGTTGATGGGCATCTCAGCACTTCCACTTTTCCTTTCCACGCCCGCATGCGCTGGGTGCGCGCCTATAGCATTGGTCTCATGGGCCTTCTGGCACTCGCTTCAGCAAGCGACAACGTCGCGCCCGGTCAAGCCCCGCGCTGGCTACGATCGGCGAGCAGTAGTACTGGCTCTGGTTCTCGCATTGTAGCGTCACAACAGCCACTATTGACGCCTGCGCCGACCGAGGCAACGGTCGCTCCAACGGTAGCGCCAAAGACATCGGTGCCACCTTTATCAACAGCGACTCCGACGGCATCGCCAACGTCATCGCCGACGGCATCACCGACTGACCGGCCGACAGACGAGCCTACGAGCCCGCTTCCGGCGTCCACTACCACGAGTGCACCTGTGGATACAACGGCACCGGTGACCAAAAGCCCGACACCGACACCTCTGCCTTCGCCATTACCCGACACGACGCACCAGCCAGTCACAACGCGGCCTGAACCGTCCTCGGTACCACCAGCGTCGCGCGTTGTTACCACGCTACCACGAACCAGTCTTCCAAAGCCAATAACGACGGCAGACCAAGCAGTGGAGAGCACTTCAGCGCCTACGGTGGCGGTCGCGGCTGCAAACGCCGCGCCGCTGAGTCAGTACGTTGTCCCCGCAGTGGTTGTCGCAGCTGTCGTCATATTTTTGCTGGTGGCATCTATCGTGCGTCTTCGCAGCCGTCAAAACGATGAGCAACACATTCCGAGTCCGTACTCGACGCGCCCTGCCGGGTCATTCCAAGGCATCGCCGTGCCGGCACGTGCCAGTGTTAGCAGCGGCACGTCGTTTCCCCACAGCCGTGCGGCTCGCGGTCGCAACGGCAGCGTCGATGCCTCGTTTCGATGGCGAAGCCAAAGCGACGACCAGACGTCGTTTACACGAAGCAGCCTCGCGTCATCTTTGAACGGCACGCGCCTGCAGTGCCTCGACGAAGAGGTCGCGCAGCGCCGGGCACACTATGACGCCAAGCGCATCACGTCCCCGACGAGCTTTAACGAAGTCGTCTTGTAAGAGCAAGCCCATGATAACGTTGCAAACAAATGCGTCTCCTGTAACCGACGCCTCATGCAACACCACATCGGAAAAGCAACGCGAATGGACAGCAGCATTTGCAGATTTCGTGGCAGTCCCCATCTTTCTGAGGCCTATGTGTTGTGTGTCATCGCGCCATCGGTTCCTTCAACCCAGTACGCAATTCGACTGTGTCAAACCCAAACCGAACCCCAGCCTTAACCCCACTGCAAGTGGGCTACAAACAATTCACGTCGTCTGGAGTCAAATGACTTGTATTGAGCATAACTAGTCATCGAAACAGTCTGGTACGGCGCGTTACCACCCACCGTGTCCGTGCCAGTGGCCACCGCGTCCGTGCCAGTGGCCACCGTGTCCGTGCCAATGACCACCACGTCCGTGCCAATGACCACCGTGTCCGTGCCAGTGTTCGTCCATCATGTCGGGATGTCCGCGGTAGTCTTCGTAGTCCATTTCCATGACTGCGTCACGGGACATGGGTGCAGCACCCTTGGGAAGCGCGGCTTCGGCTGGCTTGTCCTTGGCGGCAGGCGTCGAGTCGGCCATCGCCATCGCGGCAAGCGCCAAAAGCGTCGAGAGCGTGATCTTCATGGCAGAGCGCAAATTGAAATCTGAGGTTGAGACTACTGCAGCAGCGGGTCTGTTTTCCACAGCACATTCTTGAACGCTTGAGGGATTTGGACTTGTGACGGGTGGCGACACGCGTTCCGAACAGGCTTTTATTGTACCGGTAGGTGTCATCTACGTGCGCAATGGTTGGCTACCAAAAATGCATTTTCATCAAAATCTCAGATCGACCGCTAAGCCATCTCAGATAAAATCCGAGATGATCTGAGATTTTTTGACCTCCAAAAATGCGCGCGAAATCACGTCTCGTGGCAAAATGCTATACCGTGACAGCCAGTCAATTTAGAGCTGGAATTCGTCGTCAGTAAGGAAAATGCGCTTCGTCTTTGCGCTCGTCATCGCCCGGCGCATCGCTCGTCGTCGTGAAGCCACCCGTGAAGCCACCCGTGAAGCCACCCGTGAAGCCGCTTGCAGGGCACGTCGCTGGCTGATTCTTGCTTCGCTCATGCGGCTTCGGGACTTCATGCGCGAGCGCAACTTTCTGCACTTGTCGAGCTTTTTCGCGACCAAGAGAGCGCTCCGTGGTATCATTTTTACGCGCGCCGCGACAACTCGTCGTCCATCTCGCTCGTGTCGAGATGCATTCGAGGATCTACTCATCGTTTTTGCGCGCCATTACGTTGTCGCCTCGGGTCGCGCCGTGGCCGTCCCCCGCGCATTCACAATCTGCACTGTGTGTTGGGTTTGCTTTTGACGTACTACACGACGCCGACGGAGCACAAGCTTTTGTGTAAGTCGTTCGCCATTGCCCCTTCGACGCTGTCAGATAAAGAATGTATTTGGTGTCCAAGTGCACACTCTTCCTTTTCTAGCCTTCCTTATGCATCGTCCCGCCAAACATTTGAGCTACACATCATCGTCATTTGAAGGTGGTCAGCACGGTCGCGACGGGCTTCATCCTGGCGGCGACCCTCGTCGTCGCGTAGTCCTTGCTCGTGCTGCCATTGCGCCCCTCGCTCTTCGCGGTCACGAGTCCGTGCAGCTTCACGGGCTTCTCGTTCAGCCTCGCGCCTCGCCTCTCTATCCTCCCGCTCATCTTGACGGCGTTGCGACGTTTGGTCCATCATGAGCATCATTTGCATGATCGAGAAATCGGTTGATCGGTATTGTTGAGACTAGACGCTAGTTGTAGCATGAAGTCTTCGGCGGCGCTTCACGTCGTCGTCACGCTACCGGTACCTGCTATGTAGGAATGCATTTTGAGAATGCCATGGCCAGCATACTTGATTGAGGCATCTTTCTGAGGCCTATGTGTTGTGTGTCATCGCGTCATCGGTTCCTTCAACTCGGTACGCAATTCGACTGTGTCAAACCCAAACCTAACCCCAGCCCTAACCCCAGCCCTAACCCCACTGCTAGTGGGCTACAATCGTTTACGTCTTCTGGAGTCAAATGACTTGTATTGAGCATTACTAGTCATCGAACCGGTCTGGTACGGCGCGTTACCACCCACCGTGTCCGTGCCAGTGGCCACCGCGTCCGTGCCAGTGGCCACCGCGTCCGTGCCAGTGGCCACCGTGTCCGTGCCAATGACCACCGCGTCCGTGCCAGTGGCCACCGCGTCCGTGCCAATGACCACCGTGTCCGTGCCAGTGTTCGTCCATCATGTCGGGATGTCCGCGGTAGTCTTCGTAGTCCATTTCCATGAGTGCGTCACGGGACATGGGTGCAGCACCCTTGGGAAGCGCGGCTTCGGCTGGCTTGTCCTTGGCGGCAGGCGTCGAGTCGGCCATCGCCATCGCGGCAAGCGCCAAAAGCGTCGAGAGCGTGATCTTCATGGCAGAGCGCAAATTGAAATCTGAGGTTGAGACTACTGCAGCAGCGGGTCTGTTTTCCACAGCACATTCTTGAACGCTTGAGGGATTTGGACTTGTGACGGGTGGCGACACGCGTTCCGAACGGGCTTTTGCTAGTGCACTCCTTACATGAATGGTCGCGCAATGCATCTGCCGAGCGTGCACGACACTGCCAACAATGCCCCCGCCGGGGTTCAAACTCAATCTGCCAGCCATCGTTTCCTAGAGCCTTTCCCATCTAGAGTTATATCCTGACTGTGCGGTGTTGACATCTTCTTCGGTCGTATAGGGTACGGCGAAGACAAGGGAAATGTTTGGGAAAAGCCGGCTATGGGTTCACCAAATGGCGTTTATCCATTCAAAGCATGGACATGAAGCCGAGGTCAAAGCGATCTAGTAGCCCAAGTAGCTCTACGGCATGCGTGGATTCGATTGATCAGAGTGCGATGTTTCCGTTGGTTGTCGAACCCTTGCTACGAGTAGCACTGCGTCGGACTGCCTCCTCTGGCGCCATATCCCACCGTTTCCACTTCAGCGTGCGGCGCTTAGTCCGTAGGTGGCGACTCCAACAATCTAGCCGCGGTCTACTCGTGCTCTCGCTACCACTCCGTGATGTGGAGAACGTTGAGACCGTCGCTGCATACATGATTGCCTCCTGCGTCGTGTCGATGCACGAGTCGGATTTCGCCTTCTCGTCTCAACGCCGCGCCGCCTCGTCCATGGTCGGCGTCCACAGCGCAACGCAGCCCACACGATAGAAACCGCATCACCAACAAGAAATCAAGTCGACATCCATGGACAACAAAATGTGTTGATTTCATGCATGTCGCAAGGACGTGATCCGCAATTTCTTTACAAACCGTCGGCCTCGTGATGACCACCGCCGTGATAACCACCGCCATGATGACCACCACCACCGTGGTGACCGCCGCGACCACCTTCACTGTGATGACCACCGCCATGATGGCCACCGCCATGATGACCGCCTCCGTGATGACCACCGCCATGATGACCTCCACCACCGTGGTGACCACCGCCATGATGACGACCACCGCGGTGGGAGCTCCAGTGACCGTTGCTCCACGGGCCACCCCAGTGCTCGTCTACATTTTCCCAGAGCTCGCTGCCAGGGTAGTCTTCGTAGTCATGGTCGGCAAACTTGCCGTGGTTGTCGTTGGAGCGAACGCCTTCGGCTTGAGAGGCCTGCTTGGCGTCAGCTGGCTCCGAGTTGGCAATGGCCAAGGCGACAGTAGAAAGCAGTGCGAGAAGGGCAATCGTCATGGTAGCGTGCGAATCAAAAACTAAGGAGCTCAGGGAGAGCTTGGGTGCAGCGTTGGCTGGTCGCCAAGAGTGATTGGTGTGTCTGGACATCGTGGTGGATGCGTTGGGACTATCGTCTTCTCGCAACGCCATAGGGTTTTTCTGCGAGTATGCGTCAAATTCGTCCTGCACCGCGACCTCCAGTCGTTGACGCCGCCTCAGTCGCTGGCGTCTCTCGAGGACCTCAACAAACTGCGTAGCTCTGCCGCCGACGGCAAAGCCTGGAAGGCTTTTACACAGCGTGTCGTCATGGGCCTCACCCGCGGCCACAAGCGCCCCCGGACGACCACAGAAGAGCAAAACGAGCCCCCGCGCCGCCGCCTGCGCAGCCACGGCCCGGCGAGCGAATGAAGAAGAAGGAGATTGCTAGTCTCTACGTATGCGAACTCTTTGTAACAACGAAGATAACGCGAAACACGTTCATATATATATGCGTCAAATGACGTGGTAAAGGGTTAGGAGCCAACCACGTAAACGCCCCAATGTGCCCGTTGGTACCACACACCCTTTCAACAGTCGATCCAGCCAACTTTAACCTACCACACATGCATGACGCCCCCGCTCTTTCTTGTTTCATGTGTCGTACGCCGTCGCGCCATCGGTTCCTTCAACTCAGTGCGCAATTCGACTGTGTCATACCCAAACCTAACCCCAACCCTAACCCCACTGCTAGTGGGCTACAAACAATTCACGTCGTCTGGAGTCAAATGACTTGTATTGAGCATAACTAGTCATCGAACCGGTCTGGTACGGAGCGTTACCACCCACCGTGTCCGTGCCAGTGGCCACCACGTCCGTGCCAATGACCACCGTGTCCGTGCCAATGACCACCGCGTCCGTGCCAATGACCACCGTGTCCGTGCCAGTGTTCGTCCATCATGTCGGGATGTCCGCGGTAGTCTTCGTAGTCCATTTCCATGACTGCGTCACGGGACATGGGAGCAGCACCCTTCGGAAGCGCGCCTTCGGCTGGCTTGTCCTTGGCGGCAGGCGTCGAGTCGGCCATCGCCATCGCGGCAAGCGCCAAAAGCGTCGAGAGCGTGATCTTCATGGCAGAGCGCAAATTGAAATCTGAGGTTGTGGCGAATGCAGCAGCGGGTCTTTTTTCCACAGCACATTCTTGAACGCTTGAGGGATTTGGACTTGTGATGGGTGGCGACACGCGCTCCGAACAGGCTTTTATTGTACCGGTAGGTGTCCCCTACGTGCGCATTGAGTGAACTACCACAACTCTCTCGAGCTGAATCGCGCCAACATCCTATAGGAGAGACTTGATTGAGGCCATGTGTGCTTTACATTCACCTCGGCGAAGCCTTTTGGCAGCGTTTCTCTCCTTTTGAACAAATCGGACCGACCGACGGCGACACCGTCTCATCCACTGGGACAGACTGTGCAAGTGTTAAAGCAATAGAGTGCAGCCATAAAAAGCTGAATAAACAGCAATGACATCAAAGAACAAAATACAGTCGAGTAAACCACGATAATTACGCCCACGGTACACGACACCCGGTGCCCGAGAGACCACGGACAAGCATCGCGACACCGGTGGTGATCGCTAGCGCACCCACAGCGGTCAAAACACACCCCACAAACAGAGTGACGGACGCCTTCACTGCGCTTGCCATGGCTGAAGCGACAACAACAGTACTTGAGAGCAAAAAAGGTCGACCCAGCACCATCATCGCAACCCCTTCAACCGCTGTCACGACACCCCCGACCGCCACGAGTGCCCTCCCGAGCTGCTGCTCGCGCGCGTCCGCGCCGGTGCGATTGCGCGGCGGGCGTGGTGCCGATGCCATCCGACTTGGTTTCGTGTGGCGCACAACTCCGACGACCGCGAGAAGGACCAGCGCGATGAGGAGCGCAATTACGTCCAGCATCTCCAAGCAACAATGCGCCTCAGTGTCTGGTTCATCAATCAAGTCGCCATGCATCAGAGGTTCAAACGACCACTGCTGATGTGTCGGGATGTGTAGGCTGTCATTGTGGTAGTTTATATCGACTACCCATCGATGCCGCGCACGGGGGCGAGCATCCCGCCCGTACGCGCCGCATCCAAGCGGTCTTCCATGGCCTTGACCGCGCGCCGAAGGCTCTCAATCTCTTGGCGCTGGTTGTCGACGACGATGGCGAGGTCGTCGTCGCCGCCGCCTTTTTTCGAAAAGTACTCGCGCGTGCCGAGAATGGCCTTGTCCTTTTGCAGCGTCGCCTTGCTTACGTTGAGCGCGGCGCGGATCTCGTTGATTTCGCCGATGAGCGCCATGTTGTCGTTGCGCGCTTGATTGTTCTCGTGCTGGTGCGTCGCGACGTCGTGCGCGTACTTCTTCTTGAGCACGTCGACGGATTTCTCCAGGTAATCTTTTTGACGCTTGTACTCGTGCTGGATGTCGACGTCGACGTCGACGACTGCGATCGTCGTCGTCACGTACTTGTGGTACATGCTCGCCACCTTTTGCGTGAGCTCCTTTGGGCTCTGGATGCTCTGCACCGTGTCGTAGAGGTCGCAGCGAAATCTAATTTGACAAGTTGTCTCTGTACGAATGGTGCAACATTTATCTGCATCAACAATACCGTCGAATGAGCGACTGCTGGTCACCAATGATCTTGCGGTTGCGCGTGATGTCGGCTTGCATCTTGTCGAGGCGCCGGCGCTGCTCGCCAATCATAATGTCGAGTTGCGCGTTCGCCTTGTGGAAGAGCTCGAGTTCGCGGTCCATCTCCTTGATTTGCTCCTTCATGTCGGCGATCTCACTTTGGCGCGGCTCGATCTGGCGTTTGAGCTCCTTGATCTTGTAGTCGAGCACGAATTTGAACTTTTCCAGCTCTTGGTTCTTCTTTTTGAGATCGTAAATGCGCTTTTCTTTCTCGCCAATTGTCTCGTCGCGGCTGCGGATTTCCTACTTTTCCCATCAGATGGGTACATGGAACGAACGAGAATACGCGTTTGAGCGCCTGGATTTCCTTCTCGAGCGTCTTGATTTGTTCAAACAGGTCTTTTTCTTTTTCCAAAAGATTTTTGATCGCGTCGCGCTGGTCCTCGATGTCCTTTTGAAGCGCAGTAAACTTCTTCTTCATGATGCCATTCTCGCCCTTGTAACGCAGCGTTGCCTCGCGCTCGGCCGCCAACTTGTCTTCGTAGCTACCATATTGATGGTACACTATTGTCTATACTTGACAGAGTATACCGTTTTTTGAGCCCTTCGATTTCGACATCAATGTCCTCCTCGAGCTGCGTCTTGGTCTCAATGTACTCTTTGTGGAGCTCTTCGCGGTCGTCTTCCATCTGCATGCGCAGCTGTCGGTCTTCGTCCAAGCGCTGCTCGAAGTCTTCCGTGACCTCCGAGACGTAGCTACAGCATGCGATGAGTGCATTTCAAGCAAAAATGATGCAGAAAAAAGGGACAAAAAACATAAAAGGCATACCGTTCGTGGGTCGAAACGAGCGCTTGCTGTTCTTGCTGCCAGCGCACGCGCTGGTGCTCGCGCTGCGTGAGCACGTCTTGGTACCGCTCGACCTCCTTCATGATTTTCTGTTGGTACTCGGCTTCGACTTCTTGCATTTGCTGCTCGTGCTTCTCTTCCATTTGCTTGACGCGCTCTTCGTACTCCATTTCAATGTCGTTCTTGTCTTCCCGTAAGAGCTCAAACTTGTTTTTCTCTTGCTCAATCTCGTGTGTGAACTTTTCCGTGACTTCCTTGAGGTGCTCGTTGTAGTTCATGTCCTTGAGCCGGAGCTGGTACTCGTTGTGGAGCGTGAGTTCGTCCACTTTGTTCTTAAGCTCGACCATCGACGTGTTTTTCTCTTCGAGGTCGCTCTTGGTGACGAGGATTTCTTCCGCAAACACGGTGTTTTCGCGGCCGTCCTTAGCCCGCGCCCGACCTTCCTTGTCGCGGATCTCGAAAATGCACACGACACCGTCTTCGCCACACACGAGCAGATACAAGTCGTCGAACGAGATGCGCATGCGCGTGACTAGACACATCGTTGGTCACAAAACGTCGGAAATAGGGAGACGGACTGGGGCCGCTGAGGCACTGAAATTCGGTAAATTCCCCCGTGAGCGGAAATTTGTACGACCGAACGGTGCCGAGTTTGTCGGGCTCGACCGCGCCCGCAAACAGCATTCGTTGCGAGTTGGAGAGCACGATTTGCCCGAGCATCACTTCCGCGTTAAACTCTTTCGAGAGCTACCACAATATAGGGACAGGGTTGCTTGTCCATCGCGGAAAAAACAAAAGTACCGTGGAGGCTGGGAACTCGATCTCCTTGAGCATCTTGTCGGCGCCGACGGCAAACACCGAGGTGCCTACAATTCGTTCATTGGTGAAAACGGGTGCAATCGATCGACGGGAGGCTGTACCTTCACGGTTGCAGACGGCCGAAAAGTACGGGACGCCTTTCTGCACAAACTCGCCGTCGCGCTTGGATTCGTCAAGATCCCATTGGTACACGGCGCCGTCCATGCCGGCGCTGATGACGCCCGAGTCGTCATAGTTCCAGTACAAGCTGCGGACTTTGCCGTTGTGCCCGCGAAGATTCGCAATCAAGTCGCACGTGTTCATTGAAAACACTTGGATCGTGTTGCCGTTCACCGCTGCGAAAAGGTGGCCGCCCGTGCTAATGGACAACTTGTCTTCTTCTCGAAGGACGCGATGGAATCGGTACCTAAATTGGCACTCGCGGCACGCCTTGATCGTAAACTCCTTGAAAGGTCGAATGTCGTCCATGAGCACGTTCATGAGCCGGAGCTTGTCGGCGAAACCCACGAGGATGTGAAGTCCACTCGGGTGCATCGAGACGCTATGGGCTTCTTCGGTGAACTGCTTGTACACTTCGCAGGTTCGGTCAATATAGTTCCACACCTACCATATTGATACACTGAAACTTTCAACCATTGAAACGTTGAAGAGGACGTACGCGAACCGTCTTGTCGAGGCCGCACGTGACGATCGTGGGCTTGCGCACGCACACGTCCATGCCCGTCACATGGAGGCATCCATTTTCGCCAGGTCGGTGGAACGGCGTCACGAGTGCCTCGATTTCCTCGGTTTTGAACGAGTCTTTCATTTGGTACGGGAAAATGTAAATCTGGGCACTCGAGAGCGCGGCGACGATCATGTCTTCGTTCGGACTCACAGTGAGCCCGACGACGCGGGAAATCGCACTCTCGACTTTGATCGACTTGGAGAATGTCAAGCTCTCGGTGGCCGGTGCGTTGCGGTCGCTATTGACCAGAAACAAGCTCACCTACATACAAGAATAGTGTGCGTCAACGCGTCCGATGGCAGCGAAAAATATATACCATCGACTTGTCGCTGCCCACGACGATGCCCTTGCTCGTCGAGACCATGGACACGATGCTGCGCGAGTCGCCGGGCGACGCGAGGAGGCGGCACACAAACTCACCGGCCTAAAAAATCAGCTTATTGCTCGAAACTAGATCCCAAATACGGTACGCGAAAGAGCAGCAAGTCGCCGGCCGCTGTGCCGACGACGACCTCGTCTTCTTTTTGCTTGAGCCACGTGTGGCAGAGGAGGTTGGTCGCGTCGACGCGGGCCATCGGCATCGGTCGGAACGCCGTGTCGACGATGCGGAAGAACTTGATCAAGTTGATGCCGGTGCAGCACACGATCGATGGGTCGACGTTGGAAAACGAGCACTGCGTCACGAACTGCGGGTTCGCCGCCGCGTTCCCGGCCGGCGTCGCCGTGTGGAGCTTCATGCTCGCGACAGCCTTGCCTTTGGCCCAGTTCCAGCACACGAGCGTCCAATCGGGGGCGCCTCCTTGGGTCAAGAGCAGCTGGTTGTCCGCACTGAACTCCATACTCACAAAGGTCTTGCTGAGGCTCTCAGACGTCGTGAGCACTTTGCGCTTCTTGAGCGTCTTGAGGTCGTAGATGCTCACGATGCCGCGCTCGCTCTTCTCGGCAATCGCAATAAAGCTATCGATTTTTCGCATCAGTCCCGAGACGATTCGAGCCAAGTGCATGCCGGCGGCTCGGACACACGGAGAGCGACGTGATGCCTTCGGTGTTCTCCGTGCACGTGATGAACTTTTGCTTCTTGTCGTCGAGCCCGTACACAACGAGGCTGTGCCCCGCGGGGTACGCGACCATCTGGTCGTCGACGTACGTGGCCGCGTTGGCGACGTTGGCCTTGAGCCCAAACACGTGCCTAGCCGAATAGTCGCATCGATGCCATCGTTCGAGAGCGGATACCGGTGCACGAGCGTCGCGCTTGACATGACAGCGGCGCTTCGAAGAGTCGCTGGAAACGAACAACCCAATACAAATAGTCTGATGACCTCAATTTAGTGTGGACGATCCAAAAAGGACAGATTGTCCACGATAAACGAAAACGAGTGCGTCCTTGGAATCAAGTTGATGGGCTCACGACGAATGCATAAATGTGTAGAGGATGCGAGCGGTAGCAGCCCATTTCATCACGGTAACGGGGACGAGTACGGTGTGAACGCCCTCGGGTTGCCATGAACGAGCGCAGTGGCACGACTTGGCGATGCTACATCTCTCCACCCCTACAGTCGCGGTCGCACCAGAGGCATTTCCGCACGGCAAATTACGATCATCCATTCGGCTGCGACACGCTGTTGGGTCGTCGTCCTTTTTCCTCAAGTAGTGAGAGCCCCTCTTCTGTCGCTTCACCGCAAAGCCACACAGACGCGATGAGCGCGCCATCGCTGAAGTCCATGATGTGCTCGAGTCGCCGACCCTGCATTGAACGACGAGCGGCTTGCAACAGCCTCGCTGCATGCAGGCTTCGTGCTCAAGACAATGGATGTGGCGGCCTTTTGTTGATGTACACATGTTACAGAGAATGATAAATGTCAAAATTGTCGACGCGACGACTCGACTCGACTAGCGCGGGCTCACCGACTCGGTTTCTGGCTGGCCGTAATGGGCGCGGAGGACGTTTTCCCACTGGTTGAGCTGCGAGACAAGCCCGCGCAAGAGCAGTGCGTTGGGCAGGTCGACAATCGCAGTGCCACCGCCGACAGCCGTCGTGACGATCTCGCCATGGGCGACGCGCACCGAGACCCTACAATAATGGCACGTTGTTCGTGCAAATACTCGCGAGCTATGGCGTACAGCATAAAGGTTGTCATGCGGTTCAAGTCGGGCGAGAGGTTGATCGTGCAATAGTCAAAGCCGTTGGTCAAATACGTCTGAAACTGAATCATGACGCGGACAGCGTCCGGGTCTTTAAGAATGCATTCCACGATGCTCAAATCTTGCTGCGGCCGGCGAATGACCTAGAGAAGAATACCATTTGATCATCCATCGAAAGTTGGACAATAGTCGGTCGTCTGCTGTCCGAAAAGTCCACGGCCTTCTTGTTGATGTTGAGGTACGTCTCTTTCTGGTTGCGCTGCGCCCAGTGGTACTCGCTCATGTAGCGCACATCGTCGAGGTGGAGCAAGCCGACGGTGCGCTCGAGCTTGAACATGAGCTTGAGTCCGTCCTCGATGGACTCGGCGCGCCAGCCGTGAATCATGTCGATGCTTGGATTGCCGCTCGTGAGCGCCGCAGGGATATCGTGGTGAACATGGCGCATGACCGTTTGGAGGTGGTCGAAGAGGAACATGTCGTCCTGGATTCGTGGATCCGACAAGTCGCAGCGTGGCTAATAATGTCATTCGCCATGAGGACGCGTCCATGAAGATAAAGCGGCGTACGATCGAAGGCTGCACAGCGCGCAGAAACAAGTTGCGCCGGTCGAGCGCGGCCTGGAGCGTCGCTGTCTCACGCTTGAGAAACTCTTTCTCGATGAGGAGGTTGGAGAACTTGCGCGAGAGATCGACGTTCTGCGTGCGGTCGGGCGCGCTGCCGAGCACGAGGTGCAGGCCCGCCACGTAGCGTTCGAGGTCGGCCATTTGTCGACGCAGCGACTCCATGGAGCTCTACAGCGCCGGCGATGAGGCTCATGGTCACAGGAGACGGCCGCGTACCCGCTGCCGCTGCCGCCACGCGTGCGAGTTGCGGCGCTTCCGGGCGCGGAGCTGGTCGAGGCGCTCGGCTTCGGGCACGCTCATCGTCGGCTGGTTTCCGATTTGGCGCTCCGATGCCATTGGCCTAATTCGACCAATCACAGACGGCGGCTGGCCAAGCGGTTTCTTCGGCGGCAGAAAAGCCAGACAGGCTGTCAGGTCCCGCGACGCGTGCACAGAACAACTTGTAGCACTAGTCAAGGACAACTTGTCCATCCTGAAGGACGGTACCTCGCACGAGCAACCTGTTGCTAGCGTTGTACACACAAGGGTACATACTTGACTGCTCGGTTCGAGTCTCAATGCCCATCCCAATTTGCTTGCCAGTCCATCGTGATCATCATCATCACGGTGCTGTGGCACTACGAGGTAGCGGCTGGCGCAGGACGAATCCGTCAAGACACGGGCCATTGCGCATTGCTGTCCAAAACGCACTGCATGGATCAAGCATGTAGCCCGATGCGAGAGATTCCCGATGTATTGTATAAGTAGATGGAAACTAGAGTCGACGCGAACGATGTTGAAGCCCTTGGTACACGCAGGCTAATAGGCAGGAAGGCGCCAGGACGGGGCGGCGTCCATGTCCCAGAGGCCTTCGATCACGCGGCTGCCGACAGCTTCGAGTTGGAAGCGCACGGCGTTGTACTCGACGATGGTCGCATTCGGGTTCAAGATGAGCCATTTGAGCGCGACGGCGAGCGCGTCATCGAGCTCGTCCCGCGTCGCTTCGCTCACACGATTGCGGCTGACGGCATCCCCGTGCCATGCTTCGCGCAGACGCATGGTGTACTCGGTGGTGGCGGCTTTGGCGGCTGCGCGGGCAGCGTTGACCACCTGTCCTCCGTCGACGCGGCGACGTGTTGCGGCTTCTTCGATGAGGCGGCGCATGCGACCGCGCGTTGTCGGTGCTAGCTCGTTGGCCGTTGGAATTTCCTTGCCGTCCACGGTGGCGCTAACGTCCAGTGTGCCGGTGGCGTCAAGGATTTGAAACGACACTTGGACCGACGCGCCTCGGGGGATACTCTTCGGCAGTGGGCCGACACGCCACTTGCCCTGGAGGTGGCTCGTCTCGCGCTGGCCGACGAGGCCTTCGTAGACGAGCAGTGTGATGTCGGACTGCTTGTTTTGCGTCGTGTAAAAGTCTTCTGTCGTGCTGAAGTACTCTGTCGAGCCGCGGAGAAGGTACTCTGGATGGCGTGCTTCTGTCGCAACCCAAAATGGCGTCGGAAGGCTCTGCAAGGCGAGCACGTCGCCGTCGGGTGTATACAGCGTCGCGCCGGTGACGATCGCTTCGGATGGGTTGCCAATTAGCCGCACGCGCTGACCGTGAAACAAGTCGACGAGCGTCGTTTGCAGCAGCGGCATGCGCCCGAGCCCACCGGCAAGCACGATCGCGTCCACGTTGGCCTTTTCCATCTTGGCCATGCGAAGTGCTTCGACGACAAGCGCCGTGAGCTGCGTCATCACGTCGCGCGCGAGCGCGTTTAGCTGGTCGCGTGAGACACATACGACCAAGTCGTTCTCGCCCGAGAGCCGTGGCACTTCGATGGTGGTCGTCGTCGCGGTCGAGAGAGCGATTTTCGCGTCTTCGCACGCGGTGCGCAGTCGCTGCAAGCCGCGGGGCGACAGGTGCACATCGCGGCCAATGGTGCGTTCAAAGGCCGCGATGCAGTGCCGGACGAGGCGCTCGTCAATCTCGATGCCGCCGAGGTGCGCATTTCCAGTGGTCGCCACCGCCGTGCTCACATCATTGCTGTCGATCGTGATGGCGACACCGAGCGAGCCGGCGCCGGCAGTCACCGTCACGACAGTTCGGTCCTGGTGCATTCTCGACGGATGCGTGGCCATGTAGGCGACAAGCGCGGCCGTCGGCGCGTTCAAAAGTTTGCGCACGGTGAGCCCTGCGATGGCCGCAGCGTCCAGAACCGCGCGGCGCTGGGTCGTGGTAAAGGAGGCGGGAACGGTCAAGGTCACATGCCGCACCGCCAACTGCTCGTCGACCATCGCCTTGGTGTGCTCCAAGAGCATGGCCATGACCTCTTCGAGGTCGAACGTCGAGGGTTGGCCGTTCACTGTCACCCGAACTTGGGGCTTGTCGTCGCTGGACGCCACGACTCGAAACGGCACCTTGTCGCAGTCGGCGCGGACGTTGAGGTCGCGCATCGAGCCCCCGAGGAAGCGCAGCATGCGGAAAATGACGTTTTCGGGAGCGGAAGCGGCATAGGCTTTGGCGCGGCGCCCGAAAAGACGTCCAGAGTCGGTGAACGCAACGTATGCAGGCATGGCTGTCGCGCCGTCTCCGTCGAGGGCCAGCAGCTCGACGCGGTTGTTGCGCTTCACGCCAACACGGAGGCTGGACGTGCCAATGTCAAGGACAATATCCGTTGTCATTCTCGTTGAAAGATCAGAAATGGAAGTCAACCATCGTCATTTGCGACGGCACTGGATCGCTCGCGTTGACCAAATGTATCAACCTGCTGAGAAACAGATGGCTCGCAGGTCTTGATACGACTTGATACAGAAATGAGCCTGGATGTCGCTGCGACGGGCGTGTTGATTCGCTTCGCTGCACAAAGGGCCGGCCGCTGGGATGCAATAAACAGTAGCGCTCGCGATCGAAATGTCTTTGGCACTGGCCGCGTCTCGTGACAAGCACACGCTCGTGAGCCATCGACGCCTCGGCAGGGATAACTGGAGAAGGGAAAGGAAGGAATGCATTCATTCACATGCATGTTAATCTTGACGCGTCTCGTTGGTCGTCTACTGCTTGATTGTACTATGCGATATAGCATCATGATATAGCATGGTGCTTGGGCGATGGTAGACAGGACGACTGGGACATGCCAGCCTTTCTACTCGGGCAGCATCCACGAAGGCTCGGCGGCCCGCGCCAGCACGCGGCGGCTCACGGCCTCCAGCTGGACGCGGACATCGTCGTACTGGTCGATAGTCGCCTGTGGGTGCAGAAGAAGCCACTTGATGGCGGCTGCGAGCGCGTCGTCCAGCTCGTCTCTCGCTGCGTCTCCGACGCGGCGGCGAGAGGCTTCGTCGCTGTGCCACGTACTGCGAAGCGAATAGGTAAAGTCATTGGCAGCAGCCTTGGCACGCGCCAGAAGGACCGTCTGTCGCGTCGTGTGGTACCGCGCCGTCGCTTGTGCGCACAGGTGCTGCAGCTCTCGTCGTGACGTGGCACAGTCCGTGTTGGTCACTGGAAGGGCCTTTTGCGAGCTCTTGTCGCTGGCGGTGACGCGGAGAACGCCCGTGCATTCGTCGACGACAAATGCCACGTCGATGAACCGGGTGTGAGGCAAGGACTCAATGTGCCATTGGCCCTGGAGATGGCTCGACGCAGGAAAACCGACGTCGCCCTCGTACACAAGCAAGACAAAGGGGCTGCTACCAGTCGATACGAACGTGTGGGTAGCCATGCTAGAAAGCGCGGGGGACCGGAACACGGTTGTCCAGTGGTGGCCGGCGGCGGCAGCCCAGATCGGAGTTGAGAGCGCGTCATGGATCGCAAAGGGTCGGACAGTAGCGTCGCTCGACGCCGTCGTACTGGCGATGTAGAGCGCTGCGCCGGCGACCACCGCTTCGCTCGGCGTTGGAAACCACGCGACTTGTTTGCCACCAAACAAGTTTGAGAGCGTAGTTTGCAGGCACGGCATTAACGCGACGCCGCCGACGAGGACAATGTCGTCCACATCTTCCTTGCAGCACTGCGCTTGCTGGAGGACTTTGAGAACATGAGCGACAACTTTGTCCATGAGATGGTGGACCAAAGCGTTGAGCTTTTCGCGCGAGAGAGTGAGACGCATCCCGTCTTGGCTTCGGTGCGGGATGCACACGTCCGTCTCGTCGCTCGTCGAGAGGGCACAGCGCGCGGCTTCGCATGCGGAAAGGAGGCGTTGCTTAGCCAAGATGAGATCGTGTCCTCGCGTCGAGGGCGTCCACGTAGACATACAGTGCGCTGCAAGGCGGGCGTCCATGGCGAAGCCGCCGAGCTGCGTATCACTTGCCGATGCGTGAGCCGTAAACGTATCGTGCTCTGCAGTCACGACCGAGGCTGTGACCGAGCTCGCCCCCGCGTCAACCACCAGTAATTTGCGCTTACTGGCGCCGGTGGCTTGCGTATGGGCAATACCTACAGCCGTCGTGGCGCTCAAGAGCCGATCGACAGTCAGCCCAGCCATCGTCGCCGCATCCAAAACGGCTTGACGCTGACTGGTCGTGTATGTTGCGGGCACAGTCACGACTGCGTGGTCGAGACACGCGCCGAGGTGGTCTTCGGCCAGCTTCTTGGCGTGCTCGAGGAGCATGCCGACGATCTCTTGTGGGTAGTACGTACACGCGCTTCTTCGGTGCTGCACATGGATCAGCGGCGTCTTGTCCGACGACGCTATGATTCGGAATGGCGCGCTCGTTACCATGGCTTGGACCGTCGGGTCGTTCATGCGGCGACCAAGAAGATGCAAGACGTTGAAAACGACGTTCGTGGGATCGTTCTGCGCGATGGCTTTGGCTTGGTTTCCAAACAACGTGGTCGTGTCTGTGAAGGCAACGACCGCGGGGAGCCCGTTGGCGCCGTCGAGCGCAAGAACGGTCGCGCGGCCGTTGCGCCAGACGCCGACGCGGATCGTCGACGCGCCAATGTCGATAGCGATGCAGTGCGTATTGGAGGACATGTGACGTCGCGTGGCGGGCTGTGTGGTATCTTGGTCAATGAGGCACGTGCGTCCAAGCCGACGACGCTTGATACGATACAAAATATCAAGTGGAGGCCGTTTTGATACTTGAAATCAACTTGCAACGGCGCGATAGAAAAAACGCAAAGAAAACAAACATCGGGCCGATCGTGCAAGGGACTAATATTGTGTTGTGTATGCTGTATGGGCTTCCTTCGGAGGGTGCAATTGATGTGCATCTCGCGACAGGAATGACGTCAACGAGCAATGGACATGCATCAGTTTCGGAGTAACATGCAATTATTTGTTGATACATTTGGTGTCACCTATTGTTTTCTGGATGCGATGATTACCCGCGCAGCGGCACTTGATGGACGACGCGGAAAGGGTCGTCGCGTCCGTTGCGCTCGAGGACGACGACGCTTGCAATGGCCCACGGCGGCAGCGGCAGCAGCTGGGCCTCCATCGCGCTTCGCAGCGCCGCCGTGGCCTGGACTCCGCCCTCTGCTTGGCCCAGCGTCAGGTGCGGTGCGAACGCTCGCTTGTCATGGTCGCACTCGGGAAACGCCGCCTGGAGCTTGGCCTGGAGCGACACGAGCGCGTCGTGCGTCGATGCGTCCGGCGCCAAGAAGACGGTCGCGCGCCGGGCCGAGTGCTGGAACTGACTCAAGGATGCAAAGCCGCCGTCGATTGGCGCGACGTTGGCGACGGCGCGCTGCACGCGCTCGGCGATCATCGGCAGCTGCTCGCTCGGCGCGCTCAAGAACGGGTACAGGAGGTTTGATGTGCGGCGGCCAGCGCTGGAACGCCTTGTCGTGGCCGCGCGGACCCGCTGGACGCCGTCGTAGTGCGGGCTCGACTCGTGCAAGATGACAGCAAGCGCGGCTTGGTGCGAAAGGTGCGACGGCAGAGCGTTCTTCATGTGTCTCGTGGTGAAATTGGAAATGAGCATCCGCCGTCCACTCGGCCACGTTGACACGCGTGAGTGTTGGTGCGCTGCGATTGGTCATGACGACATTATCCGGACGATTCGGATCCCTTTTGTTTCCGATCTTGTCGAAGGGTTGTGGATCTCGTTGGAGCTGTGAGTGCAGGTGGTCATCGCACCAGCACTCACCGCAGGTCGTGCCTCTTGCACTTTGTTGCAGTAGAGCACTTGGTGCGTCTTCATCGATTTGATTAGTGGGTGGAGCTACGGTACAGGGCTCGGATCGGCGTTGGTAGTTGGGAAACCCCACTGAGACGAGGTACCACGTAAATAATATTTACGCGCCACGCGAATAATATTCGCTTGACGTGAGGTTTTTGAATAGCTAGTTGTGTTGAGAAGAAGCACAATCGACCAAGACTCCAACACAGTACCCGAACCACAAGCGGTTCCAAAGGAGGTTGCTTTAAAGCTTTACGGCGCACCCTTCTGCATAGCCGCGCGCACTGAGGCGATTCTCTTGTCGAGCGCATCTTTGGGTGACTCACGGACCTCCTGGCACGCTGCTTTCGTGTCGCCTGAGAGGAGCGCATGGAGGTAGCCGTACCGCCCACGCAGTGTCTAGGTTCGTTCATTTTAGCTGTATATCCAGAGTCTCCAGTTACCTCCGAATCAAACGGCAACGGACCGTCGTACATGACGTCGAATGTCGTCTCGTCGCTGCCAGGCTCAGTGCTGTCGTCTTCCGATTCTGCCTTGTCTTTTCCAAGGCGATCCAGCTCGGCCTTGAGCGCCTCCACCCACGTCATGGGCAGCAGCGGACACTCGGTTCCCAGCGCTTGGGACGCTTCCGCATACGTTTTGAGACCACATCGGATCTGACTTGTCACATCCGCATCCAACGTGGCGACGCGAGCAGCCACTTGCGATGGTGTCGGAGGTGCCGCCTGCCCCAGGTACGCAGTGCCTTGAAAGAGGTAGCCCGGCAGCGTCTCGAGAAGCAAGAGTCGGGCCATCTCGTAGCTGCGGCGCCAGTGTCGGCGGTCCGTCTTGCGCGTGTAGAGCACCTTGGCGTGGGCATAGGCGGCAAACGCGGCCCGAATCTAGATCAGTGCACCCTAGCCCTACATGTTGAGCAAAAGATGATAAAATACCGTCAGCGGATGGTTGCAATAGTCGACGACGTGGACGCGATCCTTTCCGTCGCGCGCACGGTTCAAACGGCTGAGCAGCTGCACAATATGTGCATGGCGCGAGAGCGGGCGGTCAATGTACATGGCGATCAATGCCGGCTCGTTGTAGCCCGTGTCGAGCTTGTCGCAGACGACGATGACGTCGGCCAGCGAGAGGGTGCACGTTGTGTTGAGCTGCTTCTCGCTGAGGCCGTCAAATGCACTGAAGGTACTATAGACTTGGGTCGGCCATCCCCTACATTATTGTCATCATTTGTCTCTTTTTATTCAAAAAAATGTGAATAAGAAGAGAATGAGAAAGGAAGAAAATCAAAGCACGTCGTACTGCGCCGTCATGTACGACTGGATCGCAGCGTGGTACGCGACCACGTCCTTGCGGCTGCGCACGACCACCAGACACTACACCCACAGACACCCCTCAATCACTGAATATACTGCAAACGCGTAATACCATACCTTGCCAAAGACGGCCTTGGTCTTGAGCCGTACAAAGTGCTGCATCATCGACTTGACTTTGGCGAGGATCGACGGCGACCCGCGTCGGCTTTGCAGAAACGTCGTCTGCGACAGCACGTCCACAATGTGCTTGTGGGCGATCGCGTCCGTGAGCGAGTGCGTATCGAACGGCGCACGCGGGTCCACCCCGCAGCCAAAGAGCTCGAGCGCCTGGACACTCGGTGTCGCCGAAAAGCCCACATACTACTTGTCGCATTGAATGAGACGATAAGTCCTACTAAAAAGGGAGTTCTATCGTACCATGGTCTTGCACGCATCGGTGGAGAGTGCTTGGAGCACCGTGTCGATCGAGACGCGCGTCGACGAGGTGTGCGACCGGTGGGCTTCGTCGGCGAGGATCGCGAGGTGCTTGTACGTGGCGCTGCTGCTTGCGGTTGATGCATGCAAGAGCCGGGCCAGAAGCACCTTGTCGTTGACGAGCTGGCTGAGCTTGTGGGTTGTGGTCACAATGACCTTTTGGTCGTCCGACTTGCGCACAATCGCGCTGAGGTGCTCGATGCTCTCGGCGCGGTAGATGGCTTCCATGCCATTTTGGTGCAAGAAGGCTTCGACCGTGTCGCCAAGCTGCTGGTCGAGCTTGATGCGATCGACGAGGATAATGATGGTGTGAAACCCATGTCCCGACGCATCCGAGGTGTAGAGGAGCTGGTACGCCTACGACAGTACCCGAATGAATGCGAGATCATTGTGCAACTGGATACGAGCGTACCAAGCACGCCAGCGTGACCGACTTGCCCGAGCCGGTGCTGTGCTGGATCAAGTAGTTGGCACCTGGGTCTGTCGACGTCGACACGGCGTGTACGAGCTTGGCGACCGCGCGGACTTGGTGCAGCCACGGCTGGAAGATCGCCATGCTTCCGTTGCGCTGCTTCTGCGCGGCGCCGACGCGGAACGCACGTGTGACAGCGGCCACCGTCGCCGGTGGCACGAGCGCGAATGGATCCACCTTGGCTTCCTTGGATGACTTGGCCAGCTTCGGAGGCTTGGCCAGCGTCGGCGCGGTCCACTGGGTCTTTTGCGTAGCTACATGGACATAGAACGGCTTGTTCTTGGACTTGGAGTGCTGCAGGACCCATCCCTCGGGCAGCCCATCCTCGGCTGGCCGCTTGGTCATGGCAAAGGCAAGGTGCGGGTATCCGGATTCCGGATATTCGCACCTTGCATTCGATTTGGCGCCAAAACCGCCAAAACCCAAAATGGCCGTGCTACAACATCGTGCTTCGGTATTTCTCTTGTTAGCGCTGGGCTATCGTCACTGAGCTCTCAACCAGCGCTGGCAGAAGACCATGTCCACAAATTGCATCTGGAGCGTCGCGTCGCAAACCACGCTCGACCACCTGGTCAGCCGCTCCACGGTCAACCGTCCATCGGTCGACACGAGGTGCTCCACGAAAGATTGAGCGTCCAGCCGACAACGTTGGCAGCCGCCAAACTAGTCGCAGCACGGGCGGCGAGGCATGTCGAGACCTGAATTGTGTGGCTGGCCTTTCCTCCTTGGTGCGGGAGCTCGGGCGTTCCCTCGTCGCGTGCTCGACACCACACAAGTCCACCACGCGGCTGCCACCTCCTGGACTATGTACCAGTACACTAGTAGAGTGACAACCACGCAATGAAAAAGTACATTTGTAAAGAGCCCCGTATGGCCAGACGCAAAGTGGTGTTGTTGTTGTAGCAAAGCGTCTTGGGCAATCTCGAGGCAATGAAGGCGACATCGCTCGAGGCCAGGATGCACGTTGCGTCAGGTAGAATGAGATGGATTTGTGGTGGTAATGGATCGAGTTTTTTTGCTTGAGTGGGTTTAACCTCTTGGTATTTCGTATCTTAGACACTGGCTTTGGCGCCGCTGTTGCTGCTCACTGTATGCGTGCCGTAGTACTTGATGAGGAGCTGGAAGCCGTCAAGCAGCCGTGCCTGGTCGGCGCTGCATTCCGTGCTAACGACGAGCGTCTTGACCGAGCTCACGATCGCAATGCACTCGGCGCGGCCGTACAGGAGGCTCCGCAGCGGGCTAAGGCCGTCTTTCAAATGGACGTCCGAGATGGTGTCGATGGGCAGAATGGTTTTTTTGGACTTGTCTTTGCGGCCACGCCAGTGACGGACTTTGCTCGGCGACGACGAAAGCTCCATCTCGGTGCACGAGACGATCTTGACCTCGGCGTCGCAGCGCAGCATGCGTGCGTGCGGCGCTCCCTGCCGTCCGTGCTACACCAGAAACATGACATAGTCGACACTCTGATCCCTTCTCAACTACCTTTTTGATGCGGAACCCGCGTTTGAGGTCGAGGAGAAAGTGCTCGAGCGTCGCTCGCTCGTCGTCGATCGGCACCAACGACGCCGTCGAGAACTGCTCGCTGCTCGTTGTGATGTCTCGGTCGCGTGGCGGCGCACTGCGTCGCTGCTTGTAGAGGGCGTTGAGGCCGAGCAGAACCTGGTCGAAGACCTCTTTCGACTCGAATTTGAACACGAGCGCGCTGTCGTCGAGCGCCGTGTGCAGCGTGAGGCAGAGGTTGTCGGGTGGGAGCCGGTCGCCTGTCGGCGACACGAGCGTCTCTGTGTCCATACCTGTCGTTGCGAAGAGCGTGTTGACGGTTCGAAGGTACGTCGAGGGCTTGAGATCGGCGCCAACTGCAATGTCGAGAATGGCGTCGACGCGCATCGGTGCTTTGGTTGTCGTCTTGCTTCGGGACTCGGTCTTCTCCCAGAGCAAGTGCTCGCCGCTGCTGTCGCAGAAGAGCCAGCGCTTGTTCCAGTGGTGGCGGCGCCGACTCAACTAGAGATGAGACGGTCAGTCGCGTTTCGTGGGGGTAGGGTTACCTTGAGCACGGCGACACCGTCGAGAAGGATTGAGATGCTACTTTGTGTGCTGGACGGGGCGCGGGACAAGGAAGCCTGCCCGGTGGAGACGAGTGGCGCGGAGAAGCGGCGAGGGGGCGTTGGCTTGATCGGTGCAGGCGTGCGACTGGGCACGCTGGGCTCGACAGGAGCGGCCACCGCAGGCTTGCGTTGCCGCCACCATCGCTGAATGTGCTGGATGGACTCGTCTCGCGAGAGATGTGGTGGTTCGAGGGCCTCGACACTGGCCTCGCGGACGCTTGGTACACGTTGCAACGGCGCGTCTTCTGGAGCGCGAACGGACTCGGGTTCGAGAACCACATCCGACGCTACGAGCGGACTCGTTTTCGACGGTCGGCGCTTCGTATGCGCATTCGTCTCATCTAGACGCACGGGCGTTGTGCATCGACAGCGACAGCGACATCCTACCTGGCTTGAACGCACAATTGAGTTGTTTAAAGGGCTCTTTGGCAGGCGATGCGGGGCGATGCGGCGACTTGGGCACCTGCGTCGTCATTGTCTTCTGGCTACTGTTGTTGTTGTTGCTGCTGCTGCTGTTATTGCTGCTGACTTGCGACACGGAGGCTGCTTTTGCTTGGGCGATGCCAGCGCCACAACGTTCTTGATGACGACGGTCACGTGCTTGGGCTCGTCCCGCGCGCAGAGCCCGCGCAGTCGGTCCAGAGCCGATACGGTGGTCCCGGGTTCGATCCCCTGTGGGACATACGCACCGTGCAGGGCCAAGTGCAGGATGCCGGCTGAACTTGCCCGAGCGACGCGCTCCAATGCGCTTCGTCTTGATTGTTGTTGTTGTTGTTATCACTGTTGTTGTTGTTGCTGTTGTTGGTGTTGCTGCTCGGGTCGGACACTTGCTCGGGAATCACTGGCAAGTGGCGATGGGCCCGGCGTTTTTCGAGAAAAATCTGGTACATTTGTGTCGACTGGATCTGGGTCGAGAGGGCGTGGTCTCGCGACGTTGGTTCGAGGAGCGACTGGATAACGTCGTGGATCTGGTGTGCAAAGGTATCGACAGCACTGGCGGTCCATGGCTCGTTGGCGCCAAAAAGTGGACTGAGCTCGTCCGCGAGCAGGTCGTGCGTGGGCATCGTCTCGCGTTCGTCCCAGAGAACGCAGTCGTCAAGCGGGTACACCCGCACGAGGCCAGGAATATTGTGGAATCGGCTCGGTAGTTCTTGGACGCCGATGAGAAATGGCACGGGCGCCTACATCCCAAAATCATCTTATCCAGCCCGATGCATCGTATATAGACACTTGACAACCTCAAGGTACTCGAGCAGCGTCGCCGGCAGCACGGCAATGACGGGGCCTGCCCACGTGAGGGGTGCGAGGAGCGAGACAAGGCCAAGCACGGTCGACGTCAACACCTCGAGGTCGTCGCAGACAACGACGACTTTGGCTTCGAGCAAAAGGCTCGTCCACGCAATCAGAAACGTAGGCATCGAGATGCAGTCCAAAACGATCGGCAGTGCCCACTGCAAGAGCAGCCCTGTGCATTCCTCGCGGTGGCCAAAGGGCACGACGCTCCGGCGGTGCGCGGGGCGCTTGAGGTGCAAGCGGCGATTCGACTCGAAGAGCGGAACGTCCAGAACCTGACCTGGCGGCGGCACCAAGAGCTCGGTCAACTGGCCAAGCTTCTTGGACAAGAGGTGCTCGAGCTACACGTGACATTATGTTCCGTCTTTCTACCATACTCACGAGATTTCATCGGACCTTGGGGGGGACGAGGGTGCTGAGGTCGTGCCACAATTGGGGCGTGGCGATCAGCTCGGCGCCGTGCAAGTCTACTCCATATCTTGATACGTGGCGGCCTCGTAGGAATGTGTACCGTGCAGGTGCTGCAAGAGAGGCTTGTAGAAGCTCCAACACGGTAGCTTGGACACGATGCAGTACGCGATCGGCACATGGACGCTGGACGCGTGGGGCTGCATCGCCACGTCTTTTGGCAGCGGGAGCCAGCGCACGAGGCAGCTCGCGTAGTGCATGTCTTGGCCCATGTCGCCGCCGCCAGACAAGACGAAGAGAAAGAACGACGGCGCCAGACTAGCCAGAGTAGGTTCAATGACGATGATGCTGATGGCCTTGACGGTGTCTACCTCTCGTCGTCGGCGTCCGCGAGCAGTCGAATGCCGTTGGGAAAGCAAAAGTGCTGGAGGCTCTCATACAGCGCGGGGCGTGGATATGTCGCGCACACGAGCGGCTCAAACACGGTCTCGAGCAGCGACGGAGAGATGACAACGTCGGTAATATCGGGGCCCACCACCACAAGCGTGTCCAAGAGGGGGCACCCCCCGTGGGGGAGCAAGCTCGTGTCGTGCTCGGGCAGTCGAATCTACCATCGACATAGCATCAATCTGTGCAATACGACGCAAGAGAAAGCGGAGGCGACCTGAAAAGGGGACGGGAGACGTTGGCGAGAGCTCGGTCGTCGGACCGTTTGGACTTTGGCATCGAGCTCAAGGATCTCGCTCGAGAGCTGGTTGTCTTGCTCGTCGATGTACGCGAGCATCATATCGAGCGCATGCTGCATCTCGCGGCGGCTGCTCTTCTCGGCGATCGGAAACGAGACTTCGTTGGCCTTGCACCACGACTCGACGAGTTGGAAGGCTTGCGCGCTATGGCCCAGCGTCTCGCCGTCGCCGTCGTCGTCGCCGGTTTCCGTCACGGTCGATGCTTCGAGCGGCTCCTTGGCCGCGTCCGAGTCAAAGAACCACTGCCGCTTGGCCTTGGGCGGCTTGGTCTCGCCGCTGCGTGCGCCGGTCCACATGTCGCGGAAGTTCCGGGCGGGCGACCGAGGCGCCTTTGTCGGCGTCACGCAGCGCACGCGCATGCCACCAAAGAGCGACCGCTTTCCGTCGTCGTCCGGCGGCTCCATGCATGTGGTCCCGGTATCTTGAAGCGACGCGGGAAAGGCGGCGTTGGATTGGTTGATTTTGTTGACACCGGCCCCCTACTGGAGGGCTACCGGATACTGTGCTGTTTTGCACCGCACTAGATAGGGGGACCTACCTTTTATAAATAGGTGGGTACCTTGAAAACGCGTATCCGGCGTTGCCAACCACTGACTGGCGCTGTGGCCTTTCTCCACTGGTCAGAATCCAATTTGCTTTCAAGTAGCCCAGTCTCTCGTCCCATAGTTCCAGTCGCGCGTTTAAAGTTAGTTAGTCGTAGTAGCCATTAGTTGTCGGCCGATGACGATCCAACCATTTGTCCAATTACTGCATGAAGCATCCGCGATGTGTAAAAGCATGTTTCTGAGGCCTAAGATTCCAAGTAACTCGATTCCGTTGACCCTCTTCTGTTAATCTGTCATAATGTCCATGCTGTCAACGTACATAATATTGTCTGACGCCGCCCACGCCGCCTCCTGTCTTGTCTACAGCCCAGAACAGCACCTGGAAGAAGCGACGTGCCCGCTGAGATCGGAACTCGGCTGTGCGTGAGCAAGGGCATGCGCCTTGGCGTCCGTGTCTCGCCTTGTGAGTTCCGACCAGCGCCAACGTTGCAGAGGTGGCGAAGTTGAAAGACGAGTCTCTATAGAGTGTTATCTGGTTTCTATTCCTGTAGGTATGACTTAGTACGGTGTCACGGCCCGGCTTCGCGCACTTCGTCCATCATGCCATAGACAAACTGAGCAAAGCTCGGGTCGGTCAGCGCCTTCTGGAGCTCGAGCAGGCGGTCCGCGTGGCTGTCAATCTACGCCGACAAAAGGTCAGATCCTCCAGCAAGGGTGAAGCTACCTCTTGGATGCGGCTGCGGAAATGCGGGTTCTCGAGGGCCTTGTGCACAAGAGTTGACGATGCGATCGCTTGCAGCTGCGCCTTGGTCAAGAGATGGATGTTCGCTTCGTCGTCGTCGTCTGCAATCAATGCAGGCACGACCAGCGCTTCGTCCACCGCATCTGTGACGTTCGTGTGTGCGGCGAGACGTTCGGCCGCGTCCATGGCCATCGCGTCGACGTCGCTGGGCTCGGCAGCAAGAACGGTCTCGACGGCTGCCTCTACATCTTCAACGATCGCTGGCACGGCAGCGATGACACTATCAGCGTTTCTGGTGGGCTCGAGGATGTCTGTCGGGATGGGCGCGGTCATCTCGCTGACCGATGGCATAGGCATGGGCTCGCTGGCCGATGGCGCAGGCACGGGCGTGGCCTCGGGGCTGCTTGTCGCTGGCGCTTGCTTGGCGGGCGCGGCCGGCTGGCCACAAGCAGCGTCCTTATGCAGCTTGTAGCATGGCGCCGAGCAGTAGCGCAGGCGGCAGACGGGGCATTTGTACTTGGACGGCTTCTCGTTGCAGACGCCGCAGACAAGGCTCATGCTGGGATCTTTGGGGCCGAACGACTTTTGACGAATCACACGCCCACGAAGCCATTTCCACCAATCAAAATCAACCAAAAGGCAATATTTCAAAGCATATCCACCAATCCTTTCGTCTCGCCCACGGTACTTGACATGTGGCAGCGACCACCGCCCGTGGCCGCGTCGTCGCGGGCGTCCCTTGTCGCGAGCGCGCGCTTGGCCCGCGAAGAGCGCGAGCGCGTCCGTCATGAAGAAGCCTGCGCGCGCTTATTGCAGCGCGTGCTGCATGGGCGGCTCGTGGCCCTACGCCTTGCGCGATCGCGGGCCGCGACCTTTGACAAGCAGAGCGCCGACCTCCTTACGCTCTTGCAGCTCGGCATCCCGCTGCCGCTTGTCGCCATCTTGCCGACCGTGCGCCTCGGTTTGTCGATCTTTCCGCGCGTCGTTGGCCGTCCGATCTCAGTCGAGCAGCGCGGCCGTCTCTTGCAGATCGTCCAGTTGCTGCAGACGCACTTGGTGCAGCCCAACACACCAGGTCTGCACGCGATCTGCGCGCACTATCCATCGCTCTTTGGGTCCGTGGGCCAGCCCATCTATGTCTTCGATCGCCTCTTGCAGCTCGTGCTGTACAAGTTGCACATCTGGCACGTCCGCGAGCCGCTCGACTGGAAGCGCCGATCGCCGCTCGTCGACTACCTTCTGCTCTTGCTCCAGCGCCTCGAAGCACCGGCGTGCAGCGACACGTGCGTCTTGTCGGCGATCCAGAAAGCGTCGTTTGCACGCATCCAAGCGTCGCACTTGTACGTCGTCGCGGGCCAGCAGATCCACACGGTCGTGCAGCACGCCAGATTGGACACGATTAACAATACGATTCTGCCGTGCGACGAGGCGGCGTACGCGGCAAAGCTCTTCCAAATCTGCATGCACAAGCTCGTGTACAAGCAGCTCAAGGAACCCGACTCGTGCTACGAGTCGTACTTGAGCATGGTCCACAACCTCCTTCTGCATGTTCCAGACATGGTCACGCGCATGGGCCACTACGTGACACCGATCCTCATTGAGTTTCAAGCGCTCTCGCCGAATGCGATCAACTGGAAGTTTGTGGCCACGATCCTGCGCCAAGCGGTGCATCCCGAAGCCGATGGCTCAAACTATGTGCTCGATGGCACACTCATGTCGCCCGGCTTTGAACAGGCCATGTACGCCAACCTTGTTGCACACCCGCACGGCGCCGTGTCGTCGGCCGACGCGCTCATCGGTGCGATCAACTGCTACAGCATGGCGATCCAGTCCGAGTTCATCGAGTGCTGTCGCCGCATTGAAGCGAGCGACGACGACGACAAGGTCGCACTGTACGGTATCTTTGACGACGTGCTTCGACTCGTCAAGGTAGATACCTGCGCATGCTTCTGCTCTTCCTACGATACGATCCTAGTGCTTCTCGGGGCGGGCGTGGTGTTACTGCGAAGAGGGCCGCGTCGCACTCGCGAGCGACGACATTGAACGGTACATTGCTGCCTTGCAGCCGCATGTCTCATAAAGATGACTGCTGTAGCGCCACGATGTTGCTCAAGCACATGCAGACGCTGCCACCAGACTCGCCGCCTTGCGTGCGCAAGGACGTCCAGCGCCTCCAGATCGACTGCTTCCTCGTCCACGCACGCGTCCAAGAGGCGCTCGGGCAGCTCCAAGGTGCCCACGACAACCTCACACTCGTGCTCAAGCTTGGCTCTAAATTGCTCGGTGTCGCTGCGTGGAAGCAAACCAAGCTCAAGCAAGTCGCACTGGCCGAGTCATTGCAGCAGCTGCGGCCAAAGAAACACTCGGATTGCGCGTCGCATAGCCCTGCCGTCCATGATGACCTGAGCCATAACAACGAGCGTAGCAACGACGATGCGCCACCGACGCAAGTCGTCTCGCAGCGGAAAAAGTCCCGCAAAAAGAAGCCGAAACCGGAGCTCGAAGGCAAGGAGAAGGCGCCATCCATCTACGCGCGTCTCCTGAGCGAACCCCGCGAACCGGCGCCGCATGGCCCGTCGCATGAGGAACTTGTCGCCGAGCACAAGGCCGTGACAGAGCGTATCTATGAACACGAGTCGGCGGCGATCACAGCGCGGGTGGCGGCCGTGACGCTTGCCAGGCAAGGTGCCAGCGCGCCGGTAGCCACGCCACCGGCTCCACGCCCGCCGGCTCCACGCCCGCCGGCTCCATCCGTGCCTCCGCCACTGCCCTCGGTGCCACCGCCGCCGCTGCCACCACCGGCGTGTGCACCGCCTCTGCCGACGACCCCACCACCGCCGCTGCCGCCACTGGCCTTTGAGAATGTGCCACATGCGCAGCCCGCGCTCGAAGACAAGATGGCGGTTGCCACAAAGCGGCTGCGGTCCCTCGACTGCCTCCTCGACGGTGCCAACATTGGCTACTTTCATGGCCGCAATCTGGGCCGTTTGAAGCGCAAGCAGAAGCGGTTCTCGGCGCGCGGCCTCGCGCTTGCGCTGAGCTACTACAACAAGGCGAGCACGCGGGCGATTGCGTTCTTGCCGCAGCGGTTTGTGGAGAGGTATCCTCTTGAGCATCTTGTTGATTGATATGCACAGCGTGACGCGTAGCCGCCACGATGGCAACCTCGCCGACGACGTTGATGTGCTCTTTGATCTCATGGCGAAGCAAGTGCTTTTTCTGACCCCTGCCGGCGTCGACGACGACTTGTTTCTGCTCAAGTAGACATCCTTTTCGATTGCTCAATCGATCGATGGCTCATGGGCGATGCGACTAGGTACGCGGAGCGGCACAATCTGAGCATCATCACCAACGACAACCTCCTCGACCACATTGAGAACGTCCAGCTCAAGCAGTCGCTCCTGCCCGTTGTCTTTGAGCGGACCGTCAAGTACATGTTTATCGAGGATGAATTTTTGCCTCTGAATTAAGAATTCTCGTGGAAAGCACTTGGGTCTCACGACGTTCAGCACATGTGGGACATCGCATCTGGTTACTCGTCAGCAATGCGATCGAACCAGGTCATCGCCATCGTGGTGGTGGTGGGGTTTGGCATCTTCGCCGCAATCAGGGGTAGGGCTGCGATTCCCAATGCCTCTGCACGGCGCGTTGCAAGGCCGGGGCCAGAGCCGCGCTGCGCGTCGTCACACGTGGTCGCTCTAGGCACGGTCCGTTAGCGCACGTGTCCCTGGTACAGTAGTTGGTTGCGCGAAGGGTCGTTGTCCTTGCTACTCAATTGAATGTTTTTTGTGTTTCGGTATACAAACGGCAAGGCAGTCTCAGTTTAATCGTCCGAAGCACCCAACTGAACCTGCCAATCAAACGGGGCAAAGTGCAACCTGGCGATCTTGGCTGCAACTCGTCGTGACGATGCACAACCGAATTTCACCCGTGCCCGTCAGATCCCTTAACAGTAGAAGTGTACGAGCAGAAAATGCTGCTTTCACTCTTTGCCCGCATCACGGGCTCGGCCAAGGTCATGGACAAAACCGGCCCGGACGTGACCAAGCCGAGCCGCACGCTCGCACCCACCACCGAGGACGACGAGACCCACGACGATGTGAGCATGCGTCTTCCTGAATTCGATAAGACCAAGACCATCCTCGACAAGCAGCGCGCCGCGTCGGCCGACGAAACCGAAGACGAGTCCGACGACGAGGACGAAGAGGATGACGTCGAGGATGGCCTGACGCACGACGACCTCGCGGAAGCGCAGTGGCTTCTGGACACCCTCCTTGAGCTTGTCGAGGCCGCGGCTACCTTTGGCCTCGAGGGCGACGAGATGTTTGACATGCTCTTGGCTCTGGACACGTGGCAGCGCGCGCTCTACGACGCGCCCGACTCGGTCCGGACGCGCCTCCCGACGCTTTCTGCGCTGCTCTCCTCCCTCAAGGCGTACGCTCGGCCGTTCAAGCAAGCGGATCTGTGGTACCAACTGGTCGAGTGCGAGACGGCGCTTGAGCAGCTCGCGGCGCCGCGCTCCTAGCGGTGTCGCGCATACGTAGTCGTTAGTCGTTAGTCGTTAGTTGATCTGTATGAATGGAATCGCGTGTCGTCGTGGGTCTGTCGAGCGAAGACAGCAAGGCCATTTACACTTTGTCTGCGGTCACTCCTATCCTATGGTAGGGCATGCAGTGGAGCAGGCTGCAGCACCACCTTGTTGCAACGCTTACTTGCTCTTCAACAAACGTAGTACTTTCCAGTCGGTAAAGACAGGGCGCAAAGGCGTGTGGCCGCCAAAAAAGTGGTCAATTTTAAAGCCGATCGGTAGGACCACCCGTTCCACGAGGCGTTGAGGCCCATTGAGATCGATACGGGTACCAGGTATGTATACCGGTACAGCTTACCGGTACGATTGCGGCGGCTATTGTGGCTGCTTGCAGCTGTGCGCATGTCAGCTGATCCTTTGCCCATCACTGCCGCACATCACGAAAGAATGTTGGTCACTCGGAGCGTCCCACTTCAAGTGCAATGGGTCAACTCGGCCGATCAAAATTCAGCCGACAACCAAGCACTGCTGCTGCTTGTGGCGCTGACGACACTGGCGCTGGCCACCGAGTGTGACGCGGTCTGGCAACTGCCGTGCCGCCAACTAGTGCCGCCCACTTTGAGCAGGCTCGGGAACCATTGGTCCGAGTATGTAAATACTTGAACAGTCCCGAGCCGTGGCGCCTACAACACCGACATGCCAGAGCTCGGTTGCTGCGCTGAGAATGACGTCGGTAACCAAGGCGAACCCGACGCTTTTAGGTCCTTTGGGCTCGTTTGGCAGCTTGCCGTCGAGTCGATCCGCTTTCTGTGCGTCGGCATGGCTTGTTTGCGCTGGACTCGGGGCTCGTATGTATCCAAACGCCTGGCACGCACGCTTCCGACGACGCAAGGGTATCGAGGCACCAGCAACTCTTAGTACAACAACAACGACAACGATCATGGAACAAAAATCAGCGCGACAAAGGTCTACTACAGGGCATGACTACAGGGCGGGTACGACGTCTGAAACCACCTGTTGACGGCTGAGCAATTTTGCATTCGACTGTCGCGGCTCACGCGTGTGCCAGAGTCGTTTGAGTCCACGTTCTTTGCGACCCAAGATGCGCTCGAGGCCATGACGGCGCAGTACAGCGACCAAGAGCAAACGATCGCGCCGCTCCGTCTCGTGCACGCCGACGTCGAAGCGCATCGCCAGACGCTCCAGGACCATCTTATGAGACGACAGCGACCTTGGCGACGCTGCAAGAGACGCACGGACGTGACCGACGCGGCTCAAGAGTACGCTCGCCTCGAGACCGAGGCGGTAGCACAAGTCGCTGCCCGCGATGCCCAGATCCAAGATCCTTAGCCGAGACCTGCGTCCCGGCCTCGCCTCTGGTTCGGGTAACGTTAAAAGTAACCGAGAAAGCGCAGTAGAATGAGCGCGCAAAATTAGTCCGTGTTCGACTCGAACGAGATAATAAAATGATGCTATTCTTACCGTGGCCGCGGCATCGATATGCATTTGACTTTGTTGGATCACTAGTGCAAAAAAGCATACACACTTCGAGGATCGAAGCGTGTACCAAATACTCATTGGTACCTGCTTGTCACGTCCGTGAACAAGGCACTTTGCAGCAAACACACCAAATGCAGACTTTCACTCTTCTACTGGCTGGGCGTACCCCAGCTTTCCGGTGCCTGTCTTTCTGATTCTTTTTGCAGCATTCGAGAAAGGAGCGACAAACTGAGACCATCGAAGCATGCATCACTGCCAACGCTCCCCTACATCTCCGGACCTTAAACAAGAACTAGCGTTTTCTATACGGAGGCCGAGCGCTGGAGAGGTCAAGAGATTCAGTGTCCACCTCGACCTCGATTTGCACTGGAGATCGCACCTCGAGAGATGGTGGACGCGCCTTTTTCTTTTGAGACCGTTCCGTTCATCTTGATTGGTTTTTCGCCCAACAATACTTTCTTCTTCCATTGGTTATCAGTTGTCTTTCTTGGCGGCAGCGCACTTCTTGACAATCGCAGGAATCAGCATTGCCGACGCCAGCGCGAGGAACCCGAGGAGCGTCTGCGTGTCGAAAATATCGCGCACGCTCGTGAGCTGCGCCAGCATCGAGCCCGCCTTGACCGTGACAAAGTTGTACGGCATGAGCCCGAGAAACGCCGCGGGAGCAAAGAGGTGCATCGGAATGCACAAGTACGGACTGGCAATGTTGAGAAGCCAATTCGGCGAGAAGGGAAAGATGCGCAGGAAAAGCAACACGAAGAAGAGACGGTTCTCGTCTTGGGCCTGTGTGATCTTGGCCTGGAGCACCTCCATCTTCCCGGGCAAGAGGTAGTCGGTGACGACGACGAGGCGCTCGCGCGAGTTGGAGCATGGCACGCATCGCACATGTTCATTGGTCGATCGACGATATTTCCTTATATACCTTCTCGGAAACGAACGACGTTGGCGACGACAGTGTGCCAAAGCATGACCACGAGCTCGGAAAAGTACGGCTGCGTCGTGTGTGGCGCTGATGCGTCGACAAACTCCATGACGAGCCGGAGCGTCGCGGCGAGGCCAGCCCAGTCGAAGTACGCAAACGCGTGATTCTTGTGCCAATCGCCCAAGCTCTGGTCGACCAGCTGGACAATCGCGGCGCCGACGTCTTCCCAGCCAAACTCAACGCACGTCGTTTTGAGCCACGCAACGTCGTCGCAGCGCTTCGCGTCGTCAAAAACGTCAATGCAGTGCGTCACGTAGAGCGACCGGAGCAGCGATGAGCGAGACTCTGAGACAAACGCTGTCATCGCAAGGACGTGCCGACTCGGCACGTCCGTGTCGCCGAGCATCTCCATGACGGCGGTCGCCAGCTCGGACAAGGTCGCGTACCCAAGTGGCAGCGCCTTGTGCGGGGCGTGGAAAGCGTCTTGAAGCAACTGGAACGCCGCAGCAAAACCGAGAAGTCGCACGCGGTGTTTCTTGGGCCAAAAGAGAAGCACCCGAGACGAGAGATTGTCCAGCGAATGGGTGGCGACCCACTTGCCGACGGTGCGCCCGACGAGCAGCGACGTGGGCAAGTCGTTTGGCAGCGGCGTCTGCGGATGCATTTCAACATCGATGATCGTGCGTGGCGGCGGCAGAATCGGCTCGAACGTCGTGCCAAAGTTGGTGACAAAGTCGGGTACCGGCTGCAAGCGGAGGTCAACGTACGAGTTGTCGCGCGCATAGACGCCAAAGTCCTCGTGTTCGTATTGCTCGTCCTCGTCGACATAACCCGCGTCGACGGCCGCGGCGTCGCAGCCCTTGATGACATCTTCGAGGGTCGTTGGGTCGTAGCCATCCGGATCTGGAGTGGGTGGCTGGACATCGCAACGGTTCACTGATACGCCGCTGCCTGACCGGCGCACTAGTTGGCAATGTCGAATGTTAGCTCGTTGTCGAGTTCGTCCTGCTGATCGTCGTCAAGCACGTCATCGATGTCGGGGATGAGCCGGTAGATGGCGTCACGCACGTCTTCCAGCGCTTCCTCCGAGGGCTCTTCGCGTCGTGCGTCCGTCAGCGAAACGAGCGCGACGTCAAACGTGCCGGCAGTTACCAGGCTGTCGATAATGGCGGGTTTAAAAGCTGGGTTCTCATCGAGGTAGGGCCATGTGCTGGAGACGCAGCGATACGCATACGAGGTTGCCAACAGGCGTGGCACGGCCGCCAACGACGACAGCATCGACACAACGTCCTCCCGGTAGGCGGGTGCTGTTCGCTGCGTCGGCGCATCGACGTGCTGCACAGCGTAGACAAGGTACGCAGAGCGTCCAGCCGAAAGAGGCGCAAGCTCAACGTTGCAGTCGACGTACCACGCGGCGCAGTTCTCGCCCGATCGAGCTGGAAGCAGCTCGAGTGATTCCGAGCGCTCGCCGTGCGTGATAATGACGTTCCGGGGGGGGTGGCAAATCAAGCGCCACGACCAGCGTCCACGAAGCATCGCGGGTGTCGAGCGGCGAGAGGCGCGGGGTCGTGTTGATGCCATCGAGCGTCAAGTGCGAGAGCTTAAAGACGCACGACCCGAACGGACCAGCGAGTTGGGTCGACATGTCATCGAAGACGCTTGCGTCGACTCTGAGATTGACAGCATTTACGGGCACGATGCACGCGCCGTCAGCGGTCACAAATGGCGCGAGGTCGTCGTCGGTGACGTCGGCCCATGGCAACACCCAATGGCCCAAAGCGTTGCGGACTTCAACGTTGGTTCCAATATAAGCATGCGACTGCACAAGCGAGGCGTCTTTGTCCAGCTCTTTGACCGCCGTCACGTAGCCATCAGCGAGCGCCCTGACCGCCGCCTTGGTCCGCGTCAGCCCTGCTGCCATCTCTTGACAACCGACAGCAAACTCGATTTGCCAGCAATTTGTATCCGGATGCAACATGGACAACGTGATCTGCGTCAAGCGTCCAAAGCGACAGTGGTAATTCAGTCGACAAACCAACGGCATGACCAAGGTGGTGTCGCTCCTGCTGCAAGCTGACGGCGGCCAATGACTGCAACGCGTGCGCGCAGTCGGGCAGCTGCAGCGCCGCCCACGCGAGCGGCTACGACACCCCTCCGAGCGTTGTTGCTGCGTGCGCACCAAGAATGCGTTGACCCAACGCTGCAGAGCCCTTGTTCGTGTACCCGCATGCGGGTCTTTTCATTAGGGATCATACTTGTCACTTGCTAACATTTCGATATCCAGTGGCGACCCGACGACGCTGTCATCCACGAGCAGTGTATTGGCGGTCGAGCCCCGTCGTGACGGAGCCTCGGTGGTGGCGCGACTATATTGGAATCGCAATCGAATCGCCGCAGCGCAGCGGCCCACGGCAGAGACCGCGTACGCCCAGAGCCGCTTGCAATCTTGAACGCGGCTCGGAAAGTCAAAGCAGCAGTAGAGTAGAAAGAGCGTCATGGTGCAACCAAGGAAGAGAAACTCGGACATCATGAGCAACGACCCAACGACGATATCGAAGAGCGATTCCGGCGGCGTGGGCGGTGCGCCGTCACGCAATGTTGCCGTGCACTCGCACTGGAGGTCGTCAGCGGGCTTGCCGCACGCTTGCTGCGCGCCGCAGCAGCACATTTCACGGAGCCCGCGCTTCTGAAACGAGCCGCAAAACTGGCCCGGGAGGTCGTGGTACGCGGTGGAGCAGTTGCCGTCCAAGGCGCAGGCTTCGCACGGCGTGAGGGTCGCTGGGTCCAGGCGCGCATGTACACTTAGTAGCAGCAGCGCCACGAGACTCAAGACAGTCGTTGTCATCCGTAGCAGGTTTGGATTGTGGTGTTGACATAGCCAGGCGGGCTTTTCAAGCAAATTCTTTTTTACATTGAAAGCAAACATTTGAAATGCTCGCGGCCCTGAGACATAGTCAAATCAAGTCGATGGTGCAGAGGATTAAAATGAAAATTATATATATATATAAGATGAAAAATAAAACTATGCGATGGGCACGCAGAATGTGCAGCAACAATCAACCGCACCACAATCGGACTCCGTCCTTGGCACACAACAAAGACGCGTGCAAGAAGATGAAGCTAGCTCTGCTAATGCTACTACTAGCTGCGAGCGCGATGGCGCTCGAGGAGCCCTTGACGTCCGACGCCTGTGCGCTCTGTGCACGCGACGGCAACTGCTCCACTGCGCACCGCGGCCAGCCCGGCCAGTATTGTGGCACGTACATCAAGCACGGGTTCCAAGAAGTGTGCTGTTGCGGCACCAACCAGGTCTGCGGACGCCCGTCAATCGACCTCCAATGCGAGTGCACATCAATCGTAGTCGAGAAGGCGCCGAGCAGCAGCGACGCGTCGGATGGCACCATCCTCGTGGCGGTCCTTCTCGACTTTACCATCATCGGCGGGCTCTTCTGGGCCATCTACTACTGCTGCTGCCAAGCCCAGACGAGGCGCGGGGTGTAGCACGTCGACAAGCACCCATTTCTATCGAGATATCAACACGCCAATGGCTACTTTCATTCCATCTTGGTGCGTCGCAGAGCATTGGTGCAGGATGATCCTGGACTCGGTCGATTCGACGACCCTGCCACACCACCGATACAAGTAGCTCGCTAGACTGGTTGCGTTGGGTTTTGCAAGCACCTTGAACGTCGTACTAGTACGCACCAAGTTAAATCAGTCATATCCTTCTCGCCTCCTCCATCGGTGCGCCCGAAGCTGAAGCACCAGTTTGAAACAAAAAAAAGAGACGGAAGGTAGAATATACGATAGTTGAAAAGGGTGGGAGTTGTTCTTAAATCTATGACAATGGCAAGCCGAGGACTTACTGGCCGTACTTGCGACGCTTGAGTGCGTCCGGGAGCGCGTGCAGCATCTTGAAAAACGGCGTTTCCACCAACACGAGCTCGGGCAACGTCGACGTTGCGATAAACTCGGCGTACGCGATCGGGCCATACTTGTCGACAAAGTGGAACGTCGAGGCCGGCGCCACGTCGGCGTCGTCACCGGACGTGTCGTCGTCCTTGGCCGCGACGCTGAGACGCCGGCGCTTCGTGGCCTTGGCCGCCTGGATCGGCTGGTCAATGTCAATGTGCAGCAAGAAGCGCTGGCTCCAGAGCACGATCGAGTTGGGCTGCGTCGGGTGGAAGAGCACGCCTTGGAGCGACGATGGCAGCAAAAAGAGCTCCTCCGGGAGCTTGTGCGCGTTCTCGCGGCTCCAGTCCGTGAGGCTCTTGCGCTCGACGTCGTAGCACGCAAAGTGGTTCGAGATCGTCGTCGCGACCAGCGTCTTGCCGCTCGGGTGCAGCGCGATCGCCGTGTGCATCGACGCGGGCGTCGGCAGCTCGCAATAGTACTGCATCGAGTCGAGGTTGAACACCTACCCCCACATACAACATGAGACAACGTGCCAAAAAAAATACAAAATCAAGTACCGAGAGATGGTTGCCAATGTCACCGGACGCGAGCCACTGGCCGTCGCGCGAGACCGCGAGCGTCTTGGTTTGCAGCGCATGCGGCGTCGAAAACGTCTTGAGCACGCTCAGCGAGTGCATGTTGAGGACACGGACGACCACGTCGCCCGTGATCAAGTGCGCCGAGTCGGCCGTGAAGAGGAGCGAGTACGCGGGCTGCGCAATCGCGGTCGAGAGCGGCACCTTAGTCACGTTCGAACCCTCGAGGCGGAAGACCTTGAGCTCGGTCGCGGTCGAACAGGCCACGAATTCACCGTTGGGCGAGATGGCCGAGGCCACGAGGTTGGCGTCCCCCGTCATCTGAAGCTGCGCAAGGAGCTTGGGCGCCGCACCCGCGAGGCTCCAGACGTCGAGCGCGGTCGTGTGCTGCGAGAGCAAGAGGCGCTTCTCGGTCGCGAGCGCGAGGAACTGGCGCGGCGGCAGCGGCGAGATCTTGTTGGGGCGACACGTGTTGTACTTGATTGTCGGGTACGTGATGAGGTGCGTGTCGACGCCGCCCGACACGAGCAGCGGGTCGTCGGCGTTGCCCGAGACGGCGAGCGCGCGCACATCGTGCGTGTGCGCGCGGTGGCTGTACGTGTAGTTGAAGAGCTTGGTCGTCGGCGACCGGCGCAGCGAAATGACTTGGTTGTCAATGCCAGACGCGAAGAGCAGTGTCTGTGTCGGGTCCAATGCCATCGCAAGCACGTCGGCCGTGAGCTGCGCAAACGTTTGCATGAGCGTGCCCGTGATGCCGTCCCACGTCTGCACGTTGCCGTTCGAGTCGCCCGAGATGACGGTGAGGTCGTCGAGCACAAGGAGGCTCCACACAACGCCGCGCGGGTGCTTGGCGTACCGCTCGAGCGTCATGCGCGACTCGTTGCGACCTGTCGTTGCGTTCCACGTGTAGATGACGCCTTCGTCGTTGCCGCTAAAGAGCGTGTCCGAGATGGTGTGCCACGCCAGCGACACGACGCGGCGACCGGTCGCACCGAACGCCTTGCGAAAGTAGAGCGGCTCGTCGGTCTCCATCGTGAAGAGGCGCACGCGGCCGTCTTCGCAGCCAACCGCGAGCGTGTTGTCCGACGCGTGGTACTGCATGCACCAGATCGGGCCACCGTTCGCATGCAGCGCATGCGTGAAGCGAAGCGAGTCGAGGTCGATCTCGCGGATCATGCCGTCGAGCGACGCCGCAAAGAGACGGCCGGTCGCCGTCCACTGCACGCTCGAGGTGACCGCCGACCCGCGGCCGCCGACGACGGCGTGGAAATGCACGTCGTGGCCGCTGACGTTCCAGAGCTCGACGTCGCCGTTCTGGCGCGCGACCGCGAGGCGCGAGCCATCGGCGTTGTACGCGAGCGCCGTCACCGTGCTCGGCTCGTACTTCAAGAAGCGGCAGCGGTGCACCTTGCAGGCAGCGAGGACCGAGGTCGGCGATGGCATGTCGCCTTCGACGCTGTCGCCGTCTTCTTCGGTCGTCGTCGGCTCGGCGATCGCGGGCGTCTTCATGGCTTCGGCCGCGCGCTTCGTCTTCGGAGCCATACTCGTGGAGGATGCAAAATGGCACCAACCACCACGACGCCCAGGCCATCGACCAGTCATTTTGGGCCATTTCAGTGTCCGGATAAAAACGATCTTTAGCGGACATCCGGATACTCGACGTTCCCGCCAGCTCCCGGTCAACGTGCAGCGGCGATCCCAAGCATGGCAGAAGCGCACATCCGACGACGACGCATGGTACTTACAATGGAAATGGCCGACAAGTGAGGCAAATGCGATCGGTCGTCGCAGGAAGGAGCGTCGGCCTGCTGCTGCACCGTCTGCTGCTGCTACGACGAGCTCGAGCATGAAGGACGTGTGACGACTGCCGACCAGCTACATGTATGCTGCTAGTCTACCTCGCTGAGCTGCTCGACGTGCTGTATGACCTACGACGTCCACTGTGCTAGCTTGACACGACGGCGGTAGGCGGTCAACTGGTGCCACCAGGGTACCCTACGCTACCGATGCATTTGCCTCGCACGTGAGCCGATGCAGTAGCAGATGAATCAAGGACAGCAACTGCTTGGGCCCGCTCAGCACGACGCTCTGCTGCCGCGCCAACGCCAGCACGTGCCCAAGCAGAGAGATGTAGCCAAGTGCAACTCGACTGCAACCTCGACTGCAACACGGCAAGTCGGGCTGCAACCGGTGTATCGATTCTGAGAGGTATTCAATACCTCTCAAACAGGATCGCAAATGAGCGCAATGTACATTTCAGATTCGGATCATCGCGGTTGCAGTCATGTCCCTTGCGGAGCACCAGCGCGAGATGCTGGCGTTGGCGCGGCAGCAGAGCGTCGTGCTGAGCGGACCCAGCCGCATTGGCAAGACGCACGTGGCGGCCATGCTTGCGCGTGAGATGCTCGACGACGCCTCGTCTCGTGGCCAGCTCGTGCTGGTGGTCGTGCCCGGGACGAGCCAGATCCCGGACGTGTACGCGACGATGGCACGCGTGTGTCATGCGCGCATGGGCGGCCAGCTACCAACGAACGAGCGTGCGTGGCAGACGGTCGAGTACATGAAGGCCCAAGTCGCGTCCGCGCAGGTGCTCGTCCTCACCGCGTCCATGGTCGGCCTCCTCCTGCAAGTACGCTCGCCTCATTGCGTGCTCAAGCTACTGATGCAATGTAGGAGAACGTTCTCGCGCTCGAAAAGGTCGCGCTGCTCGTCTTCAAGTGCTGCGAGAAGGTATAAACTCGGACTGCAACTGCAACCCGACGACTGCAACCCCGTCCACGTGGTAGATTCACGAGAGCATCCCAATGTTTTACCAGCGACTCTTTGTCAAGTACGCCAAGCTGCGCAAGGCGACCCAGCCTCGAGTCGTCGCGCTCACGACGCTGCCGATCTCGGCGCTCCATTTGCATGCGACCAAGAACCCGCTTTTCGCCTACACGACGGCGTGCAGCATGACGCTTGCGGCCACGCGCACCAACCACGACCTGCTCGCACCGCTCTTCGCCGAGGTCTTTGACACAACCTCGTCGTCCTCCTCCTCCTCGGCGCTGGTGTCGGACCCCATCGCCTTTCTGCACGGCGACAACGAAAAGCACGTGGACATTACGGCCGCGTACCTGGACTTGCACCGCGGCATCGCCGACGACGCTAGCATCGCTAGCCGCAAGGACCGGTTCCTCAACGATGCCAGCGCTGTCTTTACCCACCTCGGACTCTGGTGTTTTGTGCAACATGTCCTCCACGAGCTCGCGGGCGCGGTTGCGTTTGCCTCGTCGTCGCACGCCAAGAGCCTCCTTGCGTCGACGCACCTCAGCATTCTCTCCGAGCCGATGCCAACGATCGCGCTGTCATCATGCAGCATCAGCGAGCACGCAGCGAGCATGGCCGCCGCTGTGGCCGCCGCCACCCGGCTGCACGCGTGGCTCACCGACCTCTTGGGGAGCGTGCCGCTGGACATGGCGACGCCCCGGCTCACGCAGGTCGCCTCGCTCTATCGCACCTTTGTCGCAAATGAAAGCGCGCTCACGGACGCACCGCTGGCGAAGCGAACGTGGATCTTTGTGCATCGTCGGACGCACGCGCGGGTCGTGGCCGACTACTTGACGGCGTCGTTTCCGCGTCTCCCGCCGGCGTGCAGCATGATCGGCCAGGACGTTGCGTACGGAAGCGACGGCGTGGCGTCCATGGGCGATGTCATGGCAGCGTTCAATGAGCGACGGAACCTTGTGCTCGTGACGACGGCGCTCACACACGAGATGGACCGCGTGGCGCCGTGCGACCTCGTGCTCATTGCCGACACGTTGCACGACCAGCACAAGCTTCTCGACTTTCGCCGATGTACAGTATTTCTCTCGATGTACGACCTCCTAGGCTATGAGTAGGCGCCGACGCGGTTGTGGGTGTGGCCCGCTACTTGGTGCCTGGCACCGAGGCCGAGATGACCAAGTTCCAGGCGCTGCATGCCAAGATGGCGCGGCTCGTCCAGATGGAGATTGCAAACATGCCACACGAGGTGCTCGAGCAGCGTCTGCAGGCGGTCCGCGCTGCGCTCATGCCGGCGTTGCCCGACGGCTGCCATGCGTACGCCTTTTTACGTTTCTTATTTTTTCTTTTTTTCTTATTTTTTGGAAACCATGAGGTTGATACGTTGATACGTAGGTATGTCGTGGTCCACGACGACACGCAGGCGCGACTCGACGTTGAGAACAGTGTCGAGACGCTGGATGCCTTTTGCAAGACGCTGCCTGGCCTCGCGATTGCCGACCACCGACCGCAGTACACGTATACGCACCACGTGGTCCAGGCGAGCATGTCGGTCAAGCGGCGCCAGCGACTCGAGGCGGGCCGCAGCCTCGACGACGACGACGAGACGCCGCAGCGCGTCGAGTGCGATGCAAAGCTCCGACTGCCGCCGATGCTCGGGATCAAGGAGACGCTCAAGTCGCCCCGCGTCGACTGCGAGAAGCACGCCAAAGCGATTGTGGCCTTTCTAGCGTGTCAGCAGCTACTCAACCACGGCTATCTAGACCGGTCGTTTCGATCGCGGCTCCAACGCCACGTCAGCGCCCCATCGTCGTCGTCGTCGTCGGCATCGACAGCGTCGGTGCCCGTGGAAACCGAGACGCAGAGCAGCTATGAAGTGCCCGCGACCACCGCGATCGATCTCGGGCTGCGCTCGTTGCGCGATGCACTCGCCGCGACGACGGCGAACTCAACGCTGACCATGTACCTCTACCCGCTGGACTCGCTGGACTATGGCCTTTTGACGACCATGCCACTGTATGGAGGTAGGCGCCAGGATGTCGACCTGCTTGTTGGAGCTTTTTGCATTCTGTAGGCACGGTGCGGGACACGCCGTGGCGCTACGAGTTTGGCACGACGCGCTGCATCTTGACGCCGGCGCTGGCGACCGTGCGCATGGCGCATGCGCGCGTCCTTGCCATTTCGCGCTCGGATCTGCGCGACTACGTTCGGTACCATACGACGCTCCTGCGATTGGCGTGCTACGGCGTCGCGGCGGCGGAGGCGGCGATCCGGTCCTCCGATCCACTGCGGGAGTTTTCCGCCCGCAACGACAAGGGCTACGTGGTCGTGGCTTTGAAGAAATCGGATGGTGCGATCGACGTCGAGCACATGCGTGGTGTCATGGGCTCGTTTCTGACGCCGGCGTGGCCGTTGCCGCCGCCCGAGTGCCTCGCAGACGTCGTCTGCGTCTCGAAGAAGCGCAAGGACGTGACGTACTGCATTCAGCAGGTGTGTGTGTATCCATGGTTTAGCTGTACCACAGTGTGCGCTTAGGTGACGACAACCAATGTCGGTGACGTGGCCGCGCGCGTGGTCGCTGACGTGGATTACTGGAGCTACACGATCCGCCGGGCCAAATCGGGTACGTAAAAGGTCTCGAGAGAGAGCGTTGGTGATGGTGTCGTCTTTTGAACTAGCACCCGGCAACCCGATCCTTGGTCGATGGTACACCAAGGACGATCTGCTGCGCGCCGAGCCCGACCAGCCGCTCGTGTATGCGATCGAGCTGCCGTCAGCGCTGCCCATCATGCGCCACATTATGGACCGATGTCCGCAGTGGACGTCGACCTTGGACCAGAAGGAGCGACTCATTTTGCCCGACCAGACCTATATCCTTGGCCTCTCGCGGTCTCGGTATGTGCAGGCGTTTGGCTTGCTCCCGCTGCTATATGAGTTTGAGCGCAAACTGCAGCTGTCTCGGCTCATGGACCGTATTGGCGCCGACATTGACTGGACACTCCTCAACGACGCGACGTCCAAGCCCGCGTACGAGACGCTCGAGACACTTGGCGACTGCTACCTCAAGCTCGAATCGACGTGGTTCCTCTACGAGGTACGCCTCGATTTTGGCACGGTATCAATGTATCAACTCGATACGTTTTGGACCAGCGCCGCTGGGACCTCGCCAACGAAGGCGCGCTGCACATGACGCGCACCGACATTATCCGCAACGATCGTTTGTGCCTCAAGGCGATTTCGCTCGAGCTGCACAAGCTCATGACGCACCCGAGCATCCTGGATACGCAGCCATTTATTCACTGGAAACCGAGCTGCGTGGGCCGGACCCCGCAGTCGCTCGTCGCGCCCGTCAAATGGGTCGCCGACACCGTCGAGGCCATGTGCGGCGCCTACATTGCGGGGCTCGGCGAGCGTGGCGGCCGTCTCTTTCTGTCGTACGTGTGATTCGTCGCCTCGAAAGATCGGGTTTCGAGTCTGCCATGCTGTAGGTGGCTGGGCAGCGAGACATTGGACCCGGTCCAGTTTGCCTATGCTCGTCCGCTGCTGCCACACTGTACGCCGCAACCGCGGGCGACGCTGCCATTGTCGCCCCCGCCCCTCGACCTGGTCCGTGCATTGGGGTTAGGGTTGTAGACATGTCGCATATCTGGCTGTATAGGCGGCGCACGGGCTGCAGCTTGTCGCGTCGCACTTTGACGATCTGGGCGACCGCCTGCGCATCGTCGAGGCGTCGCTCAAGTACGAATTCCGCAACAAGCGCCTCCTCGTTGTACGTTCTCCATGTTGTAAACTGGTTGGTCGACACGATTGGTCCATGTAGGAAGCGATTGCGCACCCGTCGGTCGCTCCCGTCTTGCGCCAAGCCGACGCTCGCGCCACCACCACCACGTTCAAGGGCGACTACGAGCGGCTCGAGTTTCTCGGAGACGCGCTCATCGAGTACCTCGTGCTGACGTATGCGACGACCACGTACCCGAGCTGGCAGCCGGGCGACCTCACGAATTGGAAGGGCGCGACCGTCTCGAACGACGCGCTCGGCAAGACGGCGCTGATTGCGTTGCATGTCGATCATGTGATGCTCACGGGCGCGGTCAAGATGGACCCCAAGATGACGGCCAACCTGCGGCTTGTCAAGCACCAGTTTGCACGCATTCGCGCGGGCATGCCCGTGGAGGCGTCGGCGCTCGACCACGTGAGCATGCCCAAGATGTACGCCGACGTGTTTGAAGCACTGGTGGCGGCCGTGTTTTTGGACGCGGGGCGGGACCTCGTCACGATCCGCGACGTCTTTCTCGCGCCGCTTCTCGAGATTGTGGGCGCCGACGCGGTCGCCACCGTGCAGCGTCGCCACAAGGCAACGTAGAGTCGTCGCTCGTGCCTCGTCGCGCTTTTTTGTATGCGTGCCGTCAATAGCAATCAATCAATCTTTCAATCAATCAATCAATCAATCAATCAATCAATCAATCAATCAATCAATCAATCAAACAAACTCTGTCGTTGGTTCGAGAGCAAGATGCACCCCCGCGCCGCCGCCTGCGCAGCCACGGCCCGGCGAACGAATGAAGAAGAAGGAGATTGCTAGGCTCTTGTTAAGGGATTCATGACATGATTGACCCTATGTTTTTGGCTTGATAACTAATCGGCAAATCGGGAGATTGCTAGTCTCTACGTATGCGAACTCTTTGTAATGTCGTCCAGTTCTGCCCCATCAACGACGACAAGGGCGTACAGAGGGAGCTGCCGCTAAACTTGAATCAGAAATTGTCTGTCAGCGCTCATGGGCGCTGTTTACCAACGAAGATAATGCGAAACACAGTCGTACCGGTATATCTGTCGTTGGTTTGAAATGGTGGCTTGCAGAGAGGAGGGGTAGGGGAATGATGCCGTGGGGGCTTCACAAGGCACGAGGATGACAACTATCGAGGCGATTCTATCCTACCTGTTGCATGACATGCATAAGACAGACCCAGAGACTCGCTGCGGCGCAATGCAATACAATATTGAACTCGCTTGGTGGAAGCACCGCGTTGTTGCTGCAACTAAACCAACGCAACTTTGACACACCGCCTCCGATCCCGTTGACGATACGCTGTAAGGCGCGTTTGCATCCTCGAGACAAATTGGAGCGTTCTGCGACGGAATGGACGTGTGTGTGGGCCACGGCGACGCCGCATACATGATGGCTGCCTTAAGTCGTGAACGCCTGAGTAAGGAGCGTGCAGCTAGCCACTACAAACCTCTCACATTCGATACTTGAAGTGCCATCTCGGTCCATATTCGGTGGTTCAAGTAAGATGGAGGAGGCGCTGGCCCGCGAGCTCGCCGAGTGCATCCGCAACCCGGACCTCCAGCAGCGGCTGCTATACCAATGGCGCACGGCCCACGCTGTGCTCTTGCGACTGCCGTCGACGGCCCTTGTTGGCAGTACACCCGCGCCGGCGAGCGACCACGCGCTTGCGCTCTCGCACACCTTTGCGTCCGCGTTTGTGGCCACGCTCCTGCGCCTCCAAGACGACAAGACACGGACGCTGCCCAAGCCGATTCCGCAGAGCTTGAAGGACGCCTTCTGCGAGAAGTGCTGCGCGCTCTTACTGCCCGGCGTCTCGGCGACCGTGCGCGTCGTCCACCAAACGCACGCCGCGCCGCTGAACCTGCAGCTCGCGCGGGCCCACGCTGCGGCACAGCGCAAGGCCAAGCATCTGCACAAGCCCTCGATTAGCGCTCGCCTCGTGCGCGTGCGCAACGCGGTAATCTCGACGTGCCACCGCTGCAAGCACGCCAACGTCCGCGCCGGCGCGGCCAAGGCGGCGCGTAAGAGCTTGAAGCGCAAGGCCCCCCGAGCCGGCCCTCCCACCACCGACGCTCGCGACTCTGGCCACGAAGGAAGGCGGCCTCTTTGGGAAGCTTCCGAGCCGCCGCGGAAGCTCCTCGACGGGCATAAAAGAAGAAGAAAAGGCGGCGGCCGCGCCCAGCGCGCTCGACTCATTCCTCAAGACGCTCCGGCCACAAAACTGAGTGCGGAAGTGCGCCATGTGCACAGAGATGGTGCTACCATCCAGGACATATATACTACACAAGAAGCAACGACACAGCAGTGACAACGTGTTAGGATTTGTGGGGAGGTAGCCGCATGCGCGGCGGAGACGACGACGACGACGTGGAGGGCAGCAGCGATGGCATGGACGCGGTGCCCATGGCCTTGCGAATGCGCGCGTCAAAGACGAGCTGCTTGGCGCTCGGTGTCTTGGCCACGCGGATTCTCGTCGGTGGCCACGTTGTCAGGTCCGGGTCCTTGGCAATCACCGCAAACGGGGACCCTGGCGTCATGGTCGGGCGTCGGCGCGGGTGCAAGTCGGTCACCTCCGCGTCTGGCAGCAACTCGAGCTGTAGCCCGCGACGACGGCGCTCGGGCGATGCAGTGCACACCCGGGGCGCGACGAGCGGAGGCAAGTGCGCGGGCTCGAACGCCAAGTGCAAGGGTGCCGCAATCGCGGGGCGCCGCCACGCCTCGGGCCGCACCTTGAGGCGTGGCGTTGGTGCCATCGGAAATGAGTCCGCGGATTGCTCTTGGCTTGGTTCACTGGAAAGCGTGGGCGACGAGGGTCTCGTGTCCGGTGGAGGCGGTCGAGGCTCGGACTGTGTGCGTAAGACGACTTGGTGGTTGGGACTTGGTACTCGCAGCGTGCTCTCGGACGCCGAGGCGACCAGACTCGGAAGACGGGCCTTTTTTGCACCGCTGGCGTGAGGTGGCGCACCATCAGTGGCTTGGCGGCCAACGTATGCTGCTCGAGCTGCTCGGGCTCCCACGGCGGAACGTCCGGCAACACGTCGGACGACGCCTGCACGAGCCGGACACCGCTTCGATACGGTGCCTCGATCGACTCGATGGTAAGTTGGTTGCCTTCGAGGATGCCAAAGTAGATGGCTTTTTCGTCCGCCGACAAGACGGGCGGGCTACAGAAAGCGAGGATCAGAACATTGCTGGTCGCACGAAACCAAGACGTACATGGGCTCTTGTAAAAGCTGTGCTTCAAAGCGCGCGCGTCGGTCGGGTGGCAGACCTTGCAGAGCATGCAAGAGGTAGTTGGCATCGTCGGTATCGACAATCCGAAGCAGTGCGAGCAGCGGGATCGCGACGCTGGCATAGTCAGCCAACGTCGCGAGCAGTCGCATCTTGTTCGGGACCGAGTCAAAGTAGGTGAGGAACGCGGGCAGCGACGGCATCGCATGCAGTAGCGTGAGCGCGGCGGAGAGAGAGCACACTTTGAGCATTTTCTGAAGACAAACGGTAGCCACGGGCACCAAATGCGGCGCAAGTGGCGGCCGATACAAGAGGTCACACGCCATGACGACATGCGCGTCGTCTGTGAGCCGCAACATGTGGATCAGGAACGCGGTCTCGGCCGTGAGCTCGGTGCATGTCGCCAAGATCTCGTCGTGGTAGCTGCTCGGCACGTGCTGCAGCGTGCGCACAATCTCCACCGCGACCTTGTCCGAGTAGGCGTTCAGAATACGACAGCAGTGCGCGAGTACGTCATCGAGCCAGTACTCGGGCGGCCGCGCCATCGAGCCCAGCGCGGGCGGCGACACATGGCGACCCGTCGTCGTCAGAAGCGTGATCAAACCAACTTGGCTGGAGGGTGGAAGCCGCGTGAGCGCCTTGATGAGGACGAGGTGCACGGTCTTGCTGCAGTAGCTCGCCAACGACGCGTACGCCGCGAGCGGCGAGACAAGGTTCGGTCGCGAGCTCGCTTGCTTGTGCAATGCCAAGTACTGCGAGAGCACAAGCGGATCTTCGAGCATGCGCACTTGCTCAATGAGGAGCGACCGCGTCTCCCATGTATGCGGCGTGAGACTCACAAAGACATCGCCGATCGTGACCAGATCCAACGCGTTGCATGACACAATGAGTCTATCGATCAGACGACCCATGAGTGCCGACTTTTTTTAACAATGTACAAGGTACCGGGAGAGAATGGCGCGCCGCGGGTCGACAAAAAGCGGGAGTAGCAGCGACTGTCGAAGCAAGTCGAGGCGGCTAAGAAACAGATTCAATTCCTTGAGTGCGCTGTCTGTCATGCCGCTCGCAAGCTCGAGAAACGTGAGGACGTCGGTAGTCGGGTGCTGCAAGAAGAGGTCCATTAACACCAGCGACTCGGCCTCGTTGTTGATGGCTTGGAGGTAGCCAAAGACATTCTCCATCGCGCGTGGTGCGAGGGGCTGTACGATCGCAAGCACCGTCGCGGCCGAGACACTCGAGACGGCTTGGAGGAGGTCACTCCACACGAGCAAATTGAAGGGCGATTGCGCGGGACTGCTGTACATTTGGAGCAGCTGGGCATGCGCAAGCGACGGCAGGTGCAACAACAAGCGCAGACACGCCATGGGCACCATATTGTGGGGCGGCGACAAGACAAACGCAAGCAGGTGAACATTGAACGCGACCTCGGTCGTCAGCACGCTGCGAAAGAAGCGCCGCGCGTACTCGGCGTCCATCGTGCTCAAGAACGCCAGCACCTTGTGCAGCGAGACGCCATGGGGCGCGTCGGCCTCGTCCTGTAGGAGCGCGACCAGCGTGAGCAGCAGCTGCCGAGGCTCGTCCTCCACCGTGTCGTTGAGAACAAGGTACAAAAGCTCGCGCGTCGCTGGTGGCGTCGACAGCAGCGTCAAGAAGGCGCTGATGCACAGCGGGTGGAGACGACGGAGCAAGTACGCGACAAGCATGACATCTTCCTTCTCCCATTCGCGCGTTGTTTGCAGCAAACGCTGCAGCTCGACGACCGGGAGATGCACGAGCGTGTCAATGACTTGGATTGGCGTCACGGTCTCGTCACTCGTGGTGCCAGGATATACGGACGGCGGATCGTCGGAAGCAGGTGGCGTCGGTAGCGGAATGAGGAGCACGAAGCGCGTGCAGAGAGCCCGATCACGGGGCTCGAGTGTGTGGAAGGTACATTGCCACTGCGCGCGCGTCGTGGCGGGCAGCTCAAAATAGAGACTTGTGATGACGACAGGCGACTCGCAGCCGCAGAGATGCGTGAGAAAGGTATGCGCGCACGGGTCGTCGATTTTGATCGTTGCGAGCTCCAGGACCCATTGGTCGAGATGCTCGGTCAAGACAATTGGTCGCAGCGCCGACAGCGCACTGTAGTAGATGGGAGGCACTTCAACGAGGATCGAGCCCGCGGCCTCGACCGAGACGACGACAAGCAGCTGAAGAAACGCGTCGAGCTCGAGGGGTGTCAGGGCCACGAGCTGACTCACGAGGCGTGACGGCAATGCACAGTGCCCTTGAAACATATTGGCGAGGCTCAGCACGACGTCGTCGTCGACGAAGACGTACGTGAGGTTGACCCACGGTAGCCGATCGGTGGGTGCGATGTGAACGAGGATCCGTAGCCAGAGCGAGAAGAGATCGTTGTCAGGCAAGGACACGAGGTAGATGCGCACCGTGTTCTCAGCGCGGGGGTCCGCGCCCAGCCATTCGAGAAAGTGACGCCACGTGAACTTGTCGTGCATGAATGTGAGCAACACGCGTTGCTTGGACAGCGGCTGCCGCATAAGACATCGCCCCAGCAAGCTCAAGTGAAGCGTCGTTTCGGTCAGAATGGACTCCATGCTGCTGCGGTCGTCGTCGTCGCCAAAGCCTGCGTAGAGCGATATCAGCGTTGCATACTCGGCCGATGACGATGAAATGTGCAGCGCCAGATAGTGGTGCACGCGCAACACGTCGTGGAGGTACCGACGCGCGTCGGCCTTGGAGCCAATCATGGCCCACACGTGGAGGCGCGTCGATGGCTCTTGGTGCGTCAAGATGCGCTGCAGCTCGTCGCGCTGGTGTGGGCGCAGTTCGTCTGCGACAGCGTCGAGCCAGTCGCTTATGTCTGCGTCGGCGGCGTCACTGCGCCAGATCCATGGGCTGGCCATCGCCGCCTCGCTATGGTGGCTGCAGTTTCACGCACGTCGAGTGAGGTGATTTTAGACGATGACGGTTACGTCCTTTCTGACTGCGCTGCGCGCGCGTCGTGCCACGTCATTAACATCAGTGAAATGACGTTAGACTGGATGGTCGATCCGATGTAGCACTATACTGCACAAGACGAGCGACTGCCGCCCAGAAGAAATTGCAGTGGGCGAGGGTCGAATGCTGCGGCCTCCTAACCCTTATAACAGCGCCATGGCTACCCCGACCCGGCGGCGGAACCCGGCCAAAGGGAGCGTGACAAGAGTTCTCGCTGGGAATGCCGCGCGTAAGAGCGTAAGGGCGTAAAAACACATGGACCAAACCGGTTTGGCCAAGCGCGCCCTCGCCCTCTCGCACTGGCATGATTCAACATATGTTACACTTAACGTTTTACGTCTAACGCATACGTTTATCTAAAAACGCAGTTCGACCGATGCGTCCATCAAAACACCTATTAAAACCGACACGTTTATCAAAAACGCACGCGCGCAAGGCTGAATTTTGGATCCGGCATGGCCTCGCTTGCGTCCCTCGCTGGCCTCGCGGCCTACCCATTCCAGAGCCAGCGCATGCTGGTCGAATGCCAGACGCAGATCTTCCGAGACCACTCGGCCGGCCAGTTCTGGGCGCTCGTCGCTGGAGGCGCGGCCGACGCCGTTCCGCCGGCGCTGGCCTACGCGGTCCAGACGATCCAGAACCTCGAGGAGGTCGCTGCCTTTCTCCAAGCGACGACGATCCATGCGCGCCCAATCATCTCGCTTCTGAAAGCCCACTTTCGCGCAATTCTCTTCCATGACGCCGAGCAGGCCACGGTACGAGTTCGCTCTATCTCGTCGCATTAATTTCGCCGTCTAGGTCTTTATGCGAGCGCTCGAAGCGCTTGGCACAGCGCTCATTGCGTCAAGCGGCGCGGCGCATGGCATGACCATGGCCCTCTTGCGCGACCAGCTGCAGTATCTCGAGTGGCTCCAGCTCACGCAGCCGTCGCTCCTGCACGTCTTCTTGCGCCAGGTATGACATGCTTCTTCGTCCAATCGTGTTCTTATTGTCGATATGTGCACGATAGATTGACATGCGCGTCGAGTCGACGTGTCGCGGCGAGTTTGAAGTCCCGCTGCTCGAAAAGACGCTGGCATGGGTGGAGAATACGCTGCTGCCCGACGGCGAGACGCTTCTCGTGGGCCGCACGACGTCACCGCGGGATGTGCTGCGCCTCCATACGTACAAGGCGTTTGGGTGTCTGCGTATGGAGGAGCTCTTTAGCATGGTCAAAGCCTTTCCAGATAGTATTCCTGCGATCGCCGACCTCACCAACACGATCGCCATCACGCACCAGCAGCGCGACCTCATCGCGATCTTTTGCCGCGCCATTACGAGTCGCTTGCTCCAACCTGGCGTCGCCACAAGCGCCATCATCGTCTTGTACACGCGCATGATCAAGGTCATTTCTGCGTGATGGATAGACTCCTCACTTCTCCTCCTCTCTCTCTCTAGACCTTTCGCATTTTGGATCAACGTGGTGTGCTCTTGGAAGGCGTGAGCGGCCTCATCGACGAGGTAATCCATCTTCATACAGCGACGTATCGCAGAGAGGACGTGATGCGTGTGGTAGTATCTCAAGAAACGCAAGGATACGATTCGGTGCATTGTCGCGAGCTTGACCGACGACCAACATGGCGACCTCTTTGAGGAACTACGGCGCGACGGCTTGGTCGACACGACTGCCGAGAGCGACGACGACGACGTGCGTCGCTCGAATCGGATCTGAGTTGTGCTTAGCGCCCGTGCGTAGGAAGAAGACCCCGAGACGTGGCAACCCGACCCGATTGAGGCCGACCCCAAAAAAACCGCGCGGTCGCGGGCCCACGACGACATTCTGAGCATCCTCGTCTGTGGTTTTAAATGACGTTGAAGAGGTTGTGACAGCGCTGTAGGTCAACATCTATGGCTCGAAAGAGTTGTTTGTGAACGAATATCGCCTCATGCTTGCGGACCGACTGCTCGTGAACCGCGACTACAACACGGACCGCGATGTACGCTTTGTCGCGTGTGCTCGGATTCGCCTGATTTTTTTCTAGTTGCGCACGCTCGAGCTTCTCAAATTGCGCTTTGGCGACGAGAGTTTGCAGCCGTGCGACATTATGGTCAAGGACGTCGAAGAAAGCAAGCGCGTCCAAGCCAACTTGACGTCGATCGTGGACGCGACGATCGTCTCGCAGCACTTTTGGCCGCCGTTCCAGGTCCCGAGCACAAAACGTGTCCGCTTCTCATCGCTCGACACTAGGCGGAAGACGTCGTCCTCCACGAGCAGCTGTCACATGCGATTGATGCGTACAAAGCAAGTTACCACGTGCTCAAGAACCCACGCACGCTCGAATGGATGCATTCGCTCGGCTCGGTCGACGTACGCCGTCGTCGTCTCTCACAGAATGTGTTTTTAACGATTGTGGTGTCGCCTAGTTGGAGCTCGAGCTCAACGGCCACACCGTACCCTTTACATGCTCGCCCATCCAAGCGTCGATTCTCATGCATTTCGAGTCGAAAGGTAGATGGCCTCCTTGTCGTACTTGTACGTAACGATGGGATAGAGACGTGGACCGTGCCAGACTTGGCGCTCGCGATGGAGCTGGACGACGCGGCACTGCGCCGGCACGCACGCTTTTGGGTCCACCACAGTGTGCTGTCCTTGGTCGGGGCGGTGCTGACGCTTCAAAGCGGCACCTTCTCGCCACGTGCGACGTCGGCGCCGGCCGTGGACGACGACGACCCGATCGAGTCGGCCGTCTCGTCCGACTTGCAGCTCGAGCAAGAGATTGAGGTGGGTTGCTTGTCGACGGCAAGTGCGTTTCCGTTGCTTTAGGTGCTGCAATCGTACATCATTGGCATGCTTTCCAACTTTGAGTCGTTGCCGCTCACACGCATTCATACGATGCTCACGACCTTTGCCCGAAGTGGCCCCACGCCCTGTACGTCCCGTTGATATGAATCGTCATCAACATCTGCAGTCTGAAAGACAATATTCGAGAATAGATGACAAGACAACGGGAGAACTCGCAGCGATTCTGCGGGCACTCGTCGCCCGCGGCCGTCTCGAATATGTCGGCGGCCAGTACCAGCTGCACAAGTGATCTCCCACAAAAAGACGTTTGCGCTCCCAAGCCCAAGCCAATACCGCCACGTGTGTTTCAACCGCGGGATCGATATAGTGCTTCCGTGCTGTAGAAGCCTCGAAGAGCGATTTTGTCCGTTAGTGCAGGCGCCATCAATCTCACCACACACTCTGCGACCTCATGCATGTCGCCGAGCTCTTGTACTCGGAGCGGGGTCGCCAACTGAATTGGCTCGTTGGATGACACCTTTGTCGTATGAAGTACTGTAGCTATTCATTGGGGTGGTATGGCATCTGTGCGTCTACTTTGTCGTGCTGGATTATTGTCTCAGGCTTTAAAGTCGGACGGTGGGTCTGATGTGAGCTGGTCGACGGTCGAGCTCACAAAAAGCAGCTACACACAAAGATGGTTCTCAAACGACAAAAGCGAGGCATGGTCCTATGGTCGAATTACCTTTTCGATAGCGTTGAGGAACTTGTGGAGTTGCTTGTAGTACGATAGAGGCGATAGGAGCACTTCCGTGAGCCGCTGCAGCGTGAATGGCGCGCTATAGCATCCGGTGGTAGTTGTTGTTTTGTTGCTTTTGCTTTTATGGAGGTACCGCTCTTGCGTCTCCATCTTGGTGACAACGAGGGCTTTTTGGCCTCGATCTCCTTGGTCATTGAGAACGTACTGTACTGCGCGAGCGCTGCCTGTAGCTTGTAGACGAGCAGCGTGCGCACGAGGGCCCAGTCGTGACGCAGTTGGCCCGTCGAGCGCATTTGCTCGACAACAGCGCTAAGCGGCGGGCTCGCGTCATAAGCGGCTTGGGTCTGGTCGCCCTTCGCAAACGCTACGTCGTAAAACCATTAAGGCAACGCGCATGAGACAGAAGCACGCGTTACCGTCGAGGGCGCCATGCGTCGTCGTCGTGTCCATTCTCGGATTGCGGTTGAATTTACGAAAAAGCGACGTCACGCGGTTTCCGTCAACGGCGGGGGGCGAAACGGGGGGTGGCCGGTGTCGGGGGGATTGAAGCATGCGTGTATATGTGGGTGCTCATCACGGGTATTAGTAGGGAGACATTAGCGATCCACTGTACAATGTCATCTGGTTGTATCGTCCTGGAGGAGTCTGTTGCTTGTTGAAGCGTTTTTTCGCTTCAACATGCACAGTACGTCGTCGTCGTTGCCGACATTTCGCACAGAGTAGAGACTGTAGACTATACTTTTCGTGCTACACTGGACTAGAAGCCTTTCCAACCGTGTGTAGTCGCGACAGCAAATCGGTTGTGCCAATCTTTGCAGTTGTACTCGTCGACGCACGGGTTGCCGTTGACACAGCTGCACGTTTCGGTCGTCGACGGCGCCGTCCACGCCGCGCCGTCCATGGTTGCGGCGACTTGACGCATCTTGGCCTGGTCCTTTGCGAGCTGCTCGGCTTCTTGCTCTGCGTACACATAGTACGTCTCACCAGCCTCCAAATCCTGGTATGTCCCGATCGGATCTTCGCGCACGTAGACGTTCATCGCGTCACGCGATTCCATCTCGACTTTGGTCGGCGGGTCCCACCGGGAGAGGTGAATGAGGCAGTTGGGCATGACAAACGTGAGCGCATACACGTCGTCGATCGCTGCCATCGTCGTCGACCCCTCAACAATTGGAAATTCCTCGCTGTACATTTCGTACTTGAGAATGACGGTGCCATTGCGCTTCGCAGCCCGCTCGGCCGCTTCCTTCGCAGCCGCTTCCTTTTCAGCCGCTTCCTTCTCGGCCGCTGCTTGCTCGGTCGCGGCTTTCTCGATGGTCTCTTGTTCAGAGGCTGCGTCGGGGGGGGGTGGCATCGGGGGGGGGTGGCGACATTGGCGTTGGTCATGCGCGGTGTGAGCTCGGTCTTGTCGAGACTTGGCATCTTTTGCATCTTGGGACTTGTCGACGACTTGGTTGGCGAGCCTACACAAGCAGGCTCGTGCCATGCTCTCGGTGTGCAGGACCGCGACGGTACTTTTGGGGGTGGAGCTTTTGGGGGTCCCAATCTGGGGCAGCGATACCGGTGGCTTGTCGTCTTTCTTGACCGGTGGGCTTTTCTTGGTCGCAGCTCTCACGGGCGACGCGCCCTTGGGCTTTTCGGGCTTGGTTGGCATCGCTCGCTCAGAGCTTCATGCAGCGTGAACAAAAATATCCTGCCCCGCCGTTTTCCTGTACCACATCGAAAGAACTATGAGTCCATTCATGCCGCTGACAGTACATACGCTTGAGAACAACACGCATGGAGCGCTTCGCCGTCCAGTCGACCGTCGAAACTCGTTGCGGAGTCGTTCTTCTCTACCGGGTACTCGTGAGGCCACACGAGTTATGTTTTGCCGGCCCCCGCTTTGCTCGTCCAGAAAACCTCATTGCCAGCAAGGACATACTAATTTTATCGCCTTGTTGCCGAGCACTGTCGACGCCGTCACAGTAACACACACCGAGCCGCTGCACTTTTGTCGCTCTCTGGAAAGGTCTTGCTTGACGTGCAAGATGCAACATCACCGACAGTCCCAACGTGAACCGCCCTGACTACTGTCTCGAGTCGAATGCATTCTCGCCGTTGCGGCGGCGCAATGTCTGCAAATGACTTGAACTTGAGACCAATTGACAAGGCTGTCGGCGGTGTACAATGTGGTCACGACGCTGGTGTGGCAAAAGGATAGTAATAAAATAATAGTGTTTCAGTAACTAGACGTGGATCAAAAAGGTCGTCTCTTGGATTGCCGAGAGCGAGCTGCGGCGGGTTTTCTTCAGGAGCGACACCATCTCGTCGACCGCGTCACCGCACGGATACAGCACATAGTGCTGCGTCATGAACACGAGGTCGTAAAATACAACCACGAGCCCCAATGCAAATTTCACCGGGTTGCCCGTGATCGCGCTCCAGTCGTCGGTCGTCGCGCTGTCCATCACTGTCTGTCCGATCGAGAGGAGGCCGCCAAGGACGTCGTAGAGCACGCCCCAGATCGAGTAGCCGTCCGTCGACTCGCGCGTGTAGTTGAGGTACACTTGAGGCGTGTACTTGATGAGCGTCACGCCGAGCTTGATGTAGCTGAGCAGGTACAAAAATTGAGCAGTGTAAAGTAGTCCGAGTGCGGGCACGCGACGACAAGGGCGTAAAAGGCGGCGCAAACGCAAATCGATGCCGACGTGAGCACCCAGCACGTCGTTGAGACGCCTTGATTTCCGCGGTCGTACACGGCGCACTGGTAGAGCGTAATGAGCGTCGCCGCGAGTGCGTGGAGCGCAAAAAAAACGTCGTTGATCTGCACGTTGTTGGGGTGGCCGCCGTGGAGCGCCTTGTAGTCGTCTTGGACGCTTGCGTTCCAGTAAAAACACGCATTGTAGATCGCGTACCCGACGAACCCCGGCACGTTGTACACTTGAAAGTCGATGGCCATGCCCACGACGCTCTGTCGGCGCCAATTGACGAAAATCTGCGGCCAAAACGTCAAGCTCCAGGACGCAAAGTACATCCAGCCCAGGACCGACGAGATGCGGTTGTACGGCGATGGCACGTTGGCGTTGGCGTCGAGCGCAAACCCGAGCCCGAGGCCAACGCAGAGGATGATGGCGAGGCCCATTGGCGCCCCGTACGGCGCCAGCGCCAGCAGCGTCCGCTTGAGGTTGGTCATCATGTGGAGCCGCAAGTTGGCAAGTGGCGTGGGTGGCAGAGGCCCAACCATGCGTCCAAGATTTGACTAAATGCCATTCGGCCATATGATTGGTCAGCTGTAAAATTAGAGCCGCCAATCAAACGCCCGAAAAGCGCGTTGTCGAAGATTCGAACACGGTTCAGAATTCCAAAAGGATGCGAGGCGACGTTGTCGCGTGTTCTGGAAGGTCTACCAAGACCAGCCGTCCATTGCTCGATCGAAGGTTGAGGCGCAGACGAGTGCTCTAGACAATGTGGGTACTTTGCACACCTTCATGCGGTGAAAATACCGACGTGTTTTGTTGGGTCGCGAAGAAGAGGTGGGAGGAGCTCCGAAGGGATGAGAAGTCGGTGCGGTGCCGCGTGATAGGAATAGATAGCACCATCTGGAAGCCGTTGGATTCCGCCGCCTCCCACAGCTTATTCCTCGTCGATATCGTGGCTGACGACAGTTTTTCCCTAAAAGAAAAATGAACAAATCCAAAGAAGGTTGTGTCCATGGTCCAAGGTCAAAATACCGCGTCTGCACCCACCAATTCGCACCCACTTGGACTTATGTAGCTGTTGCGTTCTCCTGGGCGACATCCTCGATTGCTACAGTAATTTACGCGGCGCAAAGTACCTTGATCAGAAAGGCCATGTTACGGCGACGGTCTGCATACCAGTGGGACGTGCATCGATTGTTGGAAGACCCACCTTGGGACTGTCGACACACTCATGACTCGTACAGTCGGTGAAATGTAGAGTGATATTTATAGCTTTTAGCTATCTTGTAGTAAGTGCAATATGCAACTTCCAACATCGATCCTGTGTCCCGCGGCAACCTCGTGGAGATGAATCGAATCGCTATCGAGTTCTCTATCCGGTACTATCTTGAGAGACCAAAGACACCCTATGATGGACCCAAGGACCCGAACCCTCGCAACACTCAACGCCACGTTTTTGATGGCGTTGAGATTTGATGGCGTTGAGATTTGATGGTGTTGAGATTGAGTGGACCAACCTTGCCAACTCAACGTAGATCGCGCTAGCTAACTTTGTAAAGGTATGATCTCTCTCTGAAATGCATCAAACCATCTAACCTCGAATTGTAGAGTACTAACGAAGCGGTCCCTTATTAGAGCCGTTGCAGGCGGAAACCATGAATAACGTCCCCCGTGACGCGTACCTCCTCAGCACAAAGCCGCCGGCAACCATAAGCAAGCTCCTCACTGCAGCCAAAGCCGAACCAATCTTGCTCTCGACCTCGGTCTTCTGTGCCGGGTCGAGCACCAAGCTATACGGCGAGAGTCTGCGGAAAGCGCTCACGGGTCTCCTTCTCGACATGAGTGCCGCGCGGTCGTTCTACACAACGGACGTCGGCCTCAAACTCTATTTGCACCCAACGTATAGCACGTACGTGGCCACGACAACGGCACCGCAGAGCCGAAGCGACTGGGAAAAATCCGTGCTCACACACGCCAGCAAGCCACAAGTGAGCTCGCTCGCCGACGTCTGTGCCAGCATGGCCACCTCCGACGCCATGTGCGAAGTAGGCGCCGTCGTCTCGTGGAAGCAACTGCGAGGCGTCTTTTACACGTTTGACGCGACCGAAGAGCCGGATGAAATGGCGCTCGTGCAGCAAAGGGCCGGGAGCTCGCGAGTCGCTTCCGACTGCCGTGCTTTCGCCTCGAGCGGACGTCGTACAGCGGGCCGTGGACGATGCAAGTCGAGTCGACGCCGTCACGAGCCTGTAGCGTCCAGTAACAGGACGCCGTGTTCCCAGTGCATCGACAAGTCGGTCGGACGCTGGTTCGTGTCGTTGGAGACCAGTTGACCCCTGGATGGACCCAAGAGGTATCAGTACAGAGCATTGTATAATGTTCGGCGCCAAATTCTCTCTCAGTAGGTCGCAGAATCGCCCGCTTGGGAGCGAACGACGATGTTGATACATTACGTTGAAAAATTGGCCTTGAAAACTCAGTCTCAAAACAGTGTATAAAGCACTGTAAGTGTTTTGTTGGGTGGTCAGTCCAACAGGGGGTGCACTGAGCAGTCAGCTCGCATGTGAGTGGTGGTGGATTGTTCCGATAGAAAGAATACGCAGTAACCTGATGACCTTGTAGAAGCTAGCATAGTGTGGCGAGGAGGTTGACGGACCTGCGATCGTGCAAATCCGCCTTCTGTACAAAGTTTGTCCAATCGAGCAAAGCTTAAAAATAGCTTCTTATTATCGATACGTTACTGCAGTGTGGAAGCACCCTCCCCGTGTTGCGTTGTATCTTGTGCGCAATCACTACTATGAAGGCATGGTGGTGTCAAGCTCGAAGTCGGAGAAAACAACGTCATAGCTTCCACCTCTCGATGGACGTCATTCGGTCATGCGCATTTTAAAAGACTCGAATCCAGTGCTCGCTTTCTTTCGGCGTGCTCGAATGGCACAACTGGACGATCCACGGAACACACGCGATGGGTCCGCGGGCGCAGATGAAGCAGTACGGCTACGAGGACCTCGAAGCCGGCGACGGCCAAGACGTCCCGCTTACCGAGCTCGGCGTTCTCATCAAGCCATGTACGTCCATCTACCTCGCCGCTACCTCATGGCCCTATTAGACTTTTGGCCCAAGGACAGCTGGGCACTGGTAGACGACGATCTACGCAGCACGGCTTGCTGCATACTCACGTGCATGTATGTAGCGCTTGCGGGCAATCGTATCCGTCTCGCTTGTCGGCGCGTCGCGCGCCTTTCGCGTCCTCGCGCCACTGTACCTCAAGCAGGCGACGAACGAGCTCATTGCGACCGCCGAGGTCCCGGTTGTCGCCATCGCGACCTACGTCGGGTTCCTCTTCCTCTCCAACAGCTCCAAGCAGCTGCAGACGTTTCTCTATTTGCGCGTGATGCAGAACGCGTACAAGGAGGTGTCGGCCAAGGTCTTTGCCCATCTGCATGCCATGTCGATGCATTTCCATTTGACCAAGAAGACGGGCAAGGTCATGCGGGTCCTGGACCGTGGCATTGACAGCACCGACTCGGTCGTGAACGTGCTCTTCTTCCGCCTCGTGCCCACGATCCTCGAGGTGATTGCGGTCGGTGGTATCTTCTTTTTTGCGTTCCACGAGCAGCTCCTGACGCTGGTCATTGGGGTATATAAATCAATTTTCTCTCAGAGAAAAGCTGGAGTTGCGTGCATGTAGGTGAGCGTAGTCGTCTACGTCACGGTGACGGTCCTGGGCACCCAGGTCCGCCTCCGGTTCAAGAAAGCCAGCAACAAGCACGACAATGACGCCAACGAAAAAGCCGTCGACAGTCTTACCAACTTTGAGACGGTCAAGTACTTTGCTCCGAGCAGTACGAGTGTGACCGGTAAGAGAGGATGAGATCGGAACCTTGAGTGGATGATGGTGGACTGTTACTAGGTACCTCGGCAGCATTGCGTCCTTCCAGCAGTCGGCGTTTCTGACGCGAGGCCTCACCAACTCGATCAACGTGGCGCAGCAGCTCATTCAGGGCATCTGCTTGCTGCTCTGCCTCCTCATCGCCGCCGCCAAGATCAAGCAAGGTACCACAACCATATAACCCTACCCTTTCTAAGGAATCTACCCCTAGGAACCCTCACGGTTGGCGATTTCGTGGCCGTTGGCAGCTACATCACCCAGATCTTCAAGCCCCTCGACTCACTCGGTGCGATCTACAATACAATCATGCAGTCGATTGTCGACATGTCCAACTTGGTCGAGATTCTCCTCGTGGAACCCGACATCCAGGACATGCCCGGTGCCAAGGTGATCTACCCCTCTTTTTTTCGAAGCTCAGTAGCAACCATGCTAGGCGCTGGTGCTGGCGCCACGCCAAAGCGCCGTGACGTTCGAGCACGTGGGGTTCTCGTACCCCGGGCAGCCATACGCCAACGGTCTCAAGGACATCAATCTGACGATTGCCCCGGGGCACACACTCGCGGTGGTGGGCGCGACGGGCGCTGGCAAGAGCACGCTGAGCCGATTGCTCTTCCGCTTTTACGACGTGACGTCCGGACGTATTCTGATCGACGGACAAGACGCGGCCAAGGTGACGCAGACGTCATTACGTCAAGCGATCGGTATCGTGCCCCAAGACGCCGTCATGTTCAACGACACCATCTTGTACAACGTACGATCGACACCACTCTGTCGATCGCTCTACGTATTCATAATCGACTAGATTCAATATGGCCGTCACGACGCAACCGAAGCCGACGTCCTCGAGGCAGCCAAGTCGGCCAAGCTCTACGACTTTGTCATGACGCTGCCCTTGGGCTTTCAGACCCGCGTACGTATCGGTCCTCTCGGGGGCAAAATGAGTTCTATTGCTTGAAAATTCCTAGGTCGGCGAGCGCGGACTCAAGCTCTCCGGTGGTGAGAAGCAGCGCGTCGCGATTGCGCGGGCGATTCTCAAGAACCCTCGCGTCATGATCCTCGACGAGGCAACGTCAGCACTCGACACGCGGACCGAGCGCAGCATTTACCAGTCGCTTGTCGAGATCTGCGCCAACCGAACGACGGTAGGTGCCAGATTTTGCAGGTTTTGGAGACGCTACTTTGTATAGCTCGTGATTGCGCACCGCCTCTCGACGATCCAGCACGCTGAGCAAATCGTCGTCCTCGACCGCGGTCAAGTGGTCGAAGTAGGCGCGCATGACGTGCTAATGCAACAACAAGGCGGTACGATAAAACACTGTCTTCTTCGTGGGCTAATGGTCGATGCTAGCGTATGCGTCAATGTGGCGCCATCAGTCAGCGCTGCCGGCCGCAGAGTCGACCGACAATGTTGTCGACGAGTAAGACCCCTTGTTTGCGAAGCTCCGCGCGTTCTTGACGCTTCAACGAGACAGGCTTCGGTAACAAACCAGTCTCGAGCAAACACGCATGATGTATCATTCGAGCAGCGTACGACACGCGGTTTGTGATGGCACGATGCCACTTCACGATGAGGCGCATGCGTAATACACAGCAGCAGGGCTCTATGTCAGGATCCTCTTGTTGCTCTCGACCAGTGGGCGCGTCAAGCAGCGGCAACACGAAACGATGACCGACCCAGACGTTCTGTCCCCGCGCGCGCAAGTGAAGTATGGGGAGACGAATGACCTTGGTGGTGCGCAGGTTGAAACATGTAGCTGCATTGGGCATGGAGCTTGAGCTGCTTGGATCGTAATGCTCCAGCGGTAATCGTTTGCTATGACGGGCTCTGCGGGTCGGGCAGCGAACTAACTGGCGCACGTACTTGGCCTCACATAACCACAGTATCCGATTTTTGCACAAGGCCTCGTTTGTTTCACAAGATGCCGATGGCCGTCAAGTGGGTCGCGGCACTCGCTTGTACATTTTAGAGATCTATTGAACATTATTGGCTGGTAGAGGTGCATTTTTGTCGAGTCGACCGATCAAGTGGCTGCCGAGTAATTCCTTTGTTTGCGCTCGCCAGCGGAGGATAGTGCTGGAACGGTCGCGGCGACTTCTTGTTGAATGAGACGTTGTGTATCGAGGAAGTTCTACATACTACTAGCACCAGTGTATATACCGAAGTTGCTAAAGCAGTGTCAGGGATCGAGGCAGCAACGACATACATTATTGCATGGCTGACACTGAAAAAGGGGTGTACGCATGGACCCTCTCGTCGATCTCGGACCGTGACTAGTAGCGGTGAAGTAGAGCAACGATGCCAACGCTGCCTCCTTATGGCAGACAAGCTCGTCTGCGGTTGTTAGACGACTTGATCTCGACTTGATCACGTGAGGTAGCATCGAGACGGCCCTTTGTCTCCTCGGAGTTTATACCTGTCACTCCTGGCTATCCAAAGGGCGACATTGATTGTTAGGGTTATCTATAACCCTTCGCCATGCTAGTACCGAGCAAGATTGCTTTTGCGTGCGTCGCCGCGTCACGCACAAAACAACCCAACGCTCGTTTGCACGCATCCGGATTCGATAACCGGTTGCGTGTCACGACAACCCACAACCCGTCACTTCAAACAAACCTGCGAACGCGCCACCATGTTTTCATGGCACAGCGACGTTGCGTGCAGCTCGGTCGACGCGCTATCGGCTGGCGTGCTGTCTCGACACGCGCCAGTGCTCGACGCACCTCGTCATTGCGACTCGTCGCGATGACGGCTGCTGCAGCGGGCTCAATCTCGGCGGCCCTCGGGCTCTTCATGCCTGTAGATCCCAATCCGAATGCACGAGCGCCTCACGCGCCATCGATAGGAGTCGTCTCAACTGACATCAGCCGCGGCCAACGGCGACGTGGTCACGGTTTCTACGCTCTTGGCGCGCGGGGTGTCGCCGAACGCCACCCATGGCGTACGTCCCTCTCGTCAACGCCAATATGCACCTAGCGTTTTGGATCTGTAGCGAGGACCACTGCGTGCTGCGGTTGAATGCGGCAACGAAGACTGCGTGCGAGTGCTCTTGCATGCGGGGGCCGACCCGCGCTTGACCACTGTCGGAATCGGCGCCGTATCCCGCAGCGGCACTCAGCACATTCTAGGATGGGATTCCCATTACGATGCAAGCGATGCTGATGGATCACGTCCCAATTGTGGCGCGGCTCGTGGCCGCCGACCCAAGCGTGATGACGCAGGCGAGCGAGGTACGTGACCATATGCCGTCAACTCCGTCGCTCGCATCGGCAACGCAGCACGGCGATATGACGCCATTCGAGCTCGCGGTGCATCAGGACCGTCCCGACCTCGTCTCGCTCTTTCTTGGCGCCGGCGCCGATGCCAACATGAGCATTCAAGTAGGTTGCTCCCTTGTGCGAGTTGGCAGCAACACGCCATTCCTATAGAACTCTGTACCGATTCTGGTGTACGCGGCCTTCCGAGGCGTGCAGCCCATCGTCCTTGCACTGCTCGTCGACGCCGGCGCCGACGTCGATGCCGTCGCGTTTCCCGTCATCTACAGTACACTGCTGTCGGTGGCGCTTATCGCGTCGGTTGTAGAGTGGTCACTCGGCGCTCTATTGCGCCGCCAAGTACAACCACGAAGCGCTCGTCGACCTGCTACTCGATGCAAACGCCACTGTCGACATGCCCTCTTGTGTACGCTGCTGTCGATGACAAGGTGGCCCGCCTACGGTTTCCGTAGGATGGCGAAACACCGCTGGCGGTCGCTGCCTTGCACGGCCACGTGGGCGTCGTCACCCGCCTCCTCGCGGCGTCGGCCAATGTGAACCACGGCTGCACCGTGCGAGACCATAGTGTGCATATGCAACCAGACGCATACTGGCAGCTACGTAGGCTGGCATGTCGCCTCTCTACAACGCTGCGCTCCACCGACATCCCAACGTGGTTGCCACCTTGCTCGACGCCGGTGCGGACATCCACCAGCGCACCCAGGTACTACTACATCGTGTCATCGTTTCTGGATCGAGTCGAACGTCGATGGGACGCAGGCGGGTGAGTCGGTGCTGTCCGCTGCTGTGGCCTGTGGGCACGCGGACGTCCTCGCACTCGTCCAGAACGCCTTGCAACGTTAGCCGCTTCGGTTGCGCCTTTGCCACACTGCAAAGTATAGCACACCAAAACCGTTTGTTCGATTTCACTGCATCCTGCATGGCTTGATGGACGCAAAATATCAAGTTATCAACGTGCTACTGTTGGATCGACGTCGGCGCGTGGCGCTTCGTCCAGAGCCGCGGGAGGTCCACCGAGAGGCTGAGAAGCACGGGCAAGAGCACCATGCCGTGCAGGATGCCGCAGAGCACGATCGTGAGGTACATGCGAAAGTAGACTTTTGAAAGATGCGCGAGTCGGCCAGCGTGAGCGCGCTCAGGCCCACAATCTTGGTGATCGTGATGCCAAAGATGACGGACGCCATCACATGCCGCAGACCTTCCTTCATGCGCGCATTGCCGCTCGTCGCTTTGCCGAAATGGAACGACCGCGCGAGGTGCGAGCAAAACTCGACCGAGATACCACCAGCGATAATGAGGTTCACAAGACTGAGGCCGTTCAAGAGGATCCCAATCGGCTCCATGAGACCGGCGACGCAGACGCAGAGGTTGGCGATCGTTAGCGTCACAAGGAACGGCGTCCAGAACGCACCAAAGTAGACCACGTGCAGCACAAAGATCGCAACCAAAACGAGGCCGACAAGGAGGAGCGTGTCGTCGACAATCGTGAGGTACTGGTCGAAAAAGCAAAAGAAAATCGAGTAGACCCACACGTGGACGCCCGACTTTTCGCTCATAAACTGCGCCGCGTGCCGCGCTTGCTTGTAGCTCGCAATGTAGTCGCCTTGCGTCGGGTTGGCCGTCGAAATCGCCATGTACGACGCCGCCGTCACCGCCTTGCCCGCATTTGGGTTCGACAGCGGCAGGCCCGCCGACGTCGCACTCAGCACCGGAATCGGGTGCTCGTCAATGCTAAACTGGCCGCGGTAGATCGACCCGCCGCCGTGCGAGCAGAGCGGCCCGGCGTTGGCCGACGCAAAGATACGAAAAAGCGACATGAAGCTCGATGCAGGAACCGGCGGTGCCGTCGACGTGAGCGGAAAACACGGGTCGGCCGCGTCGCGCGCCGCCATGTACGTGGCATCCGACGCGTTGAGCGGGAGGTAGTTGCCCGACTGCTTGTCGACGCGACAGCACGCCGACTGCGCGCCGACAAACGGCCAAAAGTCGTCCATCCACGAATGCACGACGCCGGGGCTCGTGTGCGACAGGTCCGAGACGCCCGAATTGCCGAGCGCCGAGACGACGTTGGGCACGGAAAACGGGTGGCAAAACTCTTTGGACGTGCAAAAGGCCGGTACCGTCGACATGTTGGCGTAATCAAAGACCGGGTTGCCCTTGTAGCCGCTCTCGACAATGTAAAAGATCGGCGGCCCGGTTTCCAGCGCCACGTTGATCGTGTCGAAATACGTGATGAGGTACGATTGCGACGGCATCGCATCCGCATTGTCCAAGCCTTGTTCGAGCGACTCGACCGAGTAGATCGAGAGACCGGTGGCCGTCAAAAAGAGACTCAGAACGACCGCCTTGACCAAGGGTTTGGCCAAGAAATCCGCGTACGCACCGACGACGCGTTGAATCCACGGCACTTTGACAATCTGGAGGTCGCCAATGTCGATAATGCGTTCGGCGAGGTCCAGGACCGGTGCGAGTTGGGCGAGCTCGCGCCGCTTGTCGAGCACGACCAGCGACAGAAAGAGCGTCATTTGAAACACAAAGTTGATGGCGACCGCGGCCGCCGAGAAGGCGGCAAACCACAAAACCGCCGGCATCGGGCTAATGCAGCCAAAGACAAACGCAATCGCTTCAATGATCGACGCCATCGCAATGCTCGGGCCAATGGACGCCAGCGCATTGGCAATGATGTCGTCGGCGACGAGCGGCTGCCCGTGGTGCGTCGCGTCGTCTTGCACCCGCCGGATCTCGTGCAGCATCAAAAAGATATTGTCGACGCCAATCGCGAGCGTCAGAAAGGGCACGACTTCCATAATGACAATCTGGACCGCGGCGCCGGCCCACGAAAAGAGCCCGATCGTCGAGACGACCGCGAGCAAGATGAGCAAGATGCCGCAAAACCCGAGCGTGAGCTTGGCCTCGCGCCAGCTCTGGCGCAGCGCCGACATCTTCCAGCGGTTGATGCCAAGCGTCACGTAGAGGATCATGAGGCAGTAGCTAAGCAGCGCGGGCGTCACGTCGCTCTTGCTTGCGACGGCAATTTCATCGGCAATCGACGTCTCGGCCGAGAACGCCACTTCAAACACCGTGTTGGTCGACGCGAGGGTCTTGAGGAGATCAATGTAGCCGCGTTCCCACGCCACCGCCGGCGCGTTCTGCGCATCGTCATAGTAGTTGTAGGCGAGGATCGTCGAGAGCAGCGTGGTCGAGTTGATGTACAGGTTGACATTGCTGGTCGCGTTGGGCGGCGTGCCACCGAGCACCGTCGTGTACATGTCCATGGGCGCACCGTACGCCGAGAGACATGGACAGTCTACCGTTTTAAACAATCAAAACAAAATCAAGAGGAGAAGCGGAAGTGACGCACCGCGCATGCTGGCGGGCAGGACGACGTTTTTGGCCGCGAGCTTTTGGCACGACGCCACGTCAGCGTACGACGGCGAGAAGAGGCAGTTTTGAAAGTGGTCCAAGGCCATCCCGTTCGACGCATAAATCTCAAAGTTGGCCAAGTCGTTCTGAAAGTACTGTGTGATCGCGTTGATCGTGCAACCCGTGCCGGTCGCGCGCCAGCAAATGTCTTCGACGCCAATCTCTATACCACAAGTCAATCTATCAATCTTTCAACGAAAAGGAGGTACGTACGCCGGCCATTAAACGGCACTTGGAGCTGCTTGATCTGGTCTTGGATCTGCAGCGCGGCACGGAGAACGTCCACGCGGCCAATCGGCCCGCCGTCTTTCGGCGTCAAAATGACTTGCTCCGTGCGGTAAAACGGCATAAAGAGCTGACCAAAGCGATCGCGCTCTTTGTACGCACGACTCGACTCGGCCACCCAGAGCTTGATCGGGTCGGTCTGGATCACCGTCTTGTGAAGCCCAGCACTGCAAAACGCAGCCAGCGCAAGCACCACCGTGAGCACGTGGTACGGGCGGCGGCACACAAAGAGTGCCCACTGGCGCATGAGATGCGTGGCCAGCGTATTGACGCGACTGGTGTTGACCGGCGCCGCTGTCGCACTTGGATCGTCTTCCTTCTCCTCCAGAAGCGCCAGTCGGTGGAGATACCAGCCTCCACTGAGCACCAGTACGATCTACGATACCGAGTGAGCCCGGCGATAAAAAGAGCTGCCAAGTGTCTCACAAGGATTGCAATCACGACGAGGAGCGCCGTGTTGAGGCTCGAGTAGTCGCTCGGTCTGATGTTGTCCTCCATGCTGGCCCAGAGCGGCGCCCAAATCGACGACGTGCCGTTGCCTGCCGAGTTGTTGTTGTTGTTGCCCGTTGTCGTTGCGCCAAGGCAACCTAGTCGAGATGGGTAAGCGGGTTCAGAGACCGACTCGAATCTCCTACTGGCTTTGTATGGAAGCGCAGGGCTCGGCGCGTCGCAGACCGAGCCGCACACACCGACACACGTCGGAAGTACTTGGTCGAGCGGCAAGATACAAGAGGCGTTCGCAACGCTTGCATTTGATGTTGCGCGCGTGCACGGACAGACGTCCGCCTACGAAAAAAAGCAATATATGAACAATCCAGGCCATCGCACGGGATCGATCCACGGACCGGTGGCAGCGTAGACGCAGCGACAAAGTTGACTTGGTTGGGCGACCCAATGCCGTTGAGTTGGTACTGGCCCATGCGATTGAGGAGGCCGAGCCCCGACGAGCAGCCGGCTTGGGGCTGGCAAAGTACTTTGGCGATGAGGTCGGCCTTGCTGTAGTCGTAGACGTCGCGCGCCCAGTTGTCGCCGACATAGTACGTGACCTCTTCGATCGCCGGGTACGACGTCGTCGGGTCGGTCGCCGACGGGTAGTAGTGGACTTGGTCGACGTTGATGAAGAGCGCTTGGTTCGGGTGGCACGCATAACTGCACCAGACGTTCTGGAGCACGCGCTTGGAGGTTTCGCAGAGCCCGCTGATCATTCGGTACTGCGTCTGCATGACCACATACTGGTCTTCCGTGCAGCAGAGCTACGAGGCGTGTGAGTATTGTACGATGCCGCATCGTCATGTGTTTGTACATAGTCTTGCTGGCCGCTGCGGATCTGGTCTTGGTAAAACAGCGGACAGTCGAGCTGGAACGCGGCTTGGTTCGTCGCGTTCCACGCTGAAAACTTGTTTTTGAGCCCGCTCTTGGCGTATGCGTCCTACGGGGCAGACAATGAGCCGCCACCTGCACACAGCCTGGCGTTGTACGATGGCCGTCGTGGGCGTGTAGAGCGCAGGCCGCGTCGCACTCGCGCTCAAGCCAGGGATCGAGGCGACGCCCATCATCGAGCACGTGCCAGGGCCACGCGTGAAGGCCGGGAGGCCGAGCGTTGTCGCGACCGGGTTGGTCTGTGGGTTGTCCAAGCACGTGTTGGCGTTCGAGTACTTGCACTTGGAGAGGTTCGTCGGTAGCGTCGCCGTCGGTACCTGCGCCGACGCAGGTGCAGCGAGGACGGTGGCCAGCAGCAGGAGCGCGCCTAAGCTTGCTACCATGGTCTCGCCAGTGTCAATGTGACAAGAAACTGGTCGGTGTAGTTATCCGGATCCGGATGCACAACGGGCACATACAAACTTGCAATGTGATCGTAGAGACGGCTCGGTTTACCGCCGGCTAGGCAGGAACGTAAACGCTGGTCGAGTGGCTTCAGGGCGCGGCGACCGAAGCTCCGAGTCTGTAGCTCGGACACAAGCGATCGAAGGACTCGGTACATCGTCTCAGTGTGAGGCTCGCGATATACCGGTACAGAACTGAACTTACACTTGAAATGGTGGTAGGATACCGTACTACATGTACATTTGATTGTACGGTGGTGAAGATGGCGACGCGCAAGCTAGTAAATGTCGAGAGAAGATATGGAAGCGGTTTGGTCGACCGAACTTGGAGTACGATGACGATGGAGTGTGGCAACATGCACAGGTATAACAACGACGTTGATGACGCGACCGAAAATGTAGCTCGGCTGAGGCAACGAGCGAGAGTCGAGGTCGCTGGGTCGATTGCTTGAAAGAGACGTTAGCGGTCAGTGCAAGGCGACAGCGCGGTGCAATTATGCCTGTCTCGCCGCCACACTTGCGCCAGAATCCCCTGCTCCGCTAGTCCAATGAGTATGGATTGACCTCGCTGTCTGCTGCCGCCGGCTTGGCCCACCAAGCTTTTTCAGCCATTGGATCGTACCGAAAGAGGTGGAGGTTATAATCACGGGAGATTTTAGCCACTGAAATTCTAGTCGACTGCGCGGGGCTGTGCTGAAACATGTGTTGCAACACCTGTTTTATCCCAGACAACAAGGGTCTCTTTTCTATTCAATGTCAATACTAAACTACATATATGAATACTTTGGGGTGCAATGCAAGCGCAGTTTACGTGAAGCTCCGGACTCGCTGGGGTCTGCGCGCTGCACGTGTACGTCTTGGTGTGTAAAGGGATGCGATTATCTGGGTTACGAGGACTGCCTGCCGAAATCGTGTCCGCTGATTGGCCGACTGGACCGACTGCGAGTGTCTTGCGGGAAACCGGAGCGGACTTGGGTGCGCGGACCTTGCTGGTTGGCCAGATCGTGACCTTGTGCCCATGCCGTGTGCCTGTGCCCCGGAGTGCCGGAGTTCCTGCCCGCGAGGCGTCCTCCTGCGTCGTCACCGTGTGCTTCGTGTCCCGGGGCACTAGGGAGCCTGGACCCTTGCCGTCCTCTGGCGAGATTGCGTTCCTTGCTCCGTTTCGGGACTCTCAGGACATTATTACCCACGGCGGTCGTTGGGGGCCGTCGGAGAAGTGGGAGTTGCCCGGGCTCGGACAAGGCACGGAGGAGGAGGGGTCATTCTTTCTTCGCAGCGTCGTTGTGCGCTGCCGTTGCTTCCGGGGCTCAAACTCGTCGCGGCCTGCCGTGCAAGAAAAGTCCGACATGTGCCCAAGCCATGGCAAGTGGCGCAACCCCGAGCTCTGACCGTAATGGCCCACAGCACCGCCCGCATGGCAGTGCCGCCGTCCTCTTGCACGACCTTCTTGTACATGGACTCGCGGTACGGTTTCTCACCGATGTACTCGGTGAAAAACGCGTCGACGAGCGTATCCCAGTTCTTCTCGGTCATCGTCGCTGGGACAAACTTCTTGCTGTTCATGAGGTGGAACGCCCACATACGCTCCTTCGCGCCGAGCCCGTCGATGAACATCGCCACGCGCAGGGCTACGGAGCCGTCACCAAAGAGGAGGGCCTTCCCTTCGACGTTCTGGACGTGCACGGCAGGAGCGAGCTCGTCGACTTCGTTGTGTACAAACGTCGGCACCTTCGAGAGGCGAAAGGCTGCAAGGCTGAACTTGGTGCTTGTCGGGCTAGTGATCACTCGGACGGGCGGAGGATTCTCGAATCGCTCTATGAGTACTTTAAGTATTTCGTTCATCGCCCGCAACGCGACCGTCAACTCATGGTCAGCCGTCTCGGGTGGCGTCGGTGGCGCGGCTTCCTTGGGCGCGGGCATCGGCTGCGGCGTCGGCGGCTCGGGAACTGACAGCGGCGTCGGCGGTTCGGTCTTGCGCTCGTGCTCCTTCAGTTGCATCCGTTCGAGCATGCGCAGGGCTTCGGCTGCGCACATCCACGTCTTGTACTGGTCGGCCGTCGTCATCATCGCCACGGTCGCTGGACTCGGTACAAACGCCTCAATGTCGTCGTCTTGTGGGCCCTTCAGTAGCCCGGCGTCCGTCCGCGCCTTCCGTGCGATGAACGCCGTCGCGCGGCAGTCGAACTCGCTGAAAGCGTTCTCGGCCGTTCTGCTCGGGAACGCTGCTTGCCAAGCCTTTCCCGCGATCGCCATGAGCATGGTCGCACACTTGTTCCGGTGGGGGCTGTTGGTGTACACGACCGGGCCGCTGGCTTTCTGGGCCATCGGGAAGCCCTGCGCGTGGGCGAGGGCCTTTTGCGCGATTGCCCAGTGGTCCGGCTCTGCGACAATGGTCCACATCTTGGCCAGCGCTCGCTTCCCCGGCTCGGCCGCGCACTCCGTCTGGGTGAGGGCTGCGTAGGCCGCCACGGCCGTCTCGGGTTCGTTCATGTTGCTCGGGGTACGAGCGGTCTTCGCACCCTGCTTCTCCACTACTCTCGTGAAGCTCCGGACTCGCTAGGGTTCGCGCGCTGCACGTGTGCGCCTTGATGTGTAAAGGGATGTGATTATCTGAGTTACTAGGACTGCCTAACGAGATCGTGTCCGCTGATTGGTCGACTGGACCGACTGCGAGTGTCTTGCGGGAAACCGGAGCGGACTCGGGTGCGCGGACCTGTTGGCCGGATCGTGACCGTGTGCCTGTGCCCCGGGGTGCCGGAGTTCCTGCATGCAAGGCGCCCTTCTGCGTCGTCACCGTGTGCTTCGTGTCCCGGGGCACTAGGGAGCCTGGACCCTTGCCGTCCTCCGGCAAGATTGCGTTCCTTGATCCGTTTCTGGACTCTCACCGTCACAGTCATAGTTTTCACTCTAAAGCACAATGGTCCCACTTCTTAACGCGAAGCGGTGCATTTTCATTTATATAATCACTCCAAAGGGGCGAATTGGCCCACTATTCACGTTTTATTATCACTTTCCCCGCGCGAGCCAATCAACAATTACACTTTGAGAATTACGGTAAGCAAAGTGTCGTCCAGTTTTGTGTGTTTGTGGCACAAAAGGCGATCTAGTCGTGCGTCTACATGGCATGAGCGATCCTTTGCACGGTGTTTAATGGTTTGATACCGTCGCACTCTCGGTCTATCTCGGTTGGGCAAACACAGGAGCCGTACACCGATGACGTGTTGATGTCCGCACCAACCACATACGTACCGGTATGTACCCCCCATTGTGCGTTTAACGTAGTTAACTATTCCAATGCAATCTTAAAATCAATCGACTAACGTCAGAGCATCAACAATGGTACGTTGGTGTACTAGACTCCAATTCATGTCTGAGGTCAAGTTCAATATACTAAAGTTGGAGCATCAACAATGAAATCTTGCCTAAGGCCTCGTTTCGTCAGCGGTATAACAAAACCATGATTCATGGTCTTCAGTAAGATTTCGATCGCATGCATTGCGTCCTTTTATGTCAAACATTTCGGTGCGTGTTCATTGTAAACTCTGGGTCCGATCGTTGGATTGGATCCAGACAGTTTCAGATTCGAATGTCGGTTTCAACACGAGGGTAGGGTCCACAAGATATACCACGACGCACGGTGTCATTTTAATTAAAAACAGCAAACTATGACAAAACAAACAGCGTCGCGGTCCTTTAGAGGGCATGGAACACGTCGTAGTTGTGCGGCGATGACGCATCGGTCGAGAGCTTGGTGCGCTTCTTGATCTTGGCCAGCTGTCGCTTCTCCTCTCGCTCCTGCTCGACGCGGCGGCGGAGCGCATCGACTTGGGCGCGGCGCTGGGCGGCTTCCTCGCGTCGCTTGGTCTCGGCGGCCCAGCGCATCGCGAGCGCGATCTCGTACTCGCGCACGCGCGCTTCCTTTTTCATTTCACGCTTTTGTCGGTCGACGTCTTCGGTCTTTGTGAGTTTCTTGAGTTTCTTGGCCACTAGTACATCGAGGCCACATAAGACAATAGGTTCCAACAAAATCGTCCACACGTACAATGGTTGTGCTGTGGGTCGTGCAAAAGGTCGTTGTGGTGGGGATGGTGCGGGAGGAAGAAGGCGTGTCCGAGGTGGTTCTGCGATGAAAACGAAAGCATATTGGACGGCGACGACACAAGGTGCGGCGACCGCAGTAGCGAGTCTTGCATCGCCGAGACGGGCAGCGGCGCAAACATCGTCGTCGACGACGACGGCTTCTTGCGCTTGGTCGATCGCTCCTCCTGCTGCTTGATGCGGGCCTCAACGGCGGCGCGCCGGCGCTCTTCAAAGACAGCCCGCCGCGCAGCCGCCGCTTGCTCTCGAAAGTTGGGCATTGCATTCGAGGCTTGGGTTGGTCGACTCACCCTAATGCAGCATAGTAAACGTCAAGGCTCATGCTGGAGGTAGGGCCTTGCGTACGGGCGAGACGCAGTGAAGGCGGCCCCCCGGTTGTGAAACTCGGCCGCTTGGGCGAGGTGGAGAATGTCGGGCGCCTGTCGCGTCGGCCGTGCTTGTGTGTTCATGCTGCTTCCGACCGGGACGGTGGACCCGCGCGTCGATATTGAAATCTAATGCCATAGCGCTGCGCGCCTGCAGCTCATAGACACGCGGGCGCGTGGGGTGCTTGGTGCAAACGAGCATTTCTCTCGCACACGCTTGTTCGAGTTGGGTCATAAGCTTCTTGGGTTGCATTACACATAAAAGTCAAGCCAAGCGCGGGCGTGACGCATCGCAACGGCGCGATCAACCGCACTTTCAATGTGTTTGAAGGCTCCAACGACGTCGCGCCGTGGGTGGGAGGCCAATGCGATGTGCTCGAACCCTCCTTTTTACATGGTCGACGGCTCGACAAATCCGGTAGCTTGCGATTTTCATTGCGTCCGAGAATTGCACCGAGGTAGAAAGGACGTAGGACGTTCTTTAACTGGGGGGTCGAAGTAGCTCCGTGAACAGTACTTGGCGTCGAGCCGACCGTCGAGACGTCGTCGCACCGGTCCTACCGGTAGTACGCGCGAACGGTAAAGCCTGGGACTAGGGAATTGTATATCGTGTGCTAAAGGAGAGAGTGGCCACGACCAGCCGCGGCTACTTGGACGAGATGCTCGTCGTCGCGTGCAACCAGAAACACGCTCTCGCCAAGAAGTCGAGCCGTTTTCGCTCGTCGGCACAACCTTCAACTAAGGCTATGGCCAACTACCTCTTGTCGACGTCGATGCATTCAACCGCGCAGGCTGCACAAACAAGCCGATGTCATTGCCATCGGTCCATGCACCAGGTCGGAGTTTGCCCTTTCGTATCCGGACGTGGCTCCAAGAGCCGGATAATTCGGAAACAAGCAAAAACTGATCGTGTCTTTGTGCCCGCGGAAAACCGCGCCGTATGCAACAGCGTTCGCGCGACATGCTCGTCGTCAAGGATTTGCTTGCCGGTCTACTGCAGCTGAGTCCTCTGGAAGCGCATTGAAGCTTCTGTACGTCTCGAGAACTGATGCGTTGCTGTCCGCTCGCGTCGGAACTGGCGGCGACACGTGCCTCTTGAGGGCTAGAAAGAAGGACAAATGGACCTCGCCTGTGACTGAGAAGGTATCCTTCGCTTGGTGGCGTGGCGATGGCCGTTGCGCGAGGAGGCACGAGGTGTCGCATGGCAATTGCTGTCTGTCTTCAAAGGTCTGCGGGCGCGATTATGTCCCAGTGCAAGCACGCTTACGCTATAGTTCAACCTCGTGTAGCAAAAGGTTGTTTCTTGCCGTCGCTTGCAGTGTACCGTGCGACGACCGGCGAAAAGTCGGTTTTTGCTTGAGCGCGTTCATGACGTGGCGCCGTGTGCGGTTGCAAATTCGGCACGTATCTGGTTGGACTCCGTCGGTGATGGTTCCTGAATACGCGGAGGGATCGTAGGTGGTGGCGAAGAAGGTCTCTATTGCAGCGTCATGGGTAGCCTCTACGACGCCTCAAGGCACCTCGTCTCGAACACCTAGCGGTCTCCATCACCCGTTGCCACCAACAAGGTCAATCCCATCTACGTCCCATTCTTCGAGCTATAGCTGTAGAAGCGGAGACGTCGCCTCTGCTGGCTTTTTCCTTTGTCGGTGATGTACAAAGGCGCTTTCTGTGATTCTACGTCACTCTGACCTCACACGGGCCATTTCACCTACTGTATTGATACTCGCTCGAGAGGCAAATGACGTCGCGTGCTCGCCGCAGCCTCGCGATCCTCGCTCGAGTGTTCGAGTTCCTTGCCCACGAGGCCCTTTGCGTCGTCGCGATCTCGCTCGTGCTGCTTGTCCAGCTCGTCTCTCGCGTCCTCAACCACCTCCGCGTTCGTCTCGCTCGTCGTTGGCCCAACGTCGTCGCTGCCACTATGACCAGGCGTGATGCGCGTGGTTCTACGAACGCCAGTGCAGGTGGGTCCTCGCTTCAAGTGCGAGATTGCACAATAGTTAGCACCTTTTCTAATGAGGCACCTCAAGACGCATCGCGAGAGCTTGCTTCGACGACCGAATGGAACCAACGAACGATGCCCAACGCACACTTCCCGCTCTCCGTGCGTGGATCGACGACGACGACGACGGAGCTCATCGCAACCATGGAGGCGCTGCAGACGCGTCTTGTCGCGTTGCAGAAGGGGCAGCCGTCCGCCACGGGGCCGTGCGAGTGCAATGTGCTACTCCGCGACGCGGTTGAAAACCATAGCACTTTGAGAAGCCCCGCGGTACTCTACGTGCGCATCCGCGAGCTGGCGCGCCACATTGAAGCCCTCGAGTCGGAGCGTCGCCGGCTTAACTACCAATAAGAATATTGCACATGCTTTGCAAAAAGGCTATAGTGTCTGTCTATGTCGTCCCCAAGCTTACTTTGTCTTGCAAAGGAACGCCCACGTTGCGAAGGCGAGGCGACCCAGGTTTCGGGCTGAGCTACCCTACCCCTTGTCCCTCGTCCCTCGGTGCAACACTGTCTGTTCTTCACACACATCAATGCATGTACATGTAAATGTGCCTTAGACGTGAATGAGCGCACGGCGCTCCTGGAGCGTGCAGTCGTCGGACGCGCCAGTGTCCATCGGCGGCTGCTGCCAGTAGAGAGCAAAGTGCTGGAGAAGCAAGACCGCGCTGAACGCGATCGTCATGCACGCGATCGCGAGCAGCCACGGGTTGGCCGCCGCGGCGCTCGAGGCCAGCAGCGTTGCGAGCGTCGCGCCGCCGTAGACGCTGTCGTACACGACACCGTAGACCGAGAAGCCGTGCGTCGACTTGCGCTCGTACTGCAGCTCGATCTGTGGCGCGTACTTGATCGCGGTCAGAAGCACGTGCAGATAGCACGTGAGCGCCACAAAGCTAGGCCATGTGAACGCCGAGACATTAAGAAGCAGGCCGAGGCCAAGGAAAACGAGCGTGAGCACGAGGGCGGCGCAGACTAGGACTTGGCAGCTCGTCGAGACGACTTGAGCGCCGCGCTTGAAGATGGTGCATTGGTACAATAGCAGCATCGACAACACGAGCGCGTGGAGGTTGGCGTAGACCGACATGGGCGACAGAAGCGGGTTGGCGTGCGCGTTGGCCGTCCACGAGAACCCGCAGTTGAAGAGCGCGTAGGCGCCAAACCCAAAGACGGCGTAGACCTGCGCGTCCAGCGAGAGACCGACGACGCTACGGCGCTGCCAGTTGAGGCACAGCTGCGGGTAGAAACGCAGCGCACCGGCGAGCGTCGCGGTCCAGCCCGCGATCGCCGGCGCCGGCGCGGCTTCGTCGCAGCCAAGCAGGAAGCCAAAGAGGAGTATCGCGACGAGCCCGACAGCACCTGCGTACGGCTGCAGGAGCGCGCAGGCCGGGCTCATGGCGTCGTGGCGGCGGTACACGTCAACCGACACCATTGCGGGTCGTTTTAGAAATGGAATGCACGGAAGCACTTGGGAAGGAGTAGTATCTTGAGGCTGGTTTGTTCTCTGCTCATCTCTGCAGGTTGCAACTTCAAGACCGCGACCTCTCGCGTCTGTACCGGCGCCAGGGCCTCGGCCTATGCAATCCAGCGGCGTTGATGAACGACCATCCACATGAGGCCACGGTGGCGACAACAGCGCCTCGCCACGCACTGCGAAGAGCCCGTGGCTTCTTCAACAATGCCAGCTTCAAGGTCGCTACGACCAAGGAACGCGCTCGCCGCTCCCCACTCGACAACTAACTCGAATCCATCATTGTCCGTCATTGCACTCCCGGCGCGCTCTCCCGTGGTCCATCCTAGCTCCGCATCCTGCCACGTCAGCCTCGTGCTATTTTCGGCACATGCCAGCGTAAAAGGGTCTTTCAAGCCAACCACAAGACCATTGCATCTGCATCGAAGCGACTTTCAATGAATCATCATACGTATAGAGCTACGACAGATACACGTGTCGGCCCTCGCCGACGCCCCTCGTCGCGAGCAACACGACAGGAGAGCCGATGGAAAATGAGCATCGCGTTCCGCGTGGCTAGTCCGGATGGTATCCGGTACATTCGGCATGTGGTGCCGAAAACAATAGAAAGGGTGCCCCGGGGTCTCATGCCAGCCCGCACCAATCACCCGAGTTTGCACTTTCTACCAGGATGGTGAGCGAGTACAAGATCCGCAGCGTGCTCCTACGCGTGCTGAAGGGCCTCGATGAGACCTTGGTCGACTACATGGCGAGCATGCTCATGGACTTTGACGGGAGCGAGCCGCTCTCCGAGACGATCGCGCCGTTCCTTGTCTCGTCGGGCTTTGCGGCCGACGACGACGTGGCCTTGAAGCACTGCGCGACGCTGCAGGCCGCGCTCGAGGCTGAGGGCCTCGTCGCCAAGGTGGCTACCAACGAAGCCGAGTTCAAGAAGCTCGAGAACGTGCAGTCGATCGACGAGATGTCCCGCGCGAACGACGCCGAAATGAACACGATCATGGAGCGCATGTGGGGCTTTGAGAGCATCCGCAAGACGAAGAACGAAAACATGGAGGCGTGTGCCAACGCGCAGTCGCAGCGCCAGATCCGCAAGGAGGCCAAGAAGGAGCTGCTCGAGGAAGAGCGCGAGCGCATGGAAGCCGACGACGATCTCGCGTGGGAAGACATTCGCGTGCTGCCCGACATGTCGACCGACAATGGCGAGCGCGTATGTCCTCATATCTTCCTATATGTTCGAGTGTGCTCATATACTGCGAGTAGGACATCCATGTCGACAAGGTCACGCTCTCGTTCAAGGGTCAGACGCTCCTGAGCAACACGAACCTCAAGCTCATCCACGGCCGTCGCTACGGTCTCATCGGCAAGGTTCCAACTCGATTCGTTGTCGTCTGCTTTTGCTCAACGACCCTTTCTGGTGAGTAGAACGGCGCGGGTAAGACGACGCTGCTCCGCTTCATGTCGCACTACGAGATCGAGGGTTTCCCGCGCCATATTCGCATGCAGCACGTCGAGCAGGAGGTAAATCGATGCTTGTCGTATTGTCCGCATGCCGACATGATTATCTGAACTCGACATCTAGTCGGCGTCCAAGCTCAGCCACGAAACCAACAGCGTGCTCAGCGTCGTCCTGGCCTGCGATTATGAACGCACGCTCCTTCTCAACGAAGAGAAGGAGCTCCTCGCAACCAACACGAACCCGGACCGCCTCAACGCGATCTATGACCGTCTCCAGCAGATCGACTCGGACTCGGCCGAGTCGCGCGCGCGCACGATTCTTGCGGGTCTCCAGTTCCCCGAGGCTGTTGTCGATGGGCCGGCCAAGGCGCTTTCCGGTGGTTGGCGCATGCGCACGGCGCTGGCCGGTGCCCTCTTCATGTCGCCGGACCTCCTCCTTCTCGATGAGCCGACCAACCATTTGGATTTGGAGGCGGTCATGTGGCTCGAAAACTACCTCGAGACGTACGAGAAGACGCTCATCGTCGTGTCGCACGACCGCAACTTCCTCAACATGGTCACGACCGACACGATCTACATGTACAAGCAGCAGCTCACGTACCACCGCGGCAACTTTGCGTCGTTTGAGCAGACGCAAGAAGAGCATTTGCGCCAGCAACGCAAGGTACGCGTGTCGACCCTTGCAGTGGACAATGTTTTTCTTGCATTTTTCAAATTTTACTGGGAAAATGGACATCTCATACACACATATGTTAGGCGTACGAGGCGCAGCAGATGAAGGTCACGCACATGCAAGAATTTATCGACCGCTTCCGCTGCAACGCCAAGAAGGCGCCGCTTGTCCAGTCGCGTGTCAAGGCCCTCGAAAAGATCATGCGCACGGCGATTGAAGAGCCGGAGGATCCGCGTGCGTTCAAGATGGTCTTCCCGCCGCCGGGTACAGACAATTATTGTCTTCATGTGCGACGACTGACATGATGTGTGCACAGAGCCGTTGGGTCGACCGATCATCTCTGTCGAAAACGTCGCGTTCCAGTACGCACCTGACAAGCCACTGCTCTTCCGCGGTTCGTGCTGGATCTCGTGTTTGAACATTATCAATGTATCGACTAGATGTCAACTTTGGCATCGACATGTCGAGCCGCATTGGTATCCTCGGTGTGAACGGGTCGGGCAAGAGTACGCTCATCAACCTTATCCTCGGCAAACTCGAGGCGACGGAAGGCAAGACGGTCCGCAACCCGCGCGTGCGCATCTCGACGTTCACGCAGCACCACGTCGACTCGCTCAACTTGTCGCTCACGGCCGTGGAGAACATGAAGGAGATGTTCCCGGGCCACGAAATTGATGAGTTCCGCAACCATCTCGGCCGCTTCAACCTCTCGGGTGAGCTCGCGATGAAGCCGTGCCGCAAGCTCTCGGGTGGTCAAAAGGTACAACTTCAAGTCTCTCGGTCGCTGGATACTAAAGGAGTGTGACTAGTCGCGTGTCGGGTTTGCGATTCTCACGTGGCGCCTCCCGCACGTCGTCGTGCTCGATGAACCGACCAACCACTTGGATATCGGTACGATTGATACATTGATACAGGAGACGATGCCATTGTTGTGTAGAAACCATCGACGCGCTCATTGACGCGCTGCGTGGCTACAAGGGCGGCGTCGTGATCGTGTCGCACGACCAGCATTTTGTCAACAGCATCTGCGACGAGCTCTGGGTCGTCGGCAACACCAAGGTCTCCAAGTTTGGCGGCTCGATGGCCGACTACAAGAAGGCCATCTTGAAAAACTAGAGCACGCGCCGCGACGGAACGATTGCTACTCGCCGTAACGTGCATGTGGTTCATTTTCATTTTGCTGCTTTGTGCTTGCAAGGGTACATAAATTCAATTTATGTACCCTTGGTGCTTGTCAGTACAATTGTACTTTCCACACCAACGCCATTTTGACGGTTTGGCATTGGTTCGGGTCAGGTGCTTATGCATGCGACGGGTTCGATCGCAGCACAGTCACTGCCCGATGACCAACGACTAGGTAGCTACAAGGTCGCGTCGCAAACCGTCAACGCTATGCATTTATGTTCAATGCAAAAAAGTTCCAGCCAGCTCCTCGGATGGGACCATGGGACGTGATGGACAAGTTTCCATAAAGATCCAGCGGTTTGGACCTGGGATTCCGGATACCCAACGCTAGGATGTCGTTATCCGGAAGGATCGGGCGCGCATTTCGGCTTTCGATCATGGTGCCGATCGTCCGTCCCGCCAAGGCAGACCGCCAAGTCGTCGCTCCGGGGCCCGAGTCATGCGCTCTCCACTGCGCCGACCCCGTCGCCCGCATCAACGACGCCGTCGATCGTCTCGACTGGTCGTGTCTTCGTCGCGTCCTTGCCGTGCCTGGGAACCCGGGGTATCGCCTTTGCCGTGCGACCGAGGCTGATTTCGAGACGTACGTGGCGTCCGAGGACCAGGCGTTCAAGTCGCGCTACTTGGCGTTGAACGATGGATTTCTCTTCATTGTCGAGATACCATCGCCGCTGCACAGCGCGATCGCCGACGCCGTGAACGACCTCATGAAGCTTGCTACAGGGACGATGGTCACACATCTCGAATCCTCCGGTGATGCATACGTCGACACGTCCCATCTGCCCGAGGACCAGCGACTGTCTCGTCTTGAGCCCGATGGCTCCTTTGGTCCGACGGACGCCTCCGGTGCGATCCTCCCCGCCACACTCACGTGCTGGGGCGAGTACCAGACGATCAAGGTCGAAGTCGGCGTCTGTGAAGGATGGAATCACATGGACCGCAAGGTCTTGCGCTATGCAGCGTTCACAGGCATCCAGTACGTACTCTGTATTTACGTCTCGCCTGCCACAGCCAGCACGGCCTTTATGGCGGTGCGCCAGTACAAGCTCTGCTCCTTTGTCCACAACGTGCTCGAGGGCCCGCCTCCGGCTGCGGTTGCGCCGATACCAATCACAGCCGACACAGAGGTGGAACTCGACGCCCGACGACTCTTGGCGTTACCGCCCCACGTCCGGATCCCCGATGGCTTTAACAACACGGTCGTCCTGCGTCTGAACGATGCACTACGTCGCACGTGGCGCAGCGGCAACCCCGACCGGACGCAAGTCGCGGCTCCGTTTTAACACGTGGTTTGCCGCGGGCACTCAATGCTATAACATGATTCTGCTATCGACGGAGGCACTCGCATGCGCAAGTCCACGTTTTTCTTGTCAACAATGCCCGATGATTGTTCATATTTCAAAAACAAACACTACCGGTTCGGCTGCATCGTGATGTCGCGGTGGTGGTTAGGGTTGGATGCTGAATCAGCACGGACGATACCCCTAGCAGCTGCATTGGAACGAGATGGTAGGTGCGGTCGAGGACTTCCTAGCAATAATCGACCAAATAATGTCGTCTCGTCTCCGTCGCCCTTGGAGTAAGATGCTTTGCACACGGCGAGATGCCTTCCGCACGGTAGCGGAAGCGTCTCGTGTGCTGTGAGGAAACACAGTTCCAAAGCCCAATGGTATGTTGCAGTGCCGCTGCTCAAATGTCCACCAACTCAAATGAAAAGATGTTTGTCATTACGACGACTCGTGCTGCAGTAAGCGCAACTCCTCGGCGATCACAGATTCGAGCGTCTGCTCGTGAAACTTGACGCTATAGTTGGCGCCGAGTGCGATGCGAGCCTCGCGGTTGAAGTCCTTCGCCATGCCTACATCACGTTCCGTGCTCCATCATGACAAGAAGGGAGGCAGATAGTCATGGCACCTTTGAGGTCCCACACGATCTCATCGTTCTTTTGCGCCTTGATAAACTGAACGAGGTCAAAGGGCACAACGATCTCGGCGTGCTCGAGGCCGCGCTTGTAGAAGGACCCGCGCTTGGGCATCGGGACCTCGAGCACATCGACGCTGCAGCCGCCTGCAAGGGGAATCGCAGCGTGGAGCTTGAACGTCGCGATGGGGCGCCCGCCGACCTCCGACTCGACGAGCAGCGTCGCTACCATGGAGATCGCATCACACTACGATTGCATCGATTGGTGTACCCATGGCGGGCAAGACCGTGCGCGCCAAGTGCGTGTACTCGGCCTCCTCTTCGCAGCGGTAGCAAATATGGTCCAAAGTCCACGCAGACGCTTGCTCGATCTGCATCTTGTCGAGGAAGCGCAGGTGGCATGCAGACGACCCAGGCGTCTGGAGCGCCAGCAAGCTGCTGTGAACGAACGCGACAAACTTGGGCGTCTCGTTGGCCAAGTAGGACGCAAAAGTCTCCGGGGTCCATGCGTGCGGAGGCGTCGATGGCGCAAAGCCCGTCGCAGCAACCGTCGAGAGGTCCATTCGGCGCGAACGGCGTCCAAGACGGCGTGTGTCCAGCACCCACCGCATGTTTTCTATGTCTAGTTGCACGCCATTGTATGCGCTGTCCTTTGTAGCGAAATTGGTCAACACCTGATCTTTGTATGCCGTTTCGCTAAGACGCGTTGAATAAGCCAATGCCGTCGCACACGATTACACGTGGATCAATCCGGATGTGGGCGGAATTATCCGGTTACGTCCTTTGTACCTCCCATTTTGAGTTTCCTGCTCCCGCTTCCGCAATGACCAAGTACGTTCGCCATGCACGTCGTCGTTCCTGTAGGTCATGGGCTCATCATGCTTCCTCCATCTACTTAGCGAAGAAATGGATGCTGCGCTCATGCAGTTCGTCAATGCACTTGGCATCTTCATCACGGTCGGCCTCGTCGCGTTCCACTACATCACGTCCACGGTCAAGGACGCCGAAGAGTAAGCCAGCAGCACCACACGCGAGGCTCGGGGTACGTGTCGACGTGGGGTCAGTTCAGGCCACGTGCGCAATCAATAAAGTATTATGATGTCCAGTACACCTAAGCGACTCGAGGCGACCATGCCACGTGGCAGCCTCCCGTCGGTGATGGCCGAGACAACACACGATGGTGGCACGAGACAGCGTGGCTTCCTACGAGCGCTGCACTGCAGCGTTGCAAGAATGTCCTGACTTTGTCGCTGGACACAGGATACACGCCCATGCATTGCCTCGACCCATGCATGCGGGCATCGACGATAGAACGCACGCTGGAGCTCGTGTCATGGATCGATCGATGGCTTGTCGGAAGCTATTTCCTCGGCAGGTCCAGTGCGTGGGCATGCCAATGCATTGTGCGTCGTCGTGCGGAGCATCATCCTCTATCAACCTCGTGCTTCGTTTCGCCTTACGTCGAGTGCTTGGTCTTATGCTTCTTCTTGTTCTTTAGCCGCCGCTTCTCTTGCTGCTCGCGAAGGGATTGCAGCAGCTGCTCCTGCGGGCTCACAAAGCGCTGCTTCTTGGTCGGCCCACCGCGGCCGCGCTGAAGGTCATCGTCGTCCTCGTTCTCGTCGTTCTCGTCTGCCTTGGCGACAGCCACCGGCTCGGGGCGCTTCTTCTTGAAGATCTTGGAAGCCAAGAGCTTGTCTTCGTCCTACAAGAGCGTGAAGCTAGGCGCCATGCATCAGGCGGCGGAAGCATGCATACCGTCATTGACGGCGCGCCCGTGTAGAGCGGCTTCTTGTTGAGCAGGCGCGCATCCGCTTCGTCGTCGTCCTTGGTCGGCTTGATCCATGAGGCCACGACCGAGTACGCGGCTGCGTTGAAGACGACCACGTCGTCGTCGTCCTCGACGGTCCCCGACGTCTTGCTGCGCTTGGTGTTGCTCATCTCCAATGATCTGCACAAATCCCACGTAGCTCAGGATCGATTTCACACCGTGTAAAATAGAGTCGGCGACCGGTTTCGAGTAACGTTCGCGCCTTCTGTCATGAGAACGCAATCGTGGAGTTTCCATGGTCATACAAGAGGCACAGTAGAGTCCAAGGGCTGCAACTGTGGTCGCTCTCGCCCCGCACGACGCTTTAATAGTCGACACCGAGCATACAATTGTTTGTACGCGTACCAGGAGCGTTCCCAACAGCTATTTTTCACTTCACTGTAAAGGTCCTTCCTTGTACCTACCAAGGATAAAGGCGTTGCGAATGGCCGCACGCCAATGAATGGACAAATGCATACAATATCTCTGCTGTCCAGCCTTCGTCGTAACCAGGCAACACGACACTCGCAAGCACGTCGTCGACACAAGAGGGCGTGGCGTTTCGTTGGCTGCGAAGATGACTCCGCTTTCAAACACACGTGTTTCCCACAAAGTATTTCACGTGTTATCCGGATACGTTCATATCCGGTCGACCGAAACTGCTTCAAAGATAGATACGAGCCGGGGCGGCAATGATCGCGCCCAGGTGCGCCCAGAACATGGAGCAGCGGCTGGCCGCGCTCCGGCGGGACCAGGAGATCGATGGGCTGCGCGTCTACCTCATCAAGTACAACCTCTTCCCGCGGAACCGGGACCCGCGCAACTCGCCGATCCGCATCGAGGAGCTCAAGGAGCTCGTCAAGCACTGGAAGCTCCATCGGCAGCGCGGCTTCTGGCGCGACCACCCGGAGAAGGACGACCTCGTCCGCGCGCTTCTCCAGCACATCAAGACCGAGGCTACCAACAAGAAGCGGCGCCAGGACGCCCAAGAAAAGTTCCGCAAGGTCAACGAGGTCGACGAGTACCAGCCGTCGACGGCCGACCTGGCGCAGGAAGAGAACGAGCACTCGATTCAAATGCTCTCCGAGAGTGCACCACCCTCCATGGGTGACCTCTTCTACACGCGAGGCCAGTACGACGAGGTACTCGTGCTCCCGTCATATCGTCCGCCTCGAGTTTCTCATTTAGGGCTTGATCTACCTCTCGCGCATGGACAAGTCCAAGCAGCGCCAGAAGCTTCTTAACTCGCAGAGCGACTCGAGTTTGGCCAAGTCGGTGGCCGCGACGCAGCATGCGCACCAGCTCGCAAAAGGGCTCGTTGCCAACATTGAGCACGAGAAGGACGTCTCGGCCAACTTTTCGCGGGACATGAAACTCAAGTGCGCCGAGGGCCTCTACAATGTGTCCTGCTACGTCAACAACGAGCTCCAAATGCTAGGTAGACAATTGCATGCATGTCGATGCACCGCACCGATCCTGCATTGGTAGCGGAAAATGCCATCCCGATTCTTACGGGTCTGATCAAAAGCCCGCCGACGATCGATGACACACATATCCGTCTCTACTGTGCGGCCACGCTCCAGAACCTCACGACGCACCACGCTGCGCGCACGCTAATGGTCGAGCAAGGCGCCATCGCCGCCCTGCTAGAGCTTGCGCACACCAACAATGGCACCACCAAGCTCTACTGCGCCCATGCGCTGTATCGCTTCTCGGGCGACGAAGAAGCACAATGCCGACTTGTCCACGACGGCTGCGTCTTGGTGCTACTGCAAATGCTTTCATTGCCCAACGAAGAGATCAAGGAGCTCGCAATGAAGTCTCTCATCAACCTCTCGGTCGTGCCCCGGAGCACGTCGAGCGACACGGTCATGAGTGCGCTCATCTCGCTCGTCAAAGCTGACCGACCCGACTCCAACATGGTACATCCGTCTCGCCCCAAGACGACGACAAAACGCAAGCCTTCAATATTGTGGGTGTAGGTGTGTGCCCGTGGGCTGCTCAACATGTCGATCATGGCGACGACGCGGGCCAATATCGTCGAAGACGGTGCGCTCCTCGCCCTCAAGATCCTCTGTTCGTACCGCAACGTGGCCGTCTCTCAGCTCGCGAGCTGCGTGCTTTGCAACCTCGCGGCTGTGCGTGCCAACCAAGAGAGCATGCTCAAGAACGGCGCGCTCGCCGTGCTACTCGAGCTCTTCAATTTGCCGCAATTCCACCGCAAACCGACGCCCGAGCTCGAGTCCGCTCCGTCGTTTGACTATCGCCGCTTTTACGCCAAGAGGGCCAAAATGTCCGACCCGAATTACATTGGGAACGCGTCCATGACGGGCGACGAGCTCGCGATCGTGGATATCCACATGCAGTGTGCGACAACTCTGGCGTACTTTAGCTGCAACCCCAAGCTCCAAGCCCGCGTCGTTGGCGCCAACTTTGTCCCGCGCCTCCTCCTCTTATTGGAGCTCAAACACGACGAAACGACGCGGTATGTGAGTCTGAGCCTCTCGAACCTCGCGTCGCATGCAGCGTCCCGCGTCCAAATGGTGCAGGACGGTGCGGTCGCGCCGTTGATTGGCCTCATGTCGGCGCCCGATATGCTCGTCAAGCAAGACTGCGTCGTCGCACTTTGCAACCTCATGCTGCACCCCGAGACGTACAAGGAGATGGTCGACGACGGCGTCGTGCCGGCGCTCGTTGCCTACTCGGAAGACGACCACCCCGAGATTCAAAAGTCCTGTGCGTTTGCGCTACTGAGTTTGGCCATGGACGGGAGCATGAAGAGTAAGCTCGTCGAGCAAGGCGTCATTGTCGCGCTCATGAACCTCGCCGATCGCTGCATCAAGCTCCCCGAGCTCCGCGCGGCGTGTCTCTGTGCCCTCTACCATCTCTCGATGGACGGTACCAACGCGATTGCGCTTTTCAAAGAAGGCACGCAGTCGGTTGCGATTGCAATGCTGCATGAGCCCATCCAAGACAAGCAAGCGGCGAGCTTGAGCCACCGCATGTTCATGCACGCGCTCGCGCTGCTCTCCAACATGGCCAACCACGAAGCCAGCCGACACATCTTGGTCGACGACGGAGCCGTCGACTCGGTCCTCCACTTCATTCAGGTAGATATTGATCGTATCTTCTGAAAGCGCATCCGATGACGGCACTTGCGTAGGTTAATAGCGTCGTCAAGGACAAGGCGTCGGCGGCGCTCCTTGCCCGCGCACAGGCGTACGCCGCCTCGATGCTGTGCAAGCTCGCGGATGCGGCCATGGAGCATGCCGGGTACTTTACGGCCCTTCTCGCCCTCGCTTCGAGCCCGGTAGATACGCATTGAATCCTCGTACCGAGGAATCTCATGGCCGTCGTAGACCATTGTGACAACGTCCTCGAATCGAACCGACCTCAGTGGCACGATCACCACGCTGCGCTGTGCGCTCGCGTTTGCCAACATGTCGTGCTCGATGCGGGGCCGTCGGCTGCTCGGCAAGCGCGGCGAAGTGGCTGCGGGGCTCAACGCGATGATGCGCACGGGCCACCACGAGACGCAAATGTGCGCTGCGATCGGTCTCTGCAACCTCGCAATCGAGGTAGTTGTAGTACTTCAAGTATCGTTGATATCGACGGCGTCGATCGATGTAGCGCGGCTCGCTGAAGGGCCGGGTCTGGGCCGAGTCGACCGTCAGCGACTTTATTGTCGTCGCCTTGCTGCGCGTCAATAGCGACAAGACCAAGGTCATTTGCGCCAAAGTGCTTTTCAACCTCCTCGCCCACGAAGATACGCGGGAGAAGCTCATCGTCGACGGCGCGCTCTATGCGCTCATCAAACTCGCCAAGCTCGACATGGAGGACATTCGCCAGCTCTGTCTTCGGTCGATCTACAACATTTCGCTCGAGCCCGCCAAAGTCCCGCGCCTCGTTGATATGGAAATTGTTCGGATTCTCTCGGGCATGTACGCGCAAGACTACAGCAAAGAGATGAAGCGGCTCATCTGCGGCATCCTCAGCAACGTGAGTGCCGTAGCTGGTCACGAGCTCCAACTGCTGCACGAAGGCGCGCTCTCGATTCTAACGGCACTCGTCAAGACGCGGGACCCCGAGACGCGCGTCTACTGCGCCCACGTGCTGTACAACGTGACGTGCAACGTCGACGTGCGCGACCTCGTGCTCAAGGACGACGGCCACGTGATCGGGCTCCTCATTTCGCTCACGCGCGCCGAAAGCAAAGACATCCGCCGGTACAGCGCCGGCGCGATTGCCAACCTGTCGGCGATCCGAGCCGGCGTCGACGCCATGACGCGGGACGCCATGGTGCCCGCGCTCTGCGACCTCCTCCAGCGTCTCTCTTGCGACATCACGCTCGGCCTCTGCGTCACGGCGCTTCGCAACCTCATGACCGAGCCCGCGAACCAGCTCCAGCTCGTCGCTTGCCACGGCGTGCAGATCCTCTCGGTGCTCATGGCCAGCGCCAACGACGCCGACATCGGGCCCGCGTGTGCCGAATTGCTCTGCCTCCTCTGCCGCAACCCGGGTGTCGAGATGGACTTGGTCAACGACGGCATCGTCCGCGCCTTGCATGCGATCGCGAAACAGCAAAGTGCATACGCCAAAGCGCTCGCGGGCGCACATCCATCGCCGTCTCGGGGGGCACGGGGCTGCCGAAAGAAGCGCTCGAGGTGCTCGATGCGTCGCGCCTCGACATCATCTCGTGCCTCAGCGTACTCTCCAAGAACGCCGAGTGCCATGAGAAGATGCTGGCCGACGGTGTCATGGAGACGATCGTGGCGATGGTCATGGACGACGACGACGAGAGTGCGACGTTGAGTGCCGTGGTTGCACGGCTCAGTGAAGAGTTTTCGTACCACTGCATGGTCACGCTGCGCAACCTCACGAGCAAGAAGGACGGGACGGTTCTCAAGGAGGACACGCAGACTACCGTGTTTGTGCACGACATCAACCGGGCGCGGGTCGCCTCCCAGGCGCATGCGATCCCCATCATCCTCGCCATGGCCGGGTCCCGGGTCGCTGACACGCGCGAGAATGCGATCGTGACCTTGTACAACTTGAGCTGCCACCGGCGCGCGCGGGGCATTCTGATCCACCACGACGGCATCAAGGTGCTTATTGCGCTCAGCCAGAAAGCGACAGGTCCCAACGCCCCGATGAAGTGCCACATCATTGCGACCGCGCTCCAAGCCATGTCGTCGCACTTGGATTCGAACGTCATGGCACCTGGCTTGATCGAAGCGATGGCCGCGAGCTTGGAGAATACCGCGCTCTCGGAAGCCGTCATGGAGAAAATGATGGCGGTCGCCGGCCCCGCGCTCTTTTTGAAGCCCCGAGTCGTCTCGCACTTACTGCCACCATCGACGCAGGTGACGCGGCACCACGGCACGCTCGCCGACTGGGTACAAAGATATACCTCCTCTCAACGTCTCCTGTTCATGTCATGACGGTAGACGCAAGTGACGGCGGCCGTCACGATAAATGACGCGATCGCCGAGCTCTTCTCGCTCGACGACGCGGCGGAGGCCGCGCAACAAGAGACGGAGAAAGCACAGGTCATTGCAACGTCCGCACCGCGTGTGTGCACATTAGATGTCGTCCTCGGGTCGCTCGTCTTTCTCAAGGATGCTGATCCGCCAAAGAACAAGCAGTTGCTGGGGCCGCATGCCCACGAGCTCCTCGGGCCGGGCCGGCACACTGCGTCGTCGGTGGACTTGTTGCCGCAAATGTCGGCGACGACGCGCGCCACATCGGCGCCCGAGAAGGATGAGCTCGACGCGCCACGCAGCACGATTGCTCAGGTGCGCAAGGAAGCGACCAAGTCGATTCCGGCCGTCCCGTCGCTCGGAAGTCCGGCGCGGAGCCCGACCAAGAAGCAACAGGCGCGCCTCGAGCCCATTTCAATGAGTTGAGAGGCTCTTCTGTGCATGATTTACATGTAGTACGCGGCGCTGTATGATAATAGAGGAGTAGAGAAGAGTATATGGTGTACGTTTAGTCGAGGCCGCAGAGCGTCACGTCCGTGTTGAGGCCGCCATGGAGCTCCTTGTCCTTGAGCTCCTTGCGCCGAAGAAGAAAGGCGTCGACACCGTCCATGGCCTCCAAGTCGAACTTGCTCATGGGGTTGCCTTCGAGTTGCATAATGTGCACGGCCGACGCGGCGAGGATCGATGCGGCGATGGATTGCGGCCCGAGCCGGTTGCGACGCACCACAAGCGCCTTGAGCTTGGGGCACTGCGCGAGCGCGTCAGGCAGCTGCGCGATGCGGTTGTCGTCCAGCGTGAGCTCCTTCAAGCTCGAGCAGCTTGCTATCGCCGACGGAATCGAAGAGATTTGGTTCTGGCTCACGTCGACGCTCTCCAGTTGTGACAAGCAGCACAGGGTCGGTGGCAGTGCCAAAAGCTGGTTGTTGCGGGCGCTGAGTTTCGTCAGTCCCATTGGCAGCGCCTGCAACGTCGCCAGTTTGTTGTTGTCCAGGACGAGCTATGTAGCAACACGGTGAGCGAGGGTTAGCGTGATGATGTCGTACGTTGGTCAATTTGGTCAAGGCCGAGAGGTCCGGCAGCGACGATAGCTGGTTGCTATCGAGCTTGAGCGTCTTGAGGTTGATTAGCTGGCCAATTGCGGCCGGAATCTCCGTAAGCTCGTTGTTCGAGAGGTCGAGCGTGTTGAGCTTCTCGATGCCAAAGACGTCGTCCGGAATGCGCTTGAGCTTGCAGCCGTGCAGCGACAGGATGCCCGTGGCCTTGGCGCGCTCAATCTTGGTGGCCTGGACGCTCTTCTTGGTGATGGCTTTGGCGTCCTTCTTGGCGCGGTTCGATCCGACTTGGCCCATGCGTCTTGCTTACTGCGGCGGACCAGCCCGGCTGTACTTGTGACACATGCTGTCTTCGGAGCTGTTTAAAATGGTTTTAAACAGGTAACCAACTGCATACATACACTTTGGGTAGCGTGGATTGGTCAAAATCATGCAATTTACGGTCCTACGATTGGTTCCTGCATCGAAAAAGATTGCACCTGCTACAGAATATATTTCTACGCCCGACGCACGATGATGCGGGACCCTCTGACGACGACCAAAGGGTCCTTGGGCTTCTACGATCTACACCCTGCGACGACCAAGGTCGGTTCAGCGTCGAGGCGATGCGAGCTGATCGTCCCGTCGATCGGAGAGGCGGGGCACGGTCGATGTCTGTTTTTGTATGTCGTCGCTGGACGCGCTCTGATTGGCCCGTCTCTGGATCGGGCCACCAGCAAGTGCAAGGTCAACAGAGTCGCAAAAATGATCGCACCGAGCAGCAACGAGGTCGACGGCGTGCGCCGTGTCCTGAGCGTCGTCGCCGGCGTCATCATCTACGCGTCCTTGGGCTCGTCGTACTCGATTTCGGCCTGGAACGGGCAGCTCAAGGAGACACTCAACATGACACAACCCGACATTGCGTTTGTTAGCTCGTGCTACAGCTTTGGCATGTACAATACGATCTGGGCGGGCTTCTTCCACGACCGGTTCGGCACGCGCCTCTCGATGCTCGTTGCGCTTACCTTGCTCACGCTCTGCTACGCGCTCGCGGCCTACCTCGCGGCGCGGCCGCATTTGCCGACATGGTACATCGCACTCTGCTTTGGCGGCGTCGGGCAAGCCGGCGGCTTTGCCATCGTCGCTGGCCTCGCGGCCAACGAAGGCATTTACGGCAACCGCCATCGCGGCGCGATCGTCGGGCTCCTCCTCGCCGCGTACAGCGCGGGCGGCGCCATCTTTGCCCTCGTCTACCACGGCGCGTACGACCACGACGTCGCTGGGTTTTTTGGTTTTATGAGCATCGAGCACGCCCTCATGGGGCTTCTCGGGCTCGCGCTGCTCGTGCCGCCGGTGCGCCGCCGTGCCTCGCTCAAGGACGAAGCGATACCGCTGCTTCTCCCCGAGACGGGTGGTCGTGACATCACGCTGCTGGCGCTGCTGCGTGACGAGCGGTTTTGGCTGCTCTTTGTGCCCGTCATGATTGGCGTCGGGTCAGCGCTCTTTGTCCTCAACAACATTGCGTTCGTCTTGCAGAGCTACGGCGCGTCGACGGACCTCGTGCCAGCGTACGTCTCGATCTTTTCGATTTGCAACATGGCCGGGCGACTCGGCATGGGCGTTCTCTCGGACAAGTTTGGCGCGTCCCACTCGCGCGCGTGGTTTCTATCTCTGGGTGTGCTGGCCATGGCGCTGACCCAAGTGCTCTTTCTGGTCCTGCCAACCCAATATGTGGTCGTCCCGATCCTCTGCGCAGGGCTCGCGGAAGGCTGCATTTACGCCATGTTTCCTGTCGTGACGCGGGAGCTCTTTGGCCCGACCCACTTTGGCAAGAATTTTGGCTTGATCAGCCTCGCGAACGCAGTCGGTTTTCCTTTGCTACTGGGGCCACTTGCGTCCGTCTTGTACAAGTGGGCAGCGAACGGCGACGCGACGTGCCTTGGCGCCCGCTGCTTTGCCCCCATGTTTGGCGTCAGCTTTGCGCTCTGTCTTCTCGCGCTCGCGGCGTCCGTTCGACTCCAGCGCCACATGCACGTGCTGAGCCCGCGACCGTAGACGACCTACACACAACAAGCTATGAAAAATAGACAATAGTGTTCACAAAACGCAGGAACAACAACTAACTTGTCGTCGCACATAACTCAGTTCAACAACAACTTGTCGTCGCATTCTTCAAGAGGGCTTGGGACGCCACGGGGGTCTTGCGGCCGCCATGGCCAACACAAAGCATGTGGGCAAATGCTTGGTTGTGGCAGCCGTCGCTCCCATGACGCAAAAACGGGCGTTGAAACTGGCGCCACATGAACCAAGTCCGAGCTTCGCTCCGCGATGGTATCGACGCCCTGCTACCACGCACTTTAGTAGCGATGCACGTACTGTACGTAGGTATCGAAGAGGCCATCGACGCCCTCGCGTTTCGAGATATTGTCTACTTTGACCCGTTCGCCAAGCGCTGGGAAGCCTGCCTTGCACCGGACGACGTGATAATGACGGCGTTCGGTGAGGTGCGCCGACGGATCTTCCATTCACGCGCAATCAGCACACTCTGGGATGTCGCGTAGGTGCTCTATGAAGCACTCGTGCCTCGCGACGGCACAGTGTTGGGGCATCATCCGAGTGGCAAAGCGTACGTCAAGGTATTGCAACCATTTATGACAAAGTACAGCGCTCACCATCTAAACGACACGTTGCTCAGGGCGACTGGATCACAAGGGACCGCGAGGTGTGTGAGCTCACGAGGCGCGAGGCCGCTAGCGCTCTTTCACTAGGGTCGCTACTGCGTTGTGGATCGCGTGGCACCTGTCCCACCGCGTGGCCGCGCGGCCGAATACTACCAAGTCGGAGACGACGACGACGACGCGCCACGAACGCACAAACCAGCGGCCATCGACCTGCGCGGGTGCTACGTGCAGGCCAGCGACATGCGCCGTCTCACGTTGCCGCTGGCGACAAACGTGCGTTTCCAAAAAAGCGGTCGCGATCGCAGATGACACGTTGTGCATTGTGTAGTACTTTCTGCTCTCGCTGCACTTGGGCGGGAACGGCCTAGGCGACGAGAGCATGTTGCTGCTCAGCGCGGCCCTAGCCTCCAACGCCGCGCTCCAGACGCTGGTGTTGAGCTACAACGCGATGACGGCGGTCGGGGCTGTCGCGCTCGCCGAGGCGTTGGCGACGAACGCGGCCTTGACGCACCTCGACGTGGCGCACAACCGCATTGGCAGCGACGGGCTCCTCGCCTGGCTCAACCTCAAAACCAACTCGACACTGCGCACGCTGCACATGAGCCACAACCCCGCAATCCATGACGCTGGCGGCGTCGACCTTCTTCGCCCGCTGGCAACCGAACCGCTATCGCTCGCGGACGAGACGCGCCAGAAGCTCCTCCTCAAAAGCAAGAGTCGACCGTACGCGGCGACGCTCGTCGAGGCGCCGGCCAACACGAGTCTTTTCACGCTCACGCTCTCCGAGATTGGGCTCTCGTTGGCCTCGGCCAGCCGACTTCAGCACGTCTTGGCGTCAACGGCCGTGCTCACGTCGCTCGACGTGTCGATGAATAGCTTCTCGCTCGAGAGCAGCAAGGAGCTCGCGCGCGGCGTGGCGGCCAATGCGTCGTTGACGTACCTCCACGGTGGTGCCAATGCCCTCGACGATGTCGTCGGGGAGCTCATGGCCACCGCGCTGGGCACGCACCCGCGCCTCCGCACCGCGCTTTTTCCAGCGAGCTTCCACGGCCCAACGCCGGCAGCTACCTCGCCAAGACGCTCCTCACAACGCCGAGCCTCGCGCACGTGGACATCGTAGGCTTCTCGTGATGGCGGGATGACGATGGAGCTGCGCGAATAGAGCGGCGGGGTCCTCGAGCCACCGGGAATTGTCGCGCTCTGCAAAGCCATTGGGAAGAATTCTACCTTGCGCGTCCTCGAGCTGGTAGAAAAGAGAGTCCCACATGCCAATAATCACCAAGTGGTTAGACCAGCGTCGGGCTCAAGTCGGACACGGTCGTGCAAGTCCTCGCCACTGCGCTCGAGACCAACGAGACGCTCACCGAGCTCCACTTGGGCTACAACAGCATCACGCTGCGCGGGTGCAAGCTGCTGCGGGACGCCGTCGCGGCGACGCCGTGCCAGCTTACGCCCGAGTCGCTCATTTTAGAAGGCAACAGCGGCAGCAAGGCCCGAGGCAGCAACGTGCTAATCTCAGGCGGATCGCTCTCTCCAACCAAGCCACCCGTGCACCCCAACACGACGATTGGCGAGCCGTTGATCACGTTCACGCGGCCAAGTCAACTCCATTGAAAGAGACGGTGACAGGGAATAGGGTTGTCAACTATTAATACCTTTTACCTCCAAGATACTACAATTTGAATGGTAACACAAACGAGTCCGTGTCTAGTTTACTCGTCCAACTCGGAGGCGAGGGCCTTGGCCTTCTCCTTGACTTCCTCAATGCCACCGACCATGTAGAAGGCGGCTTCCGGGAGGTCGTCGTACTCGCCGGCAAGGATGGCCTTGAACGACGAGACGGTCTCCGCGAGCGCCACAAACTTGCCCGGCTTGCCCGTAAACACTTCGGCGACGTGGAGCGGCTGCGACATGAACTTCTGCACCTTACGCGCGCGCGCGACCGTGAGCTTGTCGTCTTCCGACAACTCGTCCATGCCGAGAATGGCAATGATATCCTGGAGACCCTTGTAGTCCTGGAGGAGCTTCTGCGTCGCGCGGGCAACCTCGTAGTGCTCGTCACCAATCACACGCGGGTCGAGCATGCGCGACTTCGAGTCGAGCGGATCGACGGCCGGGTAGATACCGAGCTCCGAAATCTGGCGCGACAACACCGTCGTCGCATCCAAGTGCGAGAACGTCGTGGCCGGCGCCGGATCCGTAAGATCATCGGCCGGCACGTAAATGGCCTGCACCGACGTAATCGAACCCTTGAGCGTCGACGTAATGCGTTCCTGGAGCGCACCAAGATCCGTCGCCAGCGTCGGCTGGTAACCGACGGCCGACGGGATACGACCGAGAAGGGCCGACACCTCCGAGCACGCCTGCGTGAAGCGGAAAATGTTGTCCACGACAAAAGCACGTCCTGGCCTTCCACATCACGGAAGTACTCGGCGACCGTCAGACCCGTAAGACCGACACGGGCGCGGGCACCCGGCGGCTCGTTCATCTGGCCGTACACGAGCGCAGCCTTCGAGCCCGTCGTCGTGCCGTCCGCGTTGAGCTTGATCACACCCGACTCGATCATCTCGTGGTACAAGTCGTTGCCTTCGCGCGTGCGCTCGCCGACACCGGCAAACACCGACACACCACCGTGGTTGTTGGCCACGTTGTTGATCAACTCCATGATGACGACCGTCTTGCCGACGCCGGCACCGCCGAAAAGACCAATCTTGCCACCCTTGGCGTACGGCGCAAGCAAATCGACGACCTTGAGGCCCGTCACGAGCACCTCGGCGCCCGAGCCCTGCTCCGTGTAGAGCGGCGCGGCGCAGTGGATCGGCGCCTTGGCCGCCGAGTGGATCGGGCCACGCTCATCGACCGGCTCGCCAATCACGTTCATGATGCGGCCGAGCGTCTCGGGGCCGACGGGCACCTACACATCAATCCCGTCAATCTCCAAGTTCTGGTCGAAAATGAACATGCAAAAAAGCGCAATCGTACCATGATCGGGTTGCCCGTGTCGACGCACTCCTGGCCACGCACGAGACCGTCCGTGCCCTCCATGGCGATCGTGCGCACCGTGTTCTCGCCGAGGTGCTGCGCGACCTCGAGCACGATGCGGACGTTGTCGTTCGTGTTCTGCACCTCGAGCGCGTTGAGGATCGGCGGCAGGTTGTTGGTGAACTGGACGTCGACGACGGCGCCGATGATCTGCGTGATGCGACCGACGGACGCGCCAGACGACGCAAAGCCGCGCGTCAGCGAGCGGGTCAGCGAGAGCATTCTGCTTGTAGTTGGCAAAAGGAAAACTGACGGCCGCCAAACGACTGGCCTTCGCCTCACTTCGGTTGGGAACGTAAAGTCACTAGGGGGCCCATCGATTATTTATTTGTTGGTGGGGATGGTGGTTTTTGTTTTCGTGACGGCACATACAAACATGGAATGGAAATGAAAGAATGAACATTAAATGTGAAATTGACCCGGGACGCATTGAATGAGGGGGACCCTTTTTTGACGCCAAAGCACATGCATCACACGATGTGCCGGTGGCACCGAAATCGTGTGTCAACAGTATATAAAAAGTTTGAAATAGTATGCACGAGGAGGGAATTTGGTGTGCATGACGAACCCAACAGAACGAAGCGGCGCGGGCACACGAGCCAGAGGACGACGACGATGCAATGGACGACGATGGGGTCACAAGAACTAGTACAACGAGGTAGGTCGGGAGGATCTTCTTTCGAGTGCTAGGGGATTTTTACGTCGTTGAGAGGAGGAAGGAGGCGTACAATATGTGGTGGGGCTGGTAAAATATGGTCCACCGACACGTGGACGGTGGTGGGTGGTCACAACGATCATCATTTTGGTCAACGCTTGGATTTTCCAAGTCAAACGTGTCGTGTTCCAAGGGCAAGGATACGCTTATTTCATAGTAATACTTTGCCTATAAGCTATTTGATATGCTGCCCTTTCTAGAAATACCTATCGGCCAAGATGGCGCTTTTGCTTTGCATTTCTCTCATGCAAGCGAGTCGTGGCACGGTCGACCATACTACGCAGCGCGTCCATGTCGTCGTCTTCACGCATCGCGTGTCGGCCCGCACACCGGGCAGAGCATTCAAGCTCCAGCACGCAAGAATTATTACATGCGACGGGCCATGCTGATACGGTGACCATGCGGCCATGGCATGGAGGTGTTGGGCGACCCGTAAACCGCTGTAGCATCGTCGCTTAGTTCTGTGGAGCATAACGCATCGCGCTTGTACAACCAGTGTATAGAGCCCGTCCAATTGCACTAGACAGTCGCCAACGTGGGACGAGTAGCCAGCCGTGCTTGCCAGCACCGCGGTACCGTCACGGAATAACGTGCAATATTGTCATTGGTATCAGAGACCACCCGCACGCGGGGTTGTGTACCGCACGTCGCTGCGTGCTGCAGAGCCCAAGGGATACTGTATTGTTCAAACCTATGACAACGCTCTTCTGCCAGAGGCCAACGCTGGCGTCGTGTCACTTGAGCACGCGGCAGTTGGAACAGGGCGCGGGCTCGTTGTCAAGCAGTTTGCTCGACGGTAGCACAGTGATGCCTCGGGAGACACAGTTTGACCAAACGAGGATCCTGCAGCACGCAACTGAGTTCATTCGATGGGCACTTACGGTCGACGCCCACCGTGCGCCAAGTGCGATAGCGTGACACCGCGATATGCAGACAGGCAACCGTAGTTGAAGCATGTGCCGTGTGGTCGCGTGCATGTTGACTCGAGCGCAGTAGCAGACGACAGAAGTAGAGAGCACCGCACCGTCGGTGAGTGCATCGAGCCGATTTTTCACAAACTGCAGGCATCCATGGCCTCGTACTTGCGTCTTTTTATCCCTTTCTTTACGACAATCCTGTTGCTCCTTGACGATCCACCGTACTGTTCGACCGCCTCGACAGCTTTCACACCGAGCACAGGCGAAAGACTTGTGCATTGGTTAAACAAACTCCTGCTCCTGGAATGTGATCGTCCATGGCACGATGAGTATCTCCACTTCCCATGGTGCTTCCTGAACGACCAGCGCAGTGGTAATATCAAGGTATCGAGCTGGTCCTTCGAGATTCTCAAATATAGATGTATATGACCGAGTTTCGCAAAGACTTCGCATACGTAGAGACTAGCAATCTCCTTCTTCTCCATTCGCTCGCCGGTTCGTGGCTGCGGCGGCGTGGAGGCTCATCGTGCTCTTCCGTGGTCGTCTGGTGGCACACGATGCCCATGGCGACATGCTCCGTAAAGTGCTTCCCGTCGTCACAATCGAGAGCAAAGCTACGGAGTTTGTTGAGGTCCTCGACAGACGCCAGCGACTGGAGGTCACTGTGCAGGAAGATTGGCAATCTTAGTGCGGCCTAAAAAGCGCTCGAACGGCGTGAAGAAGCGGGCAGTAGCCACGTTGACAGGAACATCTTCCTTCAGGTGCCGCACGTGGCCCAGGTGGCGCTACTGCTGGCGGGCAACGATCTGGCTCAGCGGGACGTTGTCGCAACACTCAAAGAGCGCGACGTCGGCGAGCGTGTTCGGTTGAGAGATACCGAAATAACGACGCAGCTGCCGGCGTTGGAAGCCGTCAAGGCCCGCCAAACTCGTTGGTGTCAGGCCCACGTGCCACAATTGCATAATAGGGATGAAAAGCCCCAGGTGAAATCTATTTCCTTCAAAACACGTAGCACTTGTCCAGCCGCACACGGTTGCCTTCTGAAATGAGGTCTCGGTGCATGCACATCGACGACACAGAGAACAACTCGATCGAGTCGCTTGGTCATGTAGCCCCATGTCGTCGTCAGCGGTATAAAAGCGCCGCAGTGTCAACAATTGTTGAGACCCAGAGCTGATCTTGACAACTCTTGAAGTAGAAATCTTATTGCTGTCTTACTCTGGTTACAGGACAACATTGACCATTCCTGTAGATCATGTGATCGATCATGAGCCGCACGATTGCTTTCGACGTCGTACGGATTCGAGCAGACTCTCTAATAGGAAGAGCATTCCTTCGCGTGCGGCCTTTCACAGCGTCCCGACCAAAGCTCACTGCGTCCCAACCATGTGTACGCCTCGGTAGCTACGACGACGTCACAGCGTTCGATGACAATGCATCGCCACTAAGTACGACAACGAAAGACGCGTCACCTCGGTCCACTGCATGCCTGCCATGCCATCCTCATCCCCGTCGTTCTGCATGCAGGCCCGCTCCTCCTTATCCATCGATCATCATCTCGCATCGTCTTCTATGCTTCCTCTTGCATCCTGTCTTCGGGAATACTATGAACAATGCATATGTCCTATATCCTCCCGTCCACGTCGGTCCCAACATCTCGCGTTTGCCGCGCCATCCTCTCTTTCCAATACACACCACTCTCAACTCTCAAATTGTCACGCGCCCCGCCGAAGTCCATGCCGTTCATTGGCTCCCTCACACAACGCTTTGCATTCTCATTGGCTTCATTTCCATCCCACGGACCAATCCCAGCGCATCCGCATACCAGCATCCGGTTTCATCCGGATACACTGGGTCGTATCCGGCCCACGCTGTTGTGTGGCTGCGGCTTCAGTACCAAAGAAGCTCTAAAATGCTCTCGCTGACCCGCTCGCTGACGCGCGGCTTTGCGTCGTCTGGCGCGTCCGTCGGTCGCATCACGCAGATCATCGGCGCCGTCGTCGACGTCCAGTTCACCAACAACCTGCCGCCGATCCTCAACGCGCTCGAGGTGCAGAACACGAACGACAACGTCCGCATCGTGCTCGAGGTCGCGCAGCACCTCGGCGAGAACACGGTGCGCACGATCGCCATGGAGGGCACGGACGGTCTCGTGCGTGGCCAGGAGTGCGTCGACACGGGCAACCCGATCATGGTACGATTGCGCTTTTTTGCATGTTCATTTTCGACCAGAACTTGGAGATTGACGGGATTGATGTGTAGGTGCCCGTCGGCCCCGAGACGCTCGGCCGCATCATGAACGTGATTGGCGAGCCGGTCGATGAGCGTGGCCCGATCCACTCGGCGGCCAAGGCGCCGATCCACTGCGCCGCGCCGCTCTACACGGAGCAGGGCT